TACACACGCACACAACGAACAACTGCCCATTACAACAAGTTGCTGAATTTAGCACGCCTGCTTTTCAAATTTGCGCCAATGTCGATGATTTTGGCTCATCTATATCGTGGTATCCACGCCTGCTCTTTATTCGTTTTGCGTGTCTTCGCTTCATAAGCCAGAGACATTCGAGCACATCACGCAGAGGTCAAACCAGCACGCCTACGAACGAAAGCTAGCACATTTGACTTCAAATAATTGGTTTACTTATTGGATGTACAATCTCCACTCTCCCTCTCACCGTTTTTTTAAATGGTAGACCAAAATACCCCTCCCTAACTATATGTATCCCCCACCCTACCCCTACCCCCAACCCTCTTCTGACGACGTTGATAGACACTGGAATTCAAAAAAATGCGGTCAAACCTTTAACTACATGCACAGGTCGAACATAACCACAACCAATTGTTTCATTGCTTGCTTCAATTGACTTTCGCCAACCTTCAATCAAACTGGCCACTTTTATGAGAAATCTTGATATATAATTTGGCTGATTCTATGAATGACAGAGCAAAAGCAATATCTATATTGTGGCACCATGTACATCACTCGGAGGGAGGAGAATGGAGAAGTTGTTTCGTGAGACCCCATCATTGATTTTGGCCTTTTTTGTGTATTTTGTATATAGACTCGAGTTCCCATCTCCTGCTTGAAACAGGTGCATTGCTAATCTCTTAGTGAAGTGATGATGTTTCAGCTCCAAGCCCACAGAAGACGCCAGCTCCACGAGTGATGCGTGCGTAAAATATCGAGAGTTTGAGATACACGCTAACGGTAGCACTAGCAGCACAACACCGCCGTCTTTCAAAAGTCTTCTGGCTTTTATTAGCATATTTCCTACACGAATATTGGAATGTCAGCGTCTTTGTTTGGTCAGAAGAAGACCATTGATACCTCTCACTGAAGGCTCTGGAGAAAAGTTCAAAACCAGAGACAGCGCCACAATATCATAGAGTGAGGCCGTATCCATTGTAAGAAAATCTAGTAAAAAGAAAGGTAGTAGTCCAGTTTGTCAACCACAAAAAAGGCAGACGCAAATGCACCTCGTTTTTGGACGGTGGGTACTTGTGGGTTGAGATCAATACTATCAATATCAACATTTAGTCCTGAGAATGTTCTGCCATGAATGGCTCCAACATCAAGGAGCCTTAGTTTTTTTGATGCTGAAGCTGGTAGTTTTGATTTCAAGAATTTCGCGATGGCTCTCCCTCCAAACTTTGATCCAGCCGTAGAAGCATGTTGATATCCATCTAGAATAGCAGATGCACCTTCACCGTCCAGCACTTCCTTTGCAACATCCTTCAAAATCTTGTGAGTATTGTGGATGAGCTTCCTCTTCTTCGCTAGCCCCCTGGATTGATTCACAGGAGGACTACCTGCGGTGATAACGGTATCAGGACGACGATCAGGTATGGGATTATTTCTCTTTCTCTTCATCCTATGACGTTGAATTGGTAAAGCTTGGTTTTTGTGTCAAAGCTTTATTGAAAAATTTCGTTACAGAATCAAACTACAATTTCCAAACCCTTTCAAACAGCCAGTTTCTTATCTGATTTCTTCAAATTGATAGACCTAGGTACCTGCCAAGGTAAATTCAAGCTTGCCGGTTCAGGAGTACAGGTCGTCATCAGGCTGACCGATACGAGGTGGAACGCAAGATAATGATGATGAATTCAATTCTGCCGCTTCATCATATTCTAGCAACAAAATTCGAATGCGCAGGGTGCTCTAACCAGCACTTTTGCGATTAGTGAATACAATGGCACAGTTGGGTGTTGGACTCGCATCCCTGGCACCTCAGCTGACGTTAATCGTTACCCACACATTCGCATCTCTTCCTCAAGTCAATGCTTTCTTACCGCAACAAGAAAATTTGAAGGCTGTCACGAAAGGTGTATGCTGTGGATTGACGACGTCCACAATATCGTATTTTGGTCAAAAAACAGGAATAGTCGGCCATCCTTTGAACATCAGAGGCGTAGAAACTAACTTGATGCATGCTTTGGGACGAGACTCGATCGGGTTTGCGGCTTTCTTTGGGACATATGAGCCAACTCGTCGCTTCGTCTGGAAACATACATCTCAACTCACTGGTGTGAAATTTGATGTCTCAAGTCTGTCAACTATGGCTGCGCTGGTGTCGACGATCTGTATATCTGGTGGAATTGCGGGTGTAGCATTCGAGGTCTCTTCGTCGGTCTTCAGGGGAAAAATATCACCTCCGAAACATATTCTAACATCTACTATTCCTGCCAGCGCTTGGTGTATGCTGATGGTGAGATTTTCTACGTATTACATCTTCTCATTGTTGTTCGGTTTCTTACCCAAAAAATCTCCTTAGCTACATTTCATTCAAGGATCGTTGTTTGACAAATCGAAGTGGCCTACTAATTGATAGGAACAGATTGATTTATATATATATCTAGCTTATGACAATCAACAGCACAGTAGAATTTGCAGCCATATACAGTATATAATACATCATTATTGGGTATAGTTCTCGTCTTCTTCATCGGATTCAAAATCAGACTCGGCTGCTTTGCTCTTACGTTTCTTCTTTGGCTTTGAAGCTACTGGACTGGCAGGCATAGACTTGCGAGACTTGGAGACTGGTGGACGCCGAGTCTGTTTAGGTTCCAAGGAAACGCGTTTTCGCTTCTTGCCAGGAGGAGGCTGAGGTTCATCTGGAACATCAAGGGGCTCAGCTGGCAAATCAACGTCCATTCCGACTTCTTGGCTAACTTCATCCGATGGCATGTGGTCTTCAGTCATCAATGACTGGAACTAAAAGATAGTTTGTTTGAGAACGGTAAGAGGAATGGTTAATATAGGCGGATGGGTGAATAGTGGAGTATTCGTTATACCTGAAGACAGTGCTCCTGCATCTCAGCAGCATTCGTCATTGGTTGGCAGGCATACTTGAGGCGATTCCAGTTGAAGGGCGTCATCGCTAGAGTAGTGAGAGGATGCTCAGAATTTCGCGGACCATCTTTGACACTAGTACTGTAATGCGCAATGAGAAATCCAATCAGTGAGTTCCGTCGGAAGCTACGTGAGCGAGAATTTGGCAATAAAGCAGAAACACCAAAGCACTTACGCGTGAGTGACACGATAAGCAGTCTCCAAATGGATCTTGGCCAAGAGAAGCATACCCATGCTCAATGACGACGTAGCTACTTCGGTAAGGCGATCCTGTCTTTGAACTGAAATTTCTTGAGTCGATTGGTGACGGAAGCCAAAGCCAATAAATTGTATTCGTACCTTGCAATTCCGATTGTTCCTCACCAGAAACATGGCTTTCAATCCACTTCAGATCTGACTCTGCAGTTATTCCTAGTAGTCGATTGGCATATGTCACTACGAATACTACTTCCTCCATAGTCTTAAATGGTAGACTAGCAAGATTCTCAGCAACAAAACGGAAGAAGGGTATCGAGACCTAAGATAATGAGTGTGAGAAACAGCACATCTTTGGTCCGAGCGACAAGCAGACAAACCTCGACATCAGTCTTGGAATCAAACACCGCAACCAACGCCTTGAGAAAGTCGTTTCTGACTGACTTTTTGAGTGACTGAATGACAGTATAAAACATTGCCAGAGGAACTGAGTCACCTAATGATAGTCGCCCAAATATTCCGTGAATTCTAGGGTCCACATCACCCAAAAAAATCTGGGCCCAATCACTTACTAGGACCAGCTTTGGTTTGATAATCAAAGACCGTCTTGACACAGTCAAGGTTTTTGGCTCCCATCATACTAGAGTGCTTTACAGCCAACTCCTTGTGCAAGACATGAGCTCGATCTCTTATATCGGATTCTTTACAAGATTGCATCGCTGCAAGTGCAGGGACACAGAAAAGAGGATGGACGAGACCTTGTTTCACAGTAATAGCAATGACTTCGAAGGCCGGCACCAGTAAGGTCTCGCCTCCATCCAGCAGACAAGTTATGACATTCTCTGCATATGTTTGCATCAACCACGATGAGACTCCATAATCTGTCATCTCGTCGTGATTTCCAATCAAAGCACTGACCATCCCGCCTTGACTAACTTCACCCCCTTTATTGTTGATATTCTCAGTTGGAGCTTGGAAGCGTTCAGCTTCAATTTGCAGAAACTCCAACAAGAAGCGAAGTAACTGAATCTTTATTCCAGGATCCTTGCTGGCAAACGTGACGTCAATCAGATTACGAGACTGCTCAGCTTGCATCAAGCGGGGTTTGACGATAAATAGGCGAGAAAGAGCAACGAAGCCAGCTCTATCTAATTCAGGGATGCCCGAAACAGCCAGTTTTAGCAACGGCACATATACAGCTTTCGTCACAGTATCATATCCCTATAGGCATTAGATAGCAAAAGCAGGGGTATTGAGCAAAAGCGTTGATTTCTAAGAAAATTCACTTGCCTTGGAAATAGTGTCGAGTTTTTTAATCAAATCCTCTGAGAGTTTTCCAGACTTGAGGAGTCCATCGTAATCCACATGCTCCATCAAACTACTACAAACCATGGCTGCTCTTCTTATTTGGGTTATGCTAAGTGGATCAGCTCTGGCAGGTAATTGCTTTGATAGCTTCCCAAGAACATCCTGCATCATTTCTGGAAACCGAATGTTGGCTGTAATGCCGCTGGAGTAGACAAGTAACAATCCATACCAATAGTTCTTGCCAAGGGAAAAACCAGCCTGTCATAATTAGATGTAATTCTTTGGACCAGAATAGACAAACATCGAGCGGCACCTTCCACGATCTAGAGTGATAAGATTTAGCGTCTCCCTCACATTCTCAAACTGATGGGATCAACAATCTATCCTACCGCTTGACTATTGCTTTTTGATAAAAGACTGGTGAGCTCGACTTCCAATAGCGTCATAGATTTGGCATCTGGGTCAACGAGATACGGAGAGACATTGGCCAACACTGACAGGATCAAGGTGGGAATTCGTTGGTCTGCTTTTGCAGACTCTCCGCTCAAGTATGATGAGAGCGCTCCGGCCTGAGTGATCAGACCGGCAGAGCTATATTGCGAGACACTTGACAATAACACCAACGATTTTCGTGATGAATCGTAGTCAGCATTTACCATTTCCGTCATCAATTTCTCAAATAGACACTCATTCAACATCTTGAGGGCACCATCTAGTTGCTGAACAGATTTGCTCGTTGATTTTTTTTTATTAAAGAGTTGCTTCAGCAATTCACTGAAAGCAGACTCGGTATGACGAGTGAGAACGACTGTTTGTCTAATCAACATGATACGATCAGAGATTTCTTTTCGTATGGGTAACGAGACGGCCGAATATGTCTTGGTGTTGTGGAGCGGGTTCAGCCACATTTCCAGAAGCGTTTTGACTGAAGCCTCCTAACATTTTTAAGAAGAGTACGTTGGATCGCAGATTCGGCGTCAGAGGACACAAAGTTCTGCGTGTGCCCACCTGTACACTTTCTTCGGAATCGTCAAGACGAGTCAACAAGTGCATTCCAATGCCAACTAGGATCTCTTGATCGAGATCAGTCCTAACTTCAAGTTGAAGCAACTGGTTAAACATATCTCTAGCAAGTTTCAGCATTCTCTTTCTGACTACGAGTGCCACGTCCTAGTTTTCCACTTTGTCAGTAATGAGTCCTCTTTGATAGCACATAGCAAAAAATGCAAGTCTTACCAGCATCCGAGCTTGGACAATTGGATAATAATGGCGCAAGACCGTTATATCGCTTGAACTGCATATTTGTTTTCCGAGAAATTCCAAAGCTGCATCACGGACCGCTGGGCTCGGGTCTGTCAGTTTTGCTTGCATTGCGTTGGTGACATTGGGATTGGTAAGTATACGACGATCTGAGGCAGCGACGAGTCCCAAAGCACGGAGGGCCTTGGCTTTTACACCAGCCAGATCCGAGTCAAGACACGAAAGTATTCGTTTGACATATATCTCGTATGAAGAGTATGGCGGCATGGAGACTAGCGCATCTTGAAGCAACAAGGCGACGTCTGATGCAGATATTTTATCATACGACTCTTTTGATTCCATCGAGGGAGATGTAAGTAGATGGCAGTAGCTCAAACACAAATCGTCTGCGGTTGCGACATCGCAAGTGCCGTTTTTGACTATATATGGAAGTGAGGACATCCATGTTACCATCCAAGATTGAGCGGCCACTGAGTAGTCATCATTTTGCTGATCATGCAAGTAAGCAATGATCTGTTTTTGATGATCCAGTAATTGAGTATCAGTTTGACTCTCAGTTTGCTTTGAGATGAGACTACCGAGACGACAAGCGAGATGAGCCAACTTGTCGAGTGCATGTGACTGGTCTGCAGCTGAGGACTGCTTTTTGTCCAATATTTGAATCTGAAAAAAAGTGAAAGTTAGAACATTGTTAAGCAGCATTGGTTTCTCGAACGAGGAACTTGCCATAAATCGTCCAAGTCCATCTGCAATTACTGTTGCACCTGGCCATTCTGCTGTCTCTAGAGTCGTCCATACATCTTGTAGAAATACATCAAAGACCGCTGAATACTCTTTTTCTGTTGTGAGAGCCTCTTTGGTGCGTTTTGTCTTTTCAATCTTGTCTTTGTCCGTCTCCAAAGCAGATGAGCTACATTTGGTGACGAAGAAGTGCAATATAGTTCGAGCAGCTGTATTGGCTGGGATGATGAACAGCTTTCGAGCTACCTTAGCAACTTTGACACATACGGAAGATTCGACTAGGTCTGCGTCGGGAATCAATGAGCCAGACTTTCTAGACTTGCTAGAAAATCCTGTTGCCTTCTGAGGCGATTGAAGCAGGGCTTTTAGCGGCGACACTGGTACTAGTGGAACACAACAAAGTCAGTCGCGAAACAGCAAACACGATACCAAAACGAAAGTAGCAGGAAGCACGATTGGCGTACCATCAAGGTCCATTTCAATTTCGGCATCGTTCGTGACATGCTGTAAAGCGTTGCTAGATTTGATCCCAACGACTTCTTGCAAGCTGGCAATAGCTTTTGCAGATGAAGCATAGGACTGCACAAGTTGCAGTACAAGTGCAGAAATTACGTGAATCTTTTTACCATTACTGAGGCGATATCGACGTGGAGCTTTTGGATTTGAGGTTTGTTGAGTGAAGCTTGTAGTAACATTTTCAAGGATATCACGTCTATGTGAAGGGAAATCTGCGTATATGGCTTTCAAGAGCTTTAATGCCATCATTTGCAGGGAATCTAAATTTAGAGATGCGACGAAGGATGTAACATTCTCGTCAACATCATCGACACCGTCAAGCATAAAAGTTGAATGGGCTGCGGCAATTGCTGAGCCGATTACTATATCGTCCAACTTAAGATTAACCAGCAGATTAGCGAAACGACCTAAAACCTCGGCACAACAGGTGCAGATTCCAGCCATTTTGGTCTCGAAGCTTGCAGTCAAGGGTAGGGCTTTTCGAGAAACCAACTCAATGACAGCATATAGAGTATCTGCAATTTGATTCTTGGCCATATTTACGACAGCACGAATCAGGTCCTCTGAATACAACTAGAAGATGAGATGTGATTGCGTTGACATAGAGCAATTGATGACGGTTCTTGAATCAATATGACTTACCGAATTGGGTATAATTCCTTCGCTTTCCACCTTTCCACCACATAATATTGACAAATACAAGCAGCCAGCCTCTAAGCCTGCAGCAGCACGATGCAATTTCTTGGTAGCGGCGTCCATAATGTCTGAATTGTCCTCAGATTCAGAGGATTTTTCAGAGCTTTGCTTGGCAATCGTTTTTATCCCGACATCAATATGTTCTGCATCTCGAATTCTGGCTGCTAGAATTTGGACCAGTACTTCAATCGAGTTTTCGTCCAATGTGTCGACCAGCTTAGCCAGTTTACTGGCATCAATGACTCGAGTCATAGCTCTACAGAGCTTTGATAGAACCGTCTTGCTTAATAGGGAGTCCTCAAACACTTCAGAAGCGTCTGATTTGGATTCATATTCCCTGAGCAATTCAGGGATGATCGTTGCGCACTTTTTAAGAGAAGCTAGCAAGGGAAAAGCTTTAGACTGTGGCCACGAAAAAGCAGAGCTTTGAGAGTAACTTACACTGCCATGACTTGGAATCTGCATCAAGAGTTCGCCTTCTCTTTAGCTTCGAGGTGTCACGCAACACTTCATCAGCTCGACTTCGTTTTACGGTAGGGCTATTGGAATAGTCAGCGTCCAATGTGAGTGGCATATATTGTTGTCGTAGTTGTTTTGACGACGGTGATGATGCATATTGAGCAGCTGCTGGTGACGATGGAGGGGGTGGTGTGATGACTCGTTCGGTAATAGTTCTCTTTCTATCAGACTGCACTTTTGCGATATACGCATCGTAGATCTCTTTGGTGGTAGCTTCCAGGGCGACATAAGCGGACTTTTCCTTGGAGTCTGGTTTTGGGATGAAGAAGATTGAGCGAAAAATAAATGAGCGCATCTAAATTTAGCGAAGTCGTCAACGCACCATTTTGCAACGATTCATTGCCAGAATGAGAATATGAAGAGTCAAAAAAATCAGGTCGTAATGGCCTAATAATAGAACGGATCAAAGTCATAGGTTCAAACTGAGATCTGAATATCCACTTACACAACTTTTGTGACTGATGGGACAACCACGACATAGTTCTGACTAGTTGGCACGGTAACTGTGGGCTCACAGATTATAGAAAACGACGGAAATAGCTTGGTCACTAAGAGGTAGTCACATGAAGTGTCAAGCAGCCTTCACGCAAAGAGTACTGGAACTACTCACATTGAGACAAATCGGAGACACTAGAAGCCAGTGATGTCACTCCTTGCTTGCTCATAATTCCAGGATTCCATTCTTGGTCGCTCATGGCTGCTCTTGCTTGTTAAAGGTTAGATCTATATTTTGTTTGTGAAGGCGAACAACGAAGCACGCGTGCTTGTTCGTTTCCAACTCATGATGAGGATGACGTGCTTGATTGTGAATCAATTTGACAACTATGCTCTCTTGGTTATTACATTACATTTTACATTACTTGTACATGACCAGCTGCTCTACATGTACACTTTTCACGTATAGAATATATATACAGATGGCAAGACACTCTATTTACGTGTCATCTTCAAGGTCAAAAGATTGGGGAGCTAGTGGCAGTTTCAGTTGGTTGATCAACACTAGAGCTCAACTCAATAGTTTCAGCAACACTGACTTCATGAGGTTCAACATCTGCGTCATCGTCCTCTTCCCATGCGTCATCGTCATCTGTATGAGAAAACATGCCTCCAGACCATGCATTATTACTGCTACTATTACTGCTACCGTTGCCTTCATCGCTGGTAGTCGCAGTCAACGAAGGAGATGTGCTGGTGGTGGTCACTCCAGTTGTTGAGGAGTTGCTAGAACGGTGGTTGACAGACCAAACCTCGGCAGTATCATCGTCATCATCCGAGTATACATAACGAGCCGTTGTTCTATAATTGGTGTTTCGTTGCTGAGATTCTTCTATTGCCAACTCCTCGTAGGCACGCTCAGCAAACTTGTCCCAGCCTCTGTTCATTGAAGGGTGTGTTTCAGTTGGTATTAAAGTTGAAGGTTGGGCAAATAAGCAACCCAACTGTGATGACCTGTACTTACTCTAGTTTTACACGTCTGCCACGACCATCCACAACTACGACGTCATCCATTTCTCTCCAGGCAGGGTCAATACGTCGAATGAAGCTGTCATACTTCTTCAAGTCGAATATCATGTCAAAGAATATACTGGCGGATCCACACTTTTTCAAATCATGCAAACTGACGGCATGCTTTTGCACAGGTTTCACTAAATCTAGCAAGGCACATACAAAGTCGTCGAACTTCCACGGATCCGCCAAACGGTTCTCAATCATCTTGGCATGCTGTTGAATTTGCGTGAGTGACTGAAAACGCCAATGAAACGAGCTTGTGCAAAGTGGATATTACCTGCTCTTCCCAAAAGTACTGTAGTTCATGTAGCGATATCAGGCCGTCGCCGTCTGTATCCAAAACCCTAAACCAGTACTCAATTCCTTGCGGTGTCCTCTTGTCTTCATTTGACAAAATGAACCCTGAGGATCAAAGAGAAGTTAGTATTCATCATAAATATTGACCACAATCTCCACTGCTTACAGATAAAGTCTCTATAACCCATAGTTGTGGCATTTCTAGCTCCAACTACGGGACGACCGGCACCCTCTGCAATGCGAGTGACAACTCGAGGTATTATTGATGATCGATCGTATCGACTTAGCGCTCGACGGTCAATCTGCATATCGTGATCAGAGTCCAATTCCCAAAATTTGCAATAAATTACATAAAAGTGCTTGTAGGAGAAGACGTCACGAGTCTTTGAAATAGAAAGTGTCAATAGATGTTGTCCTTGTCAGTTCAAATAGAGCATGCAAAGAACGTACAGAGTTGATATCGTCTTGGTTTTCCAGATTCCTTATAACGTTCAAGATGCCAGTCTTTTTGAATTCAGCAAAAGTCATCCGGTCATTCCAATTCTGAGTCTTTCCATAAAAAATTCTAGCTACAACTGTCTCAACTATGATCGTAGATAATATGTCAGCCAAGATCTGAGGTCCAGACTGTCGAATCAACTGGATCTCACCATATCTGGCTTGAAAAACTGGCAACGGTGCTAAAAATACCAGACCAGGGTGATGATGTACCACGTCTACTCGGAAATACGTTGGTCGTGCTCTGATTTGAACACTACAATGTAGGAGCAAACGTACCGGTCACAACGAGCTCAATATCCTCCGGTTCAATGAAATTATTGACATTCTGTTTAAATACACCAAATGCCAAAGAGTCCTCTCCACGGAATTTTGTCGTTAGAGCAGACCAAGTTCTGCCATTAATGATACTTTAATCAACGTCGACGTCAACATTAAACATTAATCGATTCTTACTGCTGAAAGGCTTGAAAGAAGACTGGCTTGTCTCGTTCGCCGCCACATTGACGAAACAGGCAAGCATTGAGATATCTTGGGAGCTGACATCGTTCAGTGACCTTTTCAAAATCGCGTTCACTTAAGCCACGACCTATGAGATTCTCAGAGTCTACTCCAAACAGCTGCTTTTGCGCCTAATATAATATGTCAGTCCTTGCCAGGTACTAGTTGGTAACCGTTTTGGGTGCAGGACTCACCAAACCATCAGGTTTGCGGGAGGATTCGTCTGGATTTGTGCCAATAGGGAAGTAGAATGGTGGTATCACATGCTATTGGAAACACGACACGGTCAAACATGTAAAAAGCTTGCGAGCGTGTGTGCCATATTTTGACATACCAAAGACACAGCTGGTGGTACGTCCAACATGGGAACATCTCCTTCGACATCAGCAGTGAGATCTACACCGGAATCAGACTGACTTTTGACATTACGATCGCCTGGACCTGTTGTGGATAGACGATGCTCTGGCCAAAGCAAGTGCTCCACGTGTGGTTGTGAGACTTTGTTTTCTAGATCTGTGTCACCTTCCATGCTAGGTTGACATAAAAGCATTTCAGCACCGGCTTCAGAAACAGGTGGCTCCATACGGAGGGTGAGGAACGGAGCAAGAGTTGGTTCAAGTGAAGGAGACAAGGGCAGTCCATCAATATCCATGGCATGAGGCGAATGAGGGGCATGTTGGGAGATGGGTCTGGATGATCTAGATGGTTTGGGACTACGCGGTGGCGTTCTTGACTCTCTCTCTGACGGGTGTGTTGGAGTTGTTTGATGTTGTGGCGACATGTATGACGGGAATGGATCTAGATCCGACATTGCAGTGTCGACCAATATGAGTGGAGACTGTAATGGAGGGCTGTTGGAGTGTTGTGTGTGTATAGTAGGTGCATTTATGTTGGCACCCGCCAAAGTTGCCATCTTGACAGACGAGGCAGATAGATCAATATCAGAAGAATGATGTGAGGAATTATCAGAGTTGCGTAATAGACTAGTGTTTGGAAGTAGTTCCTTTGTTGTTTGTTGGTCTTCAGATTCCATTGATGGATTGAAAATGAACTCGACAGCTCTCCTGAGCATCTAAAAATAGTGCAGGGATGACTATGGAATGAAAAATCAGTGGATGAATATGATGAATATGGCACTGGTTCCTTTATGGGGTTACCGATTTTGTTGCTTTGACAGATGTAGCAGCCTATTGTTTTCACCACAAGAGTTTACAAGAACGGGCCAATTGTGTTGGTAGTTCCTGTGAAAGATCTACCGTTCCTGTAAAAGATCTACTGAAATGAGTCCAGTTCTAGCCGCGAAACGCTGGTGGGTGTTAAACTGCTGTCGTCCAAATGGAAATAAATGAATGAAGTCAGAAGACATGTGTGAAAATCAATGAAACCTTCACGGCAAGAAATTCACTCTAATCTACCCATCTAACGACATCAACCTTATCAAAATAGTCAAGATTTATTGAAATACACGTAATATCTCTCCATTTCACGTCCTAGATTACTGAGTCTCCCCCGTACAATGTTGAGTGGACCAACAAGCAGTCCCGTCTCGGATGTATTATGTCTTTCCTAAATAAGCGACAACTATAAACTCTCGAAATTCCACCTTTGCATGCGTCTCTCGTTCTCGGCCATTGCAACATTTTTTTTCTTCGCTCTCCCAACTCAGACCGCCTTCCCACAAAATTGTCAAGTGGAACTGCAAGATACAATAGGAAAACCTTCAAATCATGGGTGTCGGTCCTCTGAATGATCTCTTCGATGTGGTCTTGTATCAATTGTTCAAAACCACTCCTGACCAATTTTCCTTCACTGGGATGCCATTATCTCAAAGGACAACTTGCTGTAAGTATTTACATGCAGATTTCGTTACTGTATCGATTCACTAGTAGACCTGTATCTTTTGTTTTGCGCTGGTCGAAACTTGCCCAACATTTGCAAAGTTTTCAGACCAAGCGAGCAACATATCTGGAGGCCGGTCAAGACACGGCCACCACCCATTTTTACGCAGCGCATTCAGCCACTAACCTCACAACTCTCAAAACTACCACGCAGGGGCTATATGTGCTTCCTATTTGGCTATTGTACTGAGCGGCTCCTTCTTGATGAGATATGTCGAAAAGCCAGTAACCTTCAAGTGGATCTTTTTCTGGCACAATGCAGTCCTCTCAACCGCCTCCGCTTACCTGTTGGGCCTTTTTATGGAAAATTTGATCCCAATCATTTACAACCACGGCTTGTTCTTTGCCATTTGCGATGCTGGGGTAGGTGATTCTTATAGATATACAGTACACGTGTCACTTCACCAGTTCTATTTCACAGTTTGACTCTCACCATCCATTCATTGGTAGGCCTATACAAACCGGATGGAACTGTTGTACTATATAAACTACCTCTTCAAATTTTGGGAACTAGCGGACACCGTTTTTTTAGTCCTGAAGAAGAAACAACTCGAGTTTCTGCATGTCTACCATCATGCTGCCGTAAGGCTCTTCTGTTTACAATGTTTCAAGGGTTCTGTCTGACCATTTGTTTCTCTAGACGGCGTATCTGTGTTTCATTGAACTAGATGGACGCACATCCGTGTCTTGGGTGGTCATTACTTTGAACCTGTTGGTTCATGTCATTATGTACTATGTAAGTATCGCCCCGCTCTTGTGCCCGCAGAAATGGCCCCCCTCTCTTGTTTGCTCGATGTTAACACCATCCTTGCTTTAGTACTATGCAAGAACAACAGTGTCCTCGAAGCCAGTGTGGTGGAAGAAACACTTGACCACCATGCAAATCACCCAATTTGTAATCGATCTCGGTGTAATCTACTTTGCCACGTACAACCTGTACGTTTCTAGATACTATAAGCATTTGCCACACTATGGTGGATGTTATGGCAGCGAAGAGGCTGCCCAAGTGGGTTGTGTCATCTTGTCATCGTACCTATTGCTCTTCATCCAATTCTTTATAAAGACATACTATGGCATCCGTGCCAGTAGGGCTAGTAAGGCTAACGGGGTTAACGGTTCAGCTCCCAAATCGACAAGATCGAAAAAGGCAGAATAGTCTCGAAAAAATGTAATCTCGCAATGTAATCTGCAGTTATAAGAACACAATATATATGATAGAGTCTTTATCGTTCAAGCAAACCGAAATCTTACAGTAGTTTACATATCGCACAGTTTTCTTCAAGTTACTTGTTGGCCTGCGCTGCGAAAAACTCAGTTACATCCTTCTCCGTTACCACAGATCCTGTATGGAAAGGCCAACGTTAGAATTACAGAGTGTGAATACGTTTCCATCCCTGAAAAGACTTACTATCACTCATTTGGCTGAAAAATTCTTCCATCTTGCTCTTCAAATCATTGAGCTTGTTCACCGCGTCAACTGCCACGGCTCTTTCAGCCCGACCCAGCTGCTTCGTCAAAACGTCCATAAATGACCCTTGGTCTTCGTCATCCAGTGGCGGTGTGACCAATTTTTCAAGTGTACACATCCATGGCACGAGCTTGTAGTCGTCAATGCACTTTCATTCGTTTTTGAATTGTAAGCCATAGTATTTTCAAAGATGCGGTTTAAAACCTGCGTTTACCTTTTCGCACTGGCAAAGTGATTCATTCCACGTTGAAGCCAAACACAAGAAGTCACCTGCCACAAGTTTTCTTTTCTTAGAAGTGTGCTCCTCCTCTGAGCTTGGCTGCAATTTTGCTCTCGATTTTCCTGTACTTGGTAGCATTGGCAGCCAATTCTATTGATTGAAGTGAGCAAGTGTACATATGATACTCAACAAACAACTTACTGTGATGGAAATCGTATTTAACTACACATGCACCACAAACGAGATCTTCAGCCTCTTCAGGGCTGCCTCCGATACAGGTTTCGTGAAACCAATCGTCACAGATGACGCATTGGAAGAGGGTCTCTTCCTCGAATTCTGGGCAGTAGGACTCATCACAGACACAATATCTGGGTGGTGAAGCGAAGTTGTGTCCGTATGTGTTTTCATCGTTTACAAAAGTGTCGTCCTTGTGCATCAGCGCACATTTCACGGAGCACGCACTTGTTCCACAATCACTATGAGAAGACATGATGGATGTTGAATGAGGGATGCCAGGTTGAGTGCTGTCTCTAAAAGACACACAAACCATCTAAAATGGTGTTTCTCGTCAAGTTCTTCAATTGTATGCCCTTCGTGGCACATTATTCTATTAGAAGAGATGGAACAGTTATGAAACCACACATAGAATTGAGTATTCTTGTTAGAAAGCGGGTAGAATAATTAGTTAATGTACATACTGGCAGGGACCGCAGATTCCTCCAGCTCCACGACCTTGGTCAAGACAAGTGAGGCACAGAAAGACACTCTGGTAGATATAGCCTTTCTCATACATGCAACGAGAAACCTCGTAGGGGTATGTATCCCTCGCTTCCTGTTTTTTGAGATTGACGAGCGAATCAGCTTCGAACAGGTAAAATAGCAAGTAAATATTTAGAAATGCGACTTGAGTGTAATTGGGTTTGGCAACGTTGAGCTTGGTACTAGTGCAATCAATGGCTCTTAAGTGCCACATCCGCAGCACTCAAATGTTTGATGGAAGTGATGAAGCGAGACGAGCAGCTTACATTCCACTGATGCTCATCTTCTTCTAGTAGCTGAGATAGGGTGACTTCCTGCTCTTCCTGGGTGTCATCGTTCTTGTTATCATTGTCATTGCTCACTGGAATAATGTCCCCTTGTTTGCCGTCCATCTCGTCAGCTGCCATGGTATTGACCTTGAATGAAAGATGTCTGAGCGTTATTTAGGAGGGATCTTCCTCTGATCCGACTGCTTTCTGTCGATTACACTGGCCAATGCTGTTATTCAAAAACACGAGTCGACACACTTTCCGAACAGAGTACGGTCCAGAGGTGGTTGAAAGACGTGCAATCAGTGCAACTACATATTATTCGTCCCATATTTACGCGTGTCGCAAACAACCACTAATCCTCATTTATTACTACTGTTGCAATTCTTCACGAACCACACTACAACAAAGACAGCAACAGAAATGGCCTTTCGAATGGGTCTCTCGGGACTGGCACGAGCCGTCCAGCGAAGGAAAGCCTCTACTTCCTCTCCTATTGGTACGATGAATCCAGCTTCCTTCCCACCCGTGGAGGAAGTTATGCTGAAGGAGAACTATGCTGCAAGGCAGCACGCGAAAGGCAAGTGCCGTATTTTTGCATAAGTACCATTGCAGCATACCACGATACGCTAGCCAATGGATGAGTCATATTTCATCCAATCGAAAACACATTTCTCCTGTTTTTTGCTCATTGATTGGGACGACAAAAGCAGTCTACTCTTGCTGAAAGGGCGATTGTCCGAAGCACAAACATGTTTGTACTTTACTAACAATCCGTTAAACCACAGGGAGTGTCGCCTTTTGGTGGCGTATCAACCTGTTTATTGTCATGCCGGCATTGATTCTCGTTGGTATGTACTCGGTTCCTAAAGAATTAGAGCACATTGCCCACTTGAAGGAACATCAAAAGGAGTTTGTCAACTTTCCCTACTTGAGGAAGCGAAAGAATGTACGTGACGGGCTTCTAGGTTGATCGTTGTAATGGTTCATGAGTTATCGTTGTAATGGCTCATGAGTTATCGTTGTAAAGTCTCAGAGCTACCTAGAACTCATGAACTCGTCTATTCTAGCCCTTCCCATACGGCGATGGTGACCACTCTCTCTTCGCAAACAAGTACTCAAACCCTGTAAGGACGTTATATCCTGATGTAAACCCAAATTTCAGTCAACTGAATGTTTATGTCTTGTTCTTAGGATCCCAAGGTGGATGAAGAATAAAGCAAACAAATCAATAAATAGCGCTGCCTAAGGAACGACATAACAAGAAAATATATCAAACCTTTAAAACATACTTTTTGAAAGTGTTTGTCTCTTAATGTCCGACGCTACCGTAACTACTGACGTTGATTCAGTGCTGAACCAGCCATTCGAGGCTATTGATGGTAGCCATGCCTTCGATATCGCGACGAACGTAAATCGTGAAGGAAGCAACAAGTTTTCCAAAGTTTTGTCAACAAAAGTGAGTACCTATCCAATTGTGAGAACGAAAATGTCAGTTTCCACTTTGAAAATGAGTTACATCCTCTTTGATTCCGCCAAAACCTATGCATCAGGGCAAGGAGCTGAAATGTCGCACCGACATCGCAACCGTGAACTCCGGCATGTAAGAAGCTGATCAGAGCTCTTTCTTTGTAGTGGCAAGGAGACGTCGCTGTACCTCATGGAGGCTATATGTTGTCCGTATCGTTGGAGGCACTGTCACGATTCTACGATGGAATTCATCCTCATCCTGTGTCTGCTACTTGCTACTATGCGAAACCAGCGAGAACAGGCAAACGAGTCGACATAGATATTCATGAACTTCGACGAGGAAGGCAGTTTTCAACCGCTATAGCTCGAATGTCTCAAAATGGCCAACTCATAACACATGTTGTTGCCACGTTTGGCGATTTGTCTCAGACCAAAGGCTTGGCTACTGTTATCATGGACAGTCCCAACAAGGTACGTTGAAATTCTTGCAATTGCAGCCTTACTGCAACATATTTGAGCCTCATCGCTTGACATTAGGTGGTTCATCCACGCGAGTGCATAGCGTCAAGGTCTGGAGGTGTCATTGCGAGGCAATGTCACTTGCTCAGTGACCCACGAGAGAAGCCCGTTTCGAAGGATAGGGCCGAAAGAAGGCACTGCATTAGATTCAAGGATGGACGTGCACCGTGCGTTAAAAGTCTTGCTTTCTTCGCTGATGCGTTTACGCCCCCAACCTGGAAATACGGCATGGCCTTCCTTGGTAGGCCGTTTGACTCTCGTTTTCTTGAAAGAATTTATCTCACTCTGTGTCAAAAAATAGGCGGCAAGGTGTCAAGCTTTGGAAGGCATTCAGCGTCTGCAACTATGCTAACCCAACAACTTTGAATGCTCGCTAGGTGTGGACACCAACTGTCGAGCTCAACATTCAATTCCGAAAAGCAGTGATCAATCCAGGCTGGCTGAAACAGCACATCTATACGCGGTTTTTGTTAAATGGAAGATTTGAGGTGGACATGGACATCTTTGATGAACAGGATGAACTAGTATGCGTTGCGAGGTAATTTGGCACGTAAATTCACTTGCCGCATTCTCGTGCTAACCTGCTCTTTGATTGCAGACAAATGGGAATCACTCTTTCACATGAGAAACAGACTTCCAAATTATAACACTCAAAGACTGAATCTCAGATATATTTTGTTTGCTGTTGCTCAATAATGGTTACATCATTTACCGATGTTTCTTTTTACAAATATATGTTTCATAGCAGACGGAGTTTGACAAAGTCCTTATTCATTTCAGATGGGTTGACTTTGTAGAGCTCTTCGTGCGCTTTTGCTTCAAGTGTTTCAAGACTTTTCATCCAGTCCTTGGGGAGCGAATCTCCTTTGGCAATACAGCTCTCGACGTACAGGGTGATATATGAGATATAGCAGAAAACCGATGCTTTGGGTATCAAAATTGCTGTCATATGAGCCTGTTGGAGTTTAATAAGCGATGGCTCTTCCTCCAGACGTGCCTTGGCTTCATCGGAGGAATGGAAACACATCCGCGAGAGAAGCTGATCACATACTGCTAATCGAAGACTGTGCCCAGACATTGACTATTTACAAGCACAGCCAATTACTCAAACAGGAGATTTTGGCCGTTTATTGCAACGTTTTGCCATACCTTGAGTATCATCACAGCAATCTCTGATGGACGATCAATATCTGAAGAAAGACCATCCCACCACTGAACGACTGAATTGACAAATCCATTCCAATCTATACAGCCAGACTCTGCCACATTGCTCAGCTACGGAATGTAAACTATAAATGGGGTTTTGAGGCAGGACTGAACCACACCACGAAAGGTACCTGATGCAAAAGAGTATTGACAAGGTTTAGGCACTGCTCGTTCTGCATAATTTGATCATCTTTCAAAACAGTTGAAAGAAATGCCAACGGTTGTGTGACTTTGTTCCTTCCATCTGCAGTCAATGACAAAGCAAGGCATGACATATTGACCTGGCCGGATACTGTTGAAGCTGGAATGAGGATTGGTTCAAGGGCTCAGACTGGGAGTTGATCTTACCGGCCTTGGCACATATGTCGTCTGTGAGGATATCAAATATACCATGTAATGTGGCCAATGCGCTTCCCTAAAAAGCTAAGAATTAACAAGTGGGAGTGGTCACTGACGCAAACCGCGGATCAAACCTTGTTTTCACTGACTAGCGCCCATGACTTTTCCAGTACACTCCATAAAGATTCTGCGTTTGTCTCGCAGCACCAATTGCAAAAGTCCCCAGCACCAGAGTGCAATATAGATAGACGGCGAACGGACTCCCAAAGTCTTGATACCAACTTGAGTGCGTCTCTGTCCTTTTTCTCAAGAGTCTTTAGTAAGAGCGAGAATACTTCAGACAGAACCGCACTAACAAACGAAAGATTATGTTGGCGAAGTTCAGAGAGCTCGTCGATTCATCACAGGAACCTACGGGCGGACAACGTAATGTCTTGAAGTAATGAAATCCAAATATCTCAAAGCTTGATCCACTATTTGCAATGTTGGGAGTGTATTTAGAATAAAATGATTTCGATTGTTGGTGTGAAATGTTTAATGTTTTGGCATACACACACAGTGAACTTACTGTCGCCTTCTTCAGCTTTTGATTCGACTACTCTTGAATCTAAGTCGTCCATTTCATGGATATCCTTGACGGGAGCGGTGGCTGCCCACTGTTGAACCTCGTCGTTCACTTTCCGACGTTTTGCGAAACTGTGTGCTGGTAAACCATATTTGACACGTTCAGCAGCAGAGCGCTTCTCGGTTGCAGCTTTGGCTGTCGTCTTCTTCGTCGTTTTGGCCATATTTTGAGGTTCTTCTCTTTGCGATGCTGCAAGTGAACATATGTGAATAGCTGGAAGCTTGTGCTTGAAGTTACTGCAAACACGTACACTGGCTACACTGGCGCGTACAAAACTACTAAGGGTATATTCGTGCATACATATGTTAAGAAGTAGATACTGACATATTTGATACAGATATTTTTTGGGTGTCTGCAGACTGCGCAGATACTCTCACTTTCTAACCACATATGCTATAGAGTTCAACATGTGGGCGTTCATTGGGTTGCCAGAGTCCGTTGCATAGTTCTAATTGATTAAAGTGTTAAATGGAACTCCCAACCGGTCTGTTAACATCCAATATGCTCTTACCATGACGTACTCCTTGGCCTCATTTGACAGTCCATGCATATATATCGGACAGGATATCTGGCAAAGTGTCTTGCTCAGATTACCCTCGAGCTCTCCTAAAAGCTCAACCACCAACTCGTGTCGTACGTTTATTCGTCGTCCCTCATAAGTGGGCCTCGCTTTGGCGGAGGTTGCAGCAGATATCACTAACTCTTTGCGCCAGTACTCTCCGTTCGTCCTTTGAGCTAAATTAAAACAAGATTGTTATTCCGTGATTGTGTCTACGCGTCCTGACCAAGACTTACTGTCATCTATTTCTGCCAGATCAATCGACTTGCTCTTGTCGTTTGCGTGAGGGCCAGAATGTGAAATTCGAGTTTCGACGATCTGTACAATCTTGGCATGCAAACCTCGTACTCGATAACCACTATCTACTGCTGATATATGTAACATGAAGTGTAGCTCTTCTTTAAGCGAGAGGCATGTTTTGGGCACTATCAGGCTGTATTTTACTATGTCGGATGATGATTTGTTGGATACGGTTGTCTCAGACCAAGGTTTCAGTAACGACTCCAAGTGGAATCTAGGTATTGGGACCTCCACTGTGGTGGTCGTCGTTGTTATCTGTGATCCTGGTGTGGCCGAGAAACGTTCCAATGTGCATGTGAGGTTGTAAACTACATTTCCATTATCACCATGATATGTGCCGGGTAAATCATCAGGTATTTGACCAATGTCAAATTCAAAGGGGTGAAGGCCGACTCCAAACAAACTGTTTGCTATATCAACTACAGGAGCCGCTCTTTCTCTATCAACTGCAGATAGAAAAGGACTTGAGAAAGAAAACAGTGTGAGTTAGAGAAGACAGTTCAAGTTGATTCCCAGTCATATACAGAAAAGTATTGTTATAGGAAGCGCAAGTCTTCACATGCGATGGCGCATACCTTACGGCGGGGGATTTTTGTGCTCTTCGAGATGCAGATATCACAGCAGAGGTCATTCCTTGCTCCGTACTAGATCCTTCGTTGGAGGTTCGTCGTGGGGATATTGGCGGGAGTGCCCCTAGTGACTCGATATCACCATTCAACGAGAATGGGGGAGGATTCAAGTCGAACGGTGGCGGCGCGTCAATTGCGTATGGGAGCCCTCCACCTTGCGCCAATAAGTTCGGCGAGCCATCGACAGATCGCAGATATGGAGACGATGATCCCGATGAAGCGGATTCTGGTGAAGTTCGTTCAGCGGTTCCACCCTGTCAAGAACGTTATAGTCAGACTGTATTTCGCGAAAATACAGTCTGTTATTGAGCTTACCTCGAAGAGTACAATCTCTGTAGAAAACAGTACATCCTCTGCTTTCTTTGCACCTGACAAGCCCGACATGAGAGAGTCACGTCGCTGTAGCATTGTTTTCTCTTCTCCTACAACTTTGAGCTTCAAGCTTTTGATCCGAATAGGGACTGTGAGAGTAACGTTGACGGAGCCCACGAGCCGGGGTCCTCCTCCTCCACATCCGATGAGGCCCCACTATAAATTCAAAGGTCAATGGCGGGTTGTGAATGATCAATATAGTCGAAAGAATGAAAAACGTTTGGACGGATATAGTCGACACAGGGGGATTGTAAGGTCGATATAAAGAGCAGACTAACATTATAGGATGCACAACAATAGAAATTTGCAGCAAACGTCGTCTGTTTGGTGGTGTGCAAACTTTTTTCAAAGTCACAGAATGACACATACCAAGACATTTTGCGATCCGTCCAAGGGTTTGATCTCAATATTTACAGGTAGAGGAGTTGATTGTATTCCAGCCAACCTTGGAGAAGGAGAGCCTAATGATCTCCAGCTTGGCGACTGGGGAGCAACTTCGTTGGTGACCATTGTTGTGCTGACTGTCAAGTTTCTGTGTTTTGATGAAGGAAAGAGAGTTGAATCAGCACCATAATCAACGGCTTAATTCTTCCATGGTGCAATGTCATACCGCAAAGTGCTTATAGATGTGTTTCGATGGACGTCTCTGTAAGTTGGTAAATTGTCGTCCTTCATTTTGGCAAAGCCAGACTAGATCTAGAGCTCACAAGTCACGAAGCAACCAGGAGGACATTATTATTATTCCTTGAATCTAGTAATCCGTGTACTTTACAAGGATTTATGTTTGCGTGTACGTCGTGTTGCATACTCCAAGCATGAGCCTGTTGCTAACCTCACGGCTTTCAGAGCGGGACTCTGAGGCTGAACCACCAACCTCGCGTTGTGTAATTGTTTGTAGCATCGAGGCCAACGCATACTAGGACCTCGGGAAAATCAGCTAGAGCGCTTTGCGTCGATTCTATAAGGTTGGTTTTTATTTACTAGAAAACTACTATGAAAGACTGTACTTGTGATATGTTGAGTCCAAAATTGGATGTTTATTTCTTGATGACGTCAAAATCGGCAGGTGCTAGAGAATAAAAAGGCGTTAGCATCTTGTATCAAAAATATGCAACCTGACGAGAACAGTTTAAATGCTTACGGAACAAACTATTAAAGGAAACATGTATGTTAGTTATCAGCATGCCGTGCTTGTCATATTACATCATGTAACTTACATAGCATAACAGACGGCTGCACATTCCATCACTGAAGCAATAAATTGAATCAGGAAAGTAATTGGCAACCGAAGTATGAGTAGGACTGGGTTGACTTTGCGATCCAGATCCTGTATGAAGATACCCAGCAAGTACAAGTATACAAAGGTCACAAATGTAAAGTCCTATTCGAAAGATTTATGAGATGAGAATAATGAATTGTAATAACCATTTAACAACACATTACCTTCAAGAAACCAAACCAACGGGGAGTTCCAAAATTGTAGATAATACCAAGAGGAATTGAGGCAAGAGTACCGTACAAACATAAGATACCCAATGTCCAGAAGAAGGCCCAAATCTTTGGCAAGACCAATGGCAATCGACGAATACCAACATACCACCTCCTTCTCTGCTTCAAGAAACCAATCAAGTCCAGAGGTGATTGTTCACGAACCAATCCAGGAATCTTTCCACACATGAAGCCCTTTTCCCAAGCATGTGTTGAGAATTGGTAGTCCTCCGTCAAACTACCCAAATCCCAGGTCACAGCGTTTTCAACAAGACCATTGGTGAGCAAGAATGATCCGTGACATCCAAAAATGGGACGATGGACTATTTAACCAAATATGTTAGAACCATTAGACAACACAAAAGGACCAATTTAATATACTTACAGTATGTGTACTGAAGTTGGAAACGAGACAAGTCATCACCGACTCGAATGGCATCAGCGACAGTGAAGATCCAGTTGGTCCAGTACTTGTATTGGTTGTAGAGAATGACACCTTGACCCCAGTGATAGTCTGTTTCGTACCAGATGAAGTCCAAAATACGACGTACAGTCTCGTCATCAGTGACAGATTCTTCATCGAGATGCAATATCCAGTCATATTCGGTGTATCGCATGGTTACTCTGTACCATTCTAATGCACGAGCCTTATATTTCGAGTTTGCGGTGGTAAAGGACTTAGGGCAAGTATAACAATTAATGTTGTCGACTATTGCAAGAAGATTCGAGTGTTAGTTGACCAGGAAAGGTGGAGGAATGGTACAAAGATGGAAACGACGCATACAACAACTTACAGAAGTATGGTTCATCAGTCAATACGTGCACACGAATACAAGGATGTAGACGTTCCAAGTGTTTGTGTGAATTCCAAGACCGATACACAGCTTCTCGATTGTCACCTTTGGTAACGGTTAATATATATAAGTTATCAAGACGTCTCTTTTTGAGGTTGTCACGGGTGTAGAGGAATTTGGGTGTTCGGAAGGGCATTGTCAACCCAAAGAAACAAATTAATGTATATGGCATAGGCAAGAGCCAAGCTGTTCAAAGAAGGAGAAGGTAAGCAAATCATGCTACAGGCTTGTAAACTAGTCAAGTTCCACTTGTGGCCTACCGAGTTTCCAGTAACAACCAGTATTCCAGAGTACATCATCAAGATAGTATTGAGGCAACCAGAAGGTCATACCATATGTACCACCCAAAATAACAAGCATATTTATGAGCCACATTTCAGCGAGGAGAGCCATGACTACTTTGGTGTTTCCATGCCATTCTTTTCCAGGGCCGTGAGTCTTGTCAGCTGGATCATCTAGTAGAGCAAACGACTTTAAGGGTACGTTTGATCGCTTTTGTTCTTTTCGATTGTCGTATTCACTATCGTCCGAAGCTGAAGTCATCGAGTCGCGATAGTAACCCCGTCTTGGGACACCCATTCCACCACGATAAGCTGGACCAGCACGAGCTTCGGGAGTGTCTTCGGCGAGAGTGGCCGATGATTCGGAACCAGAGTCAGAGTAACTAGATGTATAGCTCGTCTGCTTAATTGTAAAGATTAGTATCAATGAAGAGTTCAAACAGGATAAGCTTCCCCTGAATATGCAAATGCTTAGACTAAATATGCAAATGCTTACATCTCTTCGGTTCTTGTAAGCGTAAACTACATCATCGTAGAAGGGTTGCATTGGTGGAGGACGTGGGACTGGCATTGGTGGATAACCTCCGCGTTGCATCTGCTGAGGACGAGGAGGCATTCCGTATGGATTAGCGGGCATCCCGTACTGATTCGGAGGAGGGATCATATAAGGCGGCGGTTGAGCGTGTTGACGAGCAACGGGTGGCGGTCTGTAGTTTTGAGGGATGTTTGGTGGCATTGGACGAGCACCAGGCATCCGAGGCTGTAAATGAGTGTAGGAAGGTAACAAGTTAGTAATGGGTTGTATGCGGAAGTAATTGGGGTGTGATGATTGCAATGTTGAGCGCCCAAAAGTGTTGACTCGTTGAAGACTCGTGAGTGCATGCGAGTCAAGTACGAGTAGGGCATCAACGGTTGAAAATAACGTTTTCAGATTGTAAATCAAGTACAGGGTGTACTCACCTGTTGAGCATAGTTCATCGGGGCTGGACGATACATCTGCTGTTGTTGTTGCTGGTACATTTGCTGTTGAGGAACCCCGGGCCGCTGTTGGTACATTGGCGAGACCGGCGGAGGAGCTCGACTGTTGCCGTACATGACTCTAGCACCTAGCTACCTGTTAGCTGTGGGGTGTTGTTTTTTCACTTGTTTGGGTAGTTTGGGTGGTTTAAAGCAAATGGCGGGCAAGAGGAGTTCACCAGAGAGGGTTGCAGAGGAGAGAAGTTGCGTGTCTGCCTAGTCCTGCTGAGATACTTTCTCTCTCTGCCCTCTATTATGAACTGCCCCTTGTTTTGTGAAATATGAAGTAGTTCTTTTTCCGTCTTCATAGCGGCAACTTTCCAAAGGCTGTGATTGGCTGGAACGCCAAACGCAAATGCGAAGAGGGCAAATTCTATTTCGGAATTGAGCTGCTTGGGCGTTGCATCGATCTTACTAACTTACATCGTAGCTCCTGAGATCCTTATCGTCATTGATATATCTTATCTACTAGATGTGGCATCATCATTGTCGTGCGTTTCGCGTACTAGAGTACGCGCCCAGAGTTTTCATCAACTTGCAGTCCAAGGCTTGGAGCGTTTTCTGTTCCTACTTTGTCAACTTGCTAACTTGCTCAGATCTAGAGATTCATAACTACGCCATAATGTACAGGCTATTGTAGGCCGCACGCCTTGCTTGTAAGTATCTATGACCAACTCAAAGCACACTGCCAATTGTAACCGAAGGTCGTTGCAAAAAGACTATCAAGATGTCAAGAGATACGTTCTACTAACTTACCATCTATTTTCTTAACGTCTTGCTGACTTGTAAATTTGGCACAATTCTACCAATCACTACTACTACTACTACTACTACTACTACTACTACTATATATCATCATCCTCGTCTCATTATCCTTTGATCTCTTTCTAAATACGAGCATTATTCCGTTCAACGGCACTATTACTATTGGGCATGCTGCATCATCGGTATTTGATGACTTTTACTTGAAAACAAAGGTGATGTGGTAGATGTGGTCATAGTGCTTGCATTGTTCAGGTCTTCAATCATCTCAGAAGACATGGAAGATCCAAATATCATCATACTGGCCAACATGTTGAAGGACGAGTGACGCACGGAAGAGTTATTTTGTGCTGCCTGCATTGGTTTTTGGTTGACTTGTGTGGCGTTCATGACTGATAGAGCAGTAGAATCTTTAAAGGTGTTCCTGAGCTTGTAAGATTGGCTGATGGTATAGTGTTCTTAGTTGTGAAAGTTGATAGGAAAATTCGAACGAATAAAGTTTGGCAAGTTTTGTGAGTCAACTGCAGGCGGTTTCTCCCGAACGCCATTTCAACCAAATCAAATCTAGCTCAAAATTCCCTACTAGCATACAAGATGCAATTCATTCATTCGACAGTCCTTGAGATTCAGGACCGTCGTGAAGCAATAGAGTTTGACGATGCGGCATGGTCTAGCACGAATTTTGACTCGGAACTCCTCGAGACTTGAGAATTTGAGCTAATAAATATCAGCGATTACACGTATGGGATGCTTGTCTTCTGGATTGATTTCTTCACGGGAAACTCGTAGTTCGTTCTTGGAAATCCAAAAACTCAAAACACGTTGTTGAGTAAAGATCAAGTGAGAATGATAGGTTGATACTCCAAACCGAGACACACAAAGAATAGTATTCCAAGGACTTAATTATGGCCTCTTCCTCGTTGAATGTTGTCGTTATGGAGCAATCTGAAACCGTCTCGCTTACGGCTGCCATTGCCAGGAAAAGCTTTGACAAGCAGTCACTCGTGCCCTCAGATTCACTGGTCTCATCCGCCAACAATGAAGAGTCTTCCCTGCAGGTTTACAGCTCAAACCAAATGAAATTGCTGCTAGATCATGCCCGCAAGGTCATTGTCGACATGCGAGAACATATCATGGCCATGGATCAAATAGGTGTCAATACCCATTTGACTCACTTTATTCGCAAGGAATCTTCTCCTTCACCTTATTGTTTCTATGATCTGACTGGGTCAACACTCTTTAGAACTTCGAAACCAACAAGGTGCCATGCCAACATACGATCAACTGGTCTTGAAATTAGAAAACATATTCACCCAACAACGCATCGTAAATGCTGAATCCGCTCGTCTCATGTCTGTAAACTATCTCGTCCACCTCGGCAACTTTGCCAGGAATCGTCAACTAGCGGTAACTTAGACGTGAATTCCCTACTATCAAGTTGATATTCATGTATTCTTATCACTCACTTATTTCACACTTGCAGAAAATTGTCGCAAAGGGGCGCAAGCAAGTCCTAGAATTGCAAAACACTGTCCAAGCTTTGGAAGTCAATGTCGACGAAATATCTACTGAAATGGAGGTGCAGAAAGAACAAGCCAATAGATTCGCTGAAAGCTTGAATAATACCCAAAAGCTGATGGAGAGCACCTTGGCAGAGGTTGAATACTTGTTTTTTAAAAGCAACCCATAGTAACAACTGACCTCTTCTTCCTGCTTTGACCAGTATCGTGAAGAGCTCAAGCGACAGGATGAGGAATTGAAAAAACAGCAAAAGCTGGTTGGAGTAAGCATCTTGAACTAGTAGTCCTAAAGCTCAAAAACCGAAAACAAACACTAAAATCATCGCCACTTTCAGGCAATGAATAAGACGCGCTTCAATCAGGACTTTATTGTCGATTCTGTCATATTTTTGATTTCATTGTGGGCGGTCAACACCATGGTTGTCGATTTACCTATTGCAGCTGCAACTACTGCAATTCGTGGCTCAAACAGGAGGCGAGTAGCTGTCAAACAGGGAACAAAGGTGCTATTGTTTATATTGATGATTTGGAGATTAAAGGCTCTTGCCAAGGGTTATGGACTTCACAACAGGTTTGTGCATTTGAAACAGTGTTTCAACAAAACTGCCATTAACTTGACTTCAACCTAGTGTCGGAGCATTTGTGCCGTATGTTTTTAGCATTTTATTCCAGCTGCATCAGGGAGCTACGTGGACAGCCCAAACTCTCTCCTATCCCTTTCAGCCACGAACCACTACTGTTGTTACGGTGCGATAGAACATCGGACCACTCATATTTGTACGCCACATAGTTTGTCAATAGTTTTGAAATACTGCATTGTAATATTATGAAACATTTCTCATTGCATTCGAAAGTTACAAATGCGGATGGACTTAACTTTTGTCTATATATTTACCGGAGTACACTTACGAAAAAATTCCCTTCTGAGTGAGCATGCGACGTTTATCTTCAGGAAGTGATGCCCAGATCGGTTCTAATACTGGAGAGCCTACCGCAGCAATCATTGATTTTAACAATGCTGCCATGCGAGACGATAGCTCATCAGACACTAACTCTTCTACCGTCAATGCATGCGCAAAGATACCAATCAAACGAGGGATATTTGCATTGCTTTGCCCAAGAATCACACCATTGTTGCTAAACACAATGATAATGAGTAAATACAGTAGTTTCGCACATCACTTGAAGACAACAGTTGTGTCCAAAACACAACAAAAAGACAAATTAAATGAAATTTACTTTCCGACTTCATATAAGAAATGATGCACATACCTTTCAATGAGCTCTATCAGGTATTCATACACGAATGGTGCTTCTTGTTGGTCCTCAATCACTGGCAGGACAAGCAACCATGCTCCAAGAACAGGATTGACATCAAAGGAAGAACCATAATATTTACATATCTTTCCGACAGCAGAGATGGCATTCTCGGTTGGCAAGACCTATTCGATCAATGGCTTTTACATCGGAATTTACAAAACAATTAACTACATTCTCTTACGTTCTCCTCAGACCTTGCATCAGGTATATTGACCAGTGCAAACAAGTTGGGGATGGCAGCTGGAGAATGTCCAAAATCGGGGGTTAGACTTTGATACATTCACACATGCACTCAAAAGTGAAACAGAACTTACCGGTGCAGAGGGGAGCAAAACTAGGACCTCCGTGTTGCGCAGCTTGGCCGACACCATAAGCGGCTGCTTGTCGAACTTCTACAGACGTATCTTGCAGGCTGCGTACAAGAACCTCCCAGAAGCGGTTGTGATAAGAGAACGATATAGGACCCATATATTCAATCACATCGTCCCATGCACAAACTGCAAACTGACGAGCAGCTTCACTGGAACTCGTCTAGTACAAACTGTGTGAGATTGAGCAGTATCAAGTGAACTCAGAACCTCACGTACCTGATATTCTTGCAATATTGGTATAAGGAGCCCCTCGAAACATGGCAAGTAAGCAGCGCCGTGTAATTTGATAACCATCTGAAGTGACTTGGAAAACTAGGGAAAGGACGTAGAAGAGTGAGGTGAGCAACACCTCACCTTTGAGCAACACCAACACTTTTGACTGCACAGATCTCGCACAAACACTCACCTCGCTCAGTAAAGAATCGTCATCTTCTTGGCTCTCAGCTAGCCCTTCTTCGTCTTCAGCATCAAAGTCCTCGTCCTTTCTGGCACCTAAGAAGGAAAATTTCTTAAATGTTAGTGTCGCAAGAGGTGTTTACAACTCTTGCATCATTTGATATTAACGACTCAGTGGTGTTGTAAGTTTCCGCAGTGGCTTAACAAGAGCCTCGGTATTGCAAAACTCTGATATTTTTCCATCATCATGGCCATTGGGCGATTTTCAACAGGGCCTCTCGCTTTTAGTACTTACGTGCATTTTCAGCAATTCGTTTGAAATGTTCTTGCAATTCACTCTTTAGAGTTTGTGTGTAACTTTCGAGCATTTGCGGACTGAGACAATTAGGACCTAGACATTCGATACACTAGGTTGTCAAAAAGTGTGAGAGAGTCAGTACAACAACTTAAACTCATAAAACATTTCAGAAAAACCAACCTCTGTAAAGGTAACATAAAACTGACACAGGAATGATGGATCAATTTCTTGATTGATAACTTCCATCAAATTCGTGCTGACATTGTCCCAATGAGCACTAACTCGTGCTGGGGCTGTAAGAAAACAAATTTGCTTTATCAATCAATTATCCTCGCAAGTTCAAACGGAAGCAGATCTCACCTGCATTGGCCTTTCTCATTGATTCAAAAAGTTGTGGAATAACAGCTGCTGATGCGAGACGTACACCATCATGGAAGTAAAATTTTAGTAACGGAATCACAATAGATAGTATTGTGTCGACATAACGATCAAATTCTGCTCCGAGCTCTCGAGCATAGCACATGACCATTTCGACCGCTGTGCATTTTTCTTCTAGCAAGTCTGTCTTGATACCGATCCTCTGAAGTGCAGTGATAGAAAAACGGTGAGCAAAAACGCATTCAATTGATACATCTCAACACATTCGCAACTAGCACATTGAGCCTACCTGGCCTTCTACTTCAACAAATTGCCAATTGTCTCCGTCTTCAAACTTTTCAAGGATCTCTTCTTCAGCTAAACAATTAAGCATTTTCTATGAGAAATGATACCATCCACCGAATGCATAAGTCCTTACTTTCACAAACGGCAAAGTCTGGCTTGATTTGAGCACTTTTTAGTAGAGGTGGCATAACAATATCTAAGTACGGTGCAAAGTCATGTCCTAAAGTTTTACATATTCTAGCCCAAGCTGCCAAAAGATATGAGCTTTGTGGGTCGTCTTGTTCCGTGATTCCAGCTTGAGTAGTCTTCAACAAATCGATGAGTTCTGCTGCATTGGGCGCAAACATGTCCTTTCCGACTGCCAATGCTATTTGAAAAGATGTTGGCAAAATCACAAAAAAATAGAGACTTGAAAGGGAGCAGATTGAGGATTTTAGAATTTAACATACCGATGAGAGAGGCACATTCCATTGCCTTTCCTCTCAGCAAGCGCAACTCTTTTTGAGTAGCTTGTCGCAATGCGCCGATGAGTAATGGCATGATGGCTCCATAATACTTTATAAACTTGTCACCAGCCGAGTCGGCGACAGTTGCAATGCTAGTGATGGCTTGTTCTTGCAAGTACATTTTGTCCGTGTTCAGCAGGACCAACAGACGTTGAAATATTCCATCCAAGTATGGCTCCAGATGTTGCTTTTCGGCATCTTCGGTAAAGTTTACCAAAGCACAAGCAGCATGAGCTTGAACACGAGGAAATTGGACATCTTCCATGGCTGCTAATAAAGCTGGAACGACCAAAGCGTGATAGGTTTCTTGAACCGTTGGCTAAACGCAAAGAAGATGTCGAATGAGGAAATTGTAATAGTGCAGGAAACTTGAAAATGGCATGAGCCCTCACAGCAAAATCAGTTGACATTTGACCTAGGGTATTGCATGCAGCGTATCGTACACGTGGGTGTGGATCACGTATGTATGGAGCAACAAGTCTAACATTTCCGCAAAAAAAGAATCAGACTTGTACAACCTTGTTCTACGTGAAAAGCAAGAACTGACGTACGATAAGACGTTTGCAAGTTCTGGCTCGATGATCTTGATGCATCCTTCACCGATGGAAGATATGGCCATGAGTGCTGAGTACCTCTTTTGCCATTCAGGAGAGCTAATCATTTTTGGAATCAAACTGAAGGTTATGGGAACGACAGTCTTGCCACCTTGAAGGTGACATGAAAGGAGTGTGAGCTTGCTCAATCTGGCGTGGTGCTGCATTTATTCTCAGCAAACAGAATGCGGCGCCTACCAATGCATCGTGCCAGACGATCCATGGCTTGTTCTCCGACCATACAAAAGTCTTCATTATCCATATCTTCAAGCTGCAATTTTGACGTATTTTGATATTAGATCGCGGAAGTTTCACGTGGGAACTCCAAACCGAACATCTTACATCTGTGGTTGTATACCATTCTTGATCATCATCGACATCGGCCATCCATTCCAATAGTTGGGGTATAATGGTTTTGGCAAACGAGTCTTGCTTTCGCATCATAGCAGATGCACTTTCTGCTAGTGTCAGTAGTAATTCGAGAGCTGTATGTCTAGTACCTATGGAGAGATCAAAGCATTAGTAGCTGTCACAAGAGCTCTTTCGGAACCGTTTTGAACTTTACCAGCTTCTAAAGTGGTTGTTGACATTATTTGAATCATGTAGGGCACCAGTCGTGGCATAACGGGGCGGAGTGTCTTTGGGTAAAATTCGGCCAGATCAATGAAATACGAGAGTGACTCCATGACTTGTGTTTCAGCCTTGGCTTCTAAAGCACTATGCATGGCCTGCGATGGAGACAAATCGTCAATCGGAAGAAGGTAACAACAGATTGCGATAATTACGTACAGATAATGCGGTAGGGATCAATGAGCTAGCAGCTTGTCTACTTTCAGCATTGGTATCGAGGAGGTAACTCACATAAGCTTTGAATGCAGTCATTTGTACCTAAGATTGAAGGTTGAGCAAGGGAAAAGAGACGATTAAATTCTCGTAGAGAAGAGCTCACGTCAACGTTGGGATCTTGGAAGGCAGTTTGGAAGACATTCTTGACAGCCTCGACTTCTTGACTCGTGATGAGGCCAGGAACAGCAGCCAATATTCGCATTGCACTTTCACGATGATCAGCAGTGGGTGCACGAGTGCATTGATAGACGGCCTCGATCAATTCACCCCATACCACTGATTTGAAAGCGATGAAGAATGAATGAGTAACTTTGGTCTGATACGAAGCCGGGAAAGCAATATTTTATGGTTTTAACAGTCATCAGTCCAATGAGTGATCAGGGACTTACATGACTTGAGAAGCATGTATTTCACGATTTCGGCGATGGTGTCACAGACCTTTCGTCTGACGGAAGCCTCTTGTTCTTCGGCAAGCGAGCGCAACAATTCCGTCTTGACATAGGAAGTGACTTGATCACCTACGGTCAACCAGTAGGCGAGACTATCTTGACTGATGACAGGCGATCTCAAGGCACATCGTCGTAATATAATAGCAGCGAATGAACGCATCTAGATCCATAAGGAAAGGTTAAGAGTGAGGATTGGCAGACATGGAGTGTCAATGTCTTTCAAAGATTTGTAGCAGAGTGATTGAAAGCAACAATGTGAAGAGTATGAAATCATAAACAAGACCAACTTGCGCCATGAATGAGACATACAGTAGGATCAGGATGTGAGCGCAATATGTTTGCGAGGCCAGAGAGCAAGAGACCTGGTTGAGCATGGAGCCAGTTGTTGTTTAGTTCATCTTCAGTGGCAGCCCGTTGCTTGTTGTCTACTTCTGCGACGAGTTTGTTGAGGACTTGGACCAACTGCGAGAGGATCTCTGGCGACAATGCTTGTTCAATCATATGGATGTTTGCCATGATGTGAGGATTTCAACTATGTGGAATATACAAAATAATGATTAGAATGATAAGGTGGATTGTGAATGTGCCGTACAGCAGAAAAACAAGCAGTAGCGAGAACCTACTTTTTTTTCTGCAGTTGAGCAAATGGTTTTAATACGACCGTTCTCGTTAACTGAAGTGAAGGATATAATTGGCAGTCTTTTGGAAAATGAAGTTGGATACCGTATTGAGATATTCGCTGCTGATGTCTCTTAGATCTCAACGGAGCGAAGCAACAAGTAGCTAGCCTACTGAAAAAAATCTAATACAAACGAACATACAAGACGAAGATAACTGTCAAGTACACTAAGTGGACAAGATGAATTTGATTTGACTACGCGAAAATACGCGTATTCAGTAAGTAGCATCGCAGCATCTACAAACATGGAGCACGTTGGTTTTGCTCACAAACTCCTGTGAACTGCTGTCAGCCAGGACTGTCAATTTGGAGCAGATCAGATCAGTTTCACGGCACGTCACAGCGGCACGCCTAGTCATCTGCTCTGAAAACTCGGAATATCAAGTTTGGCTTCTGATCGCATCCTTTTGTTGCAGACGACATTCTCATCTCCTCTTTTGTCAGAATTTCCAACAAATGTCGGTGGATGACAATGAGCTGCTGGTAGATGACAAGACTGCAACCACTACATCGCCAGATTCCCGCGATTCTGCATCCCTGTCCTTGGAGGAAATACGACGTTTGACTGACATTGACCAAATTCGCTCCCAGCTGCGAATTCTAAACCAAGAAGAGAGCACCGTAGACAGCCAACTAGATGATTTCTTACGCAACCAGTCCGATGTACAAAATACTCTGGAAACTTTGGAATCTCTAAGGTAGTCATCCAACAAACCAACGAGGCTCATTTGCTCGTTGATGACCTGATGATCTTCCGCCATGGCTACCTTCTTGATTTCCATCTAAACCATATATTTACAGGCCTCAAGTCGGTCTGGTACGTGGAGATGTCGGTCAACTATTGGACATTGTCGCTGCTGCCTCGGTACTGGCTGAACGAATCAGTGGAAGTGTCAGACGTCTGGACTTGGAACAGGCAAGTTACCGATTATTTCTTGTCAACCTGTGTGCTCAATTTTGACATTCAATCTAGTCAAGAGTCAAAGAAACTGTTCAGCTGGTTCAGGACATTCAAGAACTAAAGGCAAGGCAACCCAACCTGTCAGATACGTCCACCAAACTAATATTTCGTCTCTTTGTGTGTATGTAGAGATGTGCAGTGGGAGTGCAACAAGCTCTCAAAGTCAAAGACTATGACGCCGCAGCCAGACACATACATAAATACCTACAATTCGACTCTCAGGTCATTAAAACTGTATCTGAAGGAGTTGGCAGTCATGACGAAGCTGTACCTGAAGACTCGCCCATTCATACCCTTAAAGTCGCCCAAACCACATTGCTGAAAACAATCAGTGACGAATTCGACTCGTCCGTTCAATCCAACAACGACGAAGGCATATCCCGCTTCTTCAAACTGTTTCCACTAGTAGGAGGGGGTGACTTGGGCCTGGATAAATATTCAGCCTATTTGTGTGGAATTATATCTCGCAGGTGCCAAGATGCCATGGCAGGTGCCGCGTCTCAATGTATGTATGTCTTTCTTTTTGATTCTCAATCCGGTTTTATGGAACTAAATCATCGCCGCGGTTCTTATAATATTCAATCATTAGCCCCAAACGTCTATTCTGAAATGCTCAAAGTGCTGTTTGAAACAATTGCAATGTTGGTCGACAAGCAGGAATCTCATGTTGAAACTCTGTACGGACCTGGTAGAATGCTCCGAGTATTACAACGCTTGCAAAGAGAAGCAGATGTCCAAAGTGTCATTATATTGGACTCATTTGCCGAAAATCGCCAAGTGTCACGCAAGGTACGTTATAATGGTATCCTTGTTGCAGTCTCAATACTACCCGTGTTCCTAAAAAGCGGAATCATTGTTGAAATCCTTTTCAACTAGTTGGGTGAAGTGAAACAAGCGTATGATGCCGTCGCAAATTGGAAGTCTTCCACAGCTCCAAGAAAGGAAATCGCTTTGGAAACAAGAGAACTGGACATTATTCTGTCAGAGTTGGCATCCATAAGTCAGCGTGCTCAACTGTTTAATCAATTTCTGCATGCTCGTGCCAAAGTACGGATGCATTTCATTGTTGTTCGCTCGTTCCCCTGTTAATGTTATTTTGTTACTATGCAGGAATACTCTGAGAGTGGACAGGACTCGACTAAACAGACTACACCAGCCAACGACGGATTAGCCCATGTTAGCAAACTTGATCAACGAGTCCAGGAATTGATGGGAGGATATGTATTGTTTGAAGAATTCTTTATCGTCAAGAGCATCGAAAAGGTAGGTGGCATCCATACGTTTTTATCCTTTGATTTCCTTGACTATTCCAATACTTTTCTTCCTGTAGGCCCTCAAGATTGACCAATACGACTCGAATAATCTCATTACGAGTTGCGTCGATGATGTCTTTTACGTCCTCAAAAACTGCACAATTAGATGTCTATCGTCTCTAGATGTAGACATTCTCTGTGCACTGATAAATTCATTGGGACGGATTGTCGAAGTCCACTATATGTCAGTGTTTCAGAAAAAGCTATCCTCCGCTTTTTCAAATACCGAAACCAAGGACTCAAAAATCAGCTTTATGGTCCTGTTGAACAATATTGATGTCAGCCAGGAGTATCTCTTGAAGTTGTCGCGAGATATAGAAGAGGCGTCTATGAGAACATTCTCATCAAAACCAGATTCGACCCGTGCAAAAATCATGTCATGTTTGACCTCGTTAAATGAGTACTCTGGGCGCTTTGGCCAGGTGTTGAAGGTAGGTCCTATTGCATGATTTCAATAATGTTTTCATGGTTAGGACTCTAACGGCTCAGGCTTTGCCCTCATTCAGACGAAATTGACCTCGATTCATCCCTTCATTTTAGACTTGGCTTGATAATCTGTTTGGACAGACTGTCAAGCCTCGCATACGGCCTCTCCTGCAGGACGCCTATAAGGATGTGCGATATGTCCTGTCTGAAGAGGAATTCTTTGAACAAGAATCCGGTGATTACTTTGTACAGCGGTTTGTGAGATCATTTGATGCTCTGATTGACCTCTACCAAGTAAGAAATCATCTCGTTGATCGTCGGTATCTCGAACTTATGGATTCTTAAAAAAACGCAGAAATCATATACCGAAAACAATTACAATCAGACCATGGCTTATATAGTAGACTTTCTGGCGAAAGATTGGGAGCGACTCCTCTGGAGCAATCATCGCTTCAACCAGGTATAGTAAACGAGTCTCTTGACATTTGAACTCCTTGCTGACTTTACTCTCGTTGTGTTGTGTATGCTACGAACAGTATGGTGCATTGCGACTGGACAAGGACTTGAGAGCCATTACAGCTTATCTATCATCGAAAACTCAATGGACTTCCCGAGACAAGTTTGCAAGATTGAATCAAATGTGTATGCTCCTCAATTTGGACAATGTATGAGCTCAAACCGCTTTGTGAATAAGAGCCACCAACACATTGACTGACCGTGGACCTTGTATTTAGGTGAATGAGGTGGGAAGCATATGGGGCAACAAGGCCGGTCCTATTACATGGAGATTAACAGGGCCAGAGGTGAGAAAAGCCCTTGCGTTGAGAGTAGACTTTGCAAGTGATGATATAGGCAATCTGAAACTCTAAATGGATTTGTTCTTCCAAATTATTACATGAATGTATATATAAGAGCACGAAACAAACAGGGTTTGTTCATGACGCTGGTTGTTTTGGACGCATCTATCAAACGTGTCATAAAGAGGGAACAGGCACTCGAGGAAATAGGGTGATCGTGTTTATTTCGAGACACGGTCGCATTTGATGCTAGTGTCCCGAACTGGCATGCGGCAGAGGGCGTCGCGGTTTCTTAGATGGTTTCATTTTCATTCGACACTCCACACCAAGCAAAACCAACCATTCATCAGATCACGGCTCGACAGAAATGTTTCCATGACTCCACATGCATGATATTTATAATCGCACCGCCCACACAGCGTCGCCACGGGCCTTCCCTCCTACTTCTGGTTCAAGCAAACTTGTGCAGTTGTCTTCATTTAGCATCAGCACTAGCAAGGCCGGCAAGACCTCAGCAGCCAGCCAATTGCACTCCAATTTTTCACCTCCTCGCCCGACACGAACACCTAGTACGAACACGTTACATGGTCAGAACAACAAAATCAAACCAACCACAGCAACTGTAGTTGCTTCTCGGAATAAACCATCATCAGTTAGCTCGACTACTGGAATACTAATAGAAATTCCATCTCCCCCACTCCCAAGGACGTTTATATCTCCTGCATCGTCAAAGGTTTCCCTCATTCGAGCTGCTCGATACTCGCCACAAGTAGTCCCTGCACTCCCCTCTGCAGTTTCAGCACCACCACCAGCAGTATCGCTATCATCGACACCAAAGCCTATAGTAGTCAAGGCCAAGACACCACCCTCAAAATCCAATAGCGTCCACGAAAATTTAGTCGCATCACCACAACAACAGCAGTCGTCTCTTGACAGTATCTGGGAAGCGATCATGCAAAGATTTGGTGTAGTTAGTGCATCGTCTGCAGAACTGGTTGGTCTTCGCAACCTTGGAAATACATGTTTCATGGCTTCAATCATACAATGTTTGAACGGTATAACTCCTCTAGTTGGTCTGTTTTTGTGTAAGTGTGCCTCGCATGTAACGGAATCGACGTCCATACATGTCGTTTCATCACATCCCGTCAATTCGTACGTCTGACATTTTATTCCAACGCAGCTGGGGGATACAAACGACATATCAACAGGGACAATCCATTGGGTAGTAAAGGATTGGTTACGGATTCCTTTGCTGACCTTGTAAACACACTCTGGACTAGTAAAGAAAAGGTTGCGGCGCCATCTCGGTTCAAGGTAATCTTACTACTTAGTTGAAAACTACAAACCATCTGACATTTCAAAAAACTAGTCGACGATATCTAGCTTTGCTCCACAGTTTCAAGGCTACGAGCAGCACGATGCTCAAGAATTCCTGGCCTTTTTACTGGATGCCATTCACGAAGATTTGAATGACGCACGCAAAGGACGACAATCCATAGTTAAAGACGAGGAAGACGATGAGAGTCTCCCGGATGAGGTTTTGTCGTCGCGAGCTTGGGAACGATATCTGCGTCGCAATAGATCCTATATTGTGGACCTTTTTCAAGGGCAATCCAGATCACAGCTTAAGTGCAAGACATGCAAGCAGGTACTGTCATATTGAACGTTGCATCACGAATTCTTTTTAACACGGTGTTCGTTTAGACGTCCACCACGTACGAAGCAACAATGTATCTATCGCTCCCAGTACCATCGCGGCCGTTTAGCACAAAACCTGTTACTCTGGACGACTGCCTGACCAAGTTCCATGAGGAAGAGAATCTTGACGGAAGCGATTGCTGGTTTTGTAGCAAGTGTAAACAAAAGAGATCAGCCACGAAAAAACTTTCAATCCAGAAACTTCCATCGGTGTTGCTGGTTCACCTGAAACGGTTTAGCTTTCAAGGTCCGTTTGGAAGCAAGGTCGACACAGTCGTTGACTTCCCATTAGAGTAGGCCAATCCAAAAACAGTATGATATCTCAATGCAGCTACTAACTCTTTATTTCCCAGGAACCTAAACCTAACGAAATACACTCAGAGGGTTGATCAAGCCCCAATATATGACCTTGTCGCGGTTTCTTGTCATCAAGGATCGCTATCTGGAGGACATTACACTGCGTTGGTGAAGAGGAAGAGGGAGAAGAGCGAGGACTGGTATTTGTTTGACGATGCAAGAGTATCGAAAGTGGATCCAGCATCAATAGTGTCACGTTCTGCTTATATTCTATTCTATTTAAGAAGGCCGAACAAGGCGTCACTGTGAATATATGAATAAACCCCCTTTCTTCTGTCATGTACTTCACTTTATCTCCTGTCGCATTCTGCAATTGTTTTTTCAAACTCAGCGAAGTCCAAATTAAGCATCAAAGTTTTGTATCAGTCACGATGTCTGCAGCAAGGATGCTTACTAGAGGATATGCAACAGCAGTAAAGAAGAGCCAGTTAACCATTGGCTTGATCTCTGGAGACGGGATTGGTCGTGAAGTCATTCCAGTACGGTTTTTGCGAAATTCTACTATTCCGTTTAGCTCTGTATGGAATACGCTTTCTAATCCATTTCTAATAGGCAGCTGCTCAAGTTATAGAAATCATCTCTCCTGGCAAGTTCAAGTTCATCAACCTGGAAGCTGGATTTGAGCTGTTTCAAAAGACTGGAGTAGCACTGCCCGAAGAGACCATCAACCGTATACAAACCGAATGCGATGGAGCGTTATTTGGAGCTGTCAGGTGCAATTTGGAATACTCAAACTGTTGAAAGCAGCGACACCCAACAACTCACTAAAAATACTGTTAGCTCACCATCAAAAAAAGTCGAAGGTTACTCATCACCTATCGTTGCTCTACGAAAAAAGCTAGATTTGTATGCAAACGTAAGGCCTGTTGCATCGCCAGCTGTGCATGTTGGCAAGTCTATTCGAGCAATTGACATGGTCATTGTCCGCGAAAACACGGAATGTTTGGTAAGCTACATGTGGCACAACCATTTAATCTTGATCCAGAATCCTAAAGTTTCTCAATCCTTCTAGTATGTCAAATCAGAGAGAATAGATCCTCAACCTGGCCCAAATGGTGGCAAAGTCGCTTGGGCTGATCGCAAAATCTCAGAATATGCTTCCCGCAGAATTGCTACAGTTGCCTTCATATTGGCTCAACAACGTGGCAAAATTCGCAGTCAGTTAGCAAAAGGCGCTTCGATTCCTCGTCCCAAAGTGACTGTCGTTCATAAAGCCAATGTCTTGAGCGTGACGGACGGTCTCTTTAGAGAAACATGTCTGGAAGTCGCCAAAGAAGACAGGTTTAAAGATGTTGATGTAGAAGAACAAATTGTTGACTCTATGGTGTATGTACACGATATCCATTTTCTGCGTTCGACTGGTCTAAGATTGTTTGATCTGTTTAGGTATCGCCTCTTCCGTGAACCTCAAGTATTTGATGTTGTCGTAGCTCCCAACCTATATGGTGACATCATAAGTGATGGTGCAGCCGCTCTAGTCGGAAGTTTGGGTTTGGTAGCAAGTGCAAACATGGGTGACAAGTTCACAATGGGCGAACCAGGTTTGTTTCTACTTATATTTCACTCTCATCAAGATTTCATGTCTAAGTCACTCCGGCTTTTTCCAGTACATGGTAGTGCACCTGATATTGCTGGTAAAGGGATTGCCAACCCCATCGCTTCAATAAGGTCAGCAGCTTTATTATTGGAAAACCTCGGCATGGGAGCAGAATCTGCCCGAATTCAAAAAGCAGTCGACAAGGTGTTGACAATGGACGTTAAAACGATGACACCTGATTTGGGAGGGTCTGGAACCACAAAATCAGTCACGCAAGCCGTCATCAACGAATTGAATAAGTAAAAAGATTTGTATGTGTATTTTGCATTTGATACAGAAGGAAAGACACTAATATGAGGATTTTGCTCAAATCGTCGTTGCGCTATTCTTCCTTCGAAGTAGAGAGAGATTCACAGCGCTTGAGTGGAATTTTTCCGATTGCCAAGCTCCTAAGCAATGTATGAGCAGCTGTAGTGTGGTTATTCAGCTTTCCATAAAAGCTATGGGTAGCATCTCGTCCAATAAGAGATGAGATGTACTTGGGACCACCTGTTTTCGAGGAAAATCACGGTTAGGTTCTATTCATAGATCCTTGATGCAAAGGTCATTCATGAACCAATCTCACTAACCTGGATGTTCATGCTTGAAGGAGCTGACGTCAATGACAAATCCATCAATTACAAATAATTCACGACCGTCTTCACGACAAGATTGTACTTGGTCCATGGTGAAGATGTCCATATCTCTTTCGGGCATACCCCAAGTCTGAAATAGATAATTCTTTAGAAATCAAAGTATTCGTACCGTGAATTGGGAAAAGCAGAATTTACCACTGCTTTTCGGCGTTCTTCAATAAGATGTTCCAAAACGTGAATTCGTTCACGTTCAATTTCTTCATCCGTTGCCGTATGAAGATTGTATGTCAATCCGAAATAGCTTAAGAGGAAGATGACCCATTTAGTGGGGTCGTATTGATACCACTTTATCCCGTTACGAACATCTTTGGGGAATGAATGACTAATTGAAACGGATGGTTAAACCCTCAGGGACGAGTATGTAACCAATTGATTACGAATTACTGGTAGTTGTGGTATCCTTCACCCATGGTGATGAGTGCAAGTAACAGTCCACCTATCAAGCCCAAATGTGAGCAAGAGAAACGCCTTGTCAAATTGAATGATCGATGTACCTCTTGCTGTACAATCTAGGGAGAATTCCTGTTCTCCAAGTGCATGAGCAAGAGAGTTGATGCAAAAGGTTGCCTAGATGTTGAGAATTTAGTTCACGACAGTCAACAACGTTGTTACCAGGCAAAAAATACATACATGCCAAACAAAGATGGTCTTGACAAAACCAGCATAGAGTAATGCTGTCACCCATGACTCTTTCCAACAAAATGTAGCAATGAGTGTAGGGATAACGAGCGATGAGATCATTGCCAGCAATGGAAAGTGTTTATGTTGAAAGACCACAACCGGGTCACTCTGAAGATCGCTTTGATCGACGAGCTTGATTCGGTCATAATGTGGTTTTTCGAATATCCAGCCAATATGAGAGAAGAGGAATCCTCTCTGTAACGGAAGATAACAGGTTGGATTTTCGTTTTGGCACACATGTCATTTTCTGCCCAACGTACCTTTGCATTGTATGGATCGAAATCAGTATCTGTGTATCGATGATGCAACCTGTGCCTGAGCGCCCACCACTTGATACTGCCTGAAAAAAGTAACAATTGTGTTGGAAACGTGTTCTGGGTTTTTGTTTTGACAATCTGACATCGTTTTGACCAGCGAATCGAGGCGATTACAATGACAATGCTTGCCTTGAAAGGCCATCGTTCCCATGCACGCAACAATAATGCGAACAGGCAAGACCTATGTAACAATTTACGTTGCTGTGAGTAGGGAAAATCTAGACAAGACGCAAATGGGGGAAACTCTGGACACCGGAATCCAATGTGCGTCTGCAGCAGTTCAACAAGTGCAATTAGCTGAATTTTCACTTACAGCATCAAAAGCTCGGTGACTCCACAACCTGTCAAACGAGTTCATTATTAGTCAACGATTAAAGTGCTTCGAAAGTCAAGGGAGGAGGCATGAGTCGAGGGAGATTCTCAACTGAATGTCTACTTGCGTAGACAGATCTAGATCTGATACCTATGATATCCAAATCTATCGACAGAAAAAACGGGTGGTTTGAGTTTGACGCAAATTTTGACGAGTTGATAATTGTTGCATGAAGGAGCAGTAAGGAGATGCGTACGTGATTCCAAAAGTAGATAGAATGAATAAACCAAATCCAAGTAGAGAAGTTTGCCACATTGGCGTCACGAAAGCGAATGCCCAGAGTGAAATGATGTGAGCAACGATCACACCAATGGCGTTTACCATCCAGGGCTGTTGCTTGCTGGCATCTTTGGCGTCTGCCATAGAATCAGAAGAAGCCATTCTCTAAATCTGTATCAGTGGATGTTTGCGTGAGATCTATATGCCGGCGGAATAAAGTCAAGTTTTTTCATAAATTTGCTTGTTTGATGAAAGAGGTCGATGATGTCTCTGCGCAAGCTTCTGACAAGAACTGTAGGCATCTCAAACTTACTTTTCCCCTGAGTCTCCCTGTTGTCGAAATTAAGCTTTGAGTGCGTGTGTTTAGGATTGAGGAGGCTTTTCTGATTTGAAAAAGTCAAAACCCTCCAAACGTCAACACATTGCGGTGATTCTAGTTGGACGGTCGACCAGCGCAGCATCAGCTTCAGTATCATTGCCAATTGCTACCTGAATCACGTAAGTCCATTAAATCTCGTTCTCTTTCCGCGCAGAAACTTGAAATCGCTCTTCATTGCAGAGCTCTGAAATTCAATCGCACTAACGACCATTACTATCAATTTTAGAATGGACCTTACATCGCTTGCAGAACCAGCTATCGACAGAGGTCTTTTACCAGACATTTTGCTTCGACGCGGAATCAGGCATCTACTCGCAACCAGAGCTCAAGAGCTTGATGGCTTGAGTGTCGAGGATCAGGATGAGCGAAAGATGCAGGTCGTTGCTTCTCTTCGCAAATCCGAAATCGCAATCAGAACTGATGGTACCTGTTGCTTCCCTTCCATTCAATCAACAAATCTGATCGCTGCATACTGGTGTTGACTCAAATACCATACCTAGCTGCCAACGAGCAACATTACGAAGTACCTACGGATTTCTTCATTCATTCTTTGGGTCCAAATCTAAAGTACTCTTGCGCCTTATTCAAATCTTCTACAAGTAATGCACATGTTGGACGTCAAGCTTTGAAACAGAACGTGATAAACTGATACCCACCTCCCCATAGCAACTCTTGAGCAAGCGGAGATCGCCATGTTGGACCTGTACATGCAAAGAGCAGGAATGGTGGACGGCATGACCCTCTTGGATCTCGGATGTGGCAAGTATACAACCTCAAACACACAAGAATGCTTTCCAACCCTTTGGATTGACAGGTTGGGGCAGTGTATCCCTTTACGTCGCATCTCGCTTCCCGAACTCGAAAGTTCTGGGATTGAGCAACTCGTCAACTCAACGAATGCATATACTTGCTCAAGCCAAATCTAGAGGCCTATCGAACGTCGAAATCATTACAGCTGACATTAATACCTTCACTGATTTCGGTCCTGGAAAGCGCCAGTTTGACAGGATTATCAGCATTGAAATGTTTGAGCACATGAAGAATTATGAGGCCTTGTTTGACAAGGTACCATTTGCCCTCAGTTGTAACCCACGTCATAAGTACTGATAATGCCCATTTGACAAGGTATCCTCTTGGCTTACTCCATCGAGCGGCAGACTGTTTGTCCACGTATTCTGCCACAAGAACCAGCCATATCATTTCGAAACGGATGAAAAGAACTCATGGATGGCAAAGTATTTTTTCACTGGCGGTACCATGCCTTCTTTAGATCTATTTTGCTTCTTTCAGAAATCCGTGAGTGAATTTCGCGTACTTGAAGTTATAGCCCTAGTTTTGAATATTCACGCTTATCTCACTGTTTTTAGCTCGAATTGGTTGAGAGGTTAGTACACTGAAGACGTTGGATGATTTCTGTCTTTGCCGTTAACGCGACATCGACTAATTCAAGTTTTCATTATAAGATGGAGCGTCAACGGCCAAAATTACGCAAAGACTTGTGAAGCCTGGCTGGTGAATCAAGATAACAATAAGGAAGCAATTCTCAAAGTTTTCAAGGACACTTACGAAACGGATGAACTGGTAAGAATATAATCCATTATGTCTTGACATTTTGACGTGGGATTTCAAGGTATTTTTTGTCTCAGGCTTACGCTTGGTTCCAACGCTGGCGAGTTGTAAGTTCTCCACGTCTATTCTGTTTACAGATGCGTTTTTTTGATGCATTCAATCCAGCTGACTAGTCCTTTCCCTTAGTTCTACATTGCTTGTGCCGAGTTATTCAATTATGACAATGGAAGAGAGTGGTTTGTCGCACATTATCTATTTCAACCAAAGGCTTGAGCAATGCACAAGAAAACGTTGGAATCATTTTACAACACATACACAAACATCAACTCCAGAACTTGCTGTGGGGTTAAGCTGGCGCGTTTTGATCTTACACACGTCTTATACACACTGGAAACAAGAAGTCTAATCCAACGGTCGATTGTTCGTCGCTCTTGATGAATTTCAACATTCATTTTATCCCACACTACTGATACAAGCTACGTTTTTATCTTTTTGAAATTGCTTTTTTTGTAATTCGTTTTTCCTAGCAAGGTTGACAGATGAGAAAAGACAGATTAGTGGAGAACATCCACATCAAAAAAGCCAATGGCTCTTGAATTCTTACAGGTTGTTTGGGCTTTTGAAATCTCCATTCTCCAACAGAGGTTGTTGTCAGTTGAAGGCTCCTGCAGCGTGACCTTTTGCAGCCCTGGCGTTGCCTACAACATTGCAGTATGTTAGATTCCCAGTACCTCTTCAGTCTCTTGTTGATGATCTCGAGTCTCTCTATACACGATGATCTCGAGTCTCTTATACACGACAAGTTTTGGCATCTCAAACGAGATTTTACTGACCATTGTCAATGGTGTCCAATCCACGTTTGGCAATTTTCTGTTCGCAAGGGCTTAGCAAGGAAATCCATTCGAGTGTTCTGTTCAGGCGCGATGGAAGCGACGGTAAATGTGTCTTACCTGGCCATTGTCAACAGTGTCCAATCCACGTTTGGCAATTTTCTAGTGCAAAAGGGTTGAGCAAGGAAATCCGTTCGAGTGTTTTGTTGAAACGGGATGGATAAGACAGTAAATATGTCTTACTTGGCCATTGTCAACAGTGCCCAAGCCACGTTTGAAAATGTTCTGGAGCGAAAGGGTTGTGCAACGATATCCATTTGAGTGTTCTTCTCAGGTGCAATAGATGTGATAATAAACATGTCCTACTGTATGAAAACCAGGAGTGTCATTGTCGGGGATACAACAAGGACCAGCTTGTGCAGTGCCAAGCAAGAAGACGAATGCCAATAGTTGTAAAAGAAAGTACTTCATTTTTGTACTGGGTGGAATGCTGTGTGGTTTCTTTAGACTTTGTTGATGATTTGTAGGTTGGAGTGGAATGCTGTTGATGCGTGAGTGATTAATCGTGTCAAATTTTGGTGATGGAACAATACGGAACATTCATAAAACTGATTCCGCCTTTGACAGCCTCTATCGTTCTTCCGTGATAGAACCTTCAACAGGGAGCAGTTGACAGCTATTGCACGGGACAATGACAAGACCTGTCAAACTGTCGGATGAACCAAGTTGACCTCAAAATGTCAAACGACTTTAAGTTTGACATGTGAGCCTTGACACAGAGAGGGAGATAGTCTAGCGGAAAGAGATGCTGCTGGGGGTTTCCGTTTGTGGGACGGGCACCATCTTGCCATATGCGTAATTGGTAATTTGAGTGACAAATAAAGGACCCGGTGAGTCAGTTACCTGGTTTCGATGAAGCTCAAGTCAAATTCAAGTATCTCACGGAATGCCAACTGTCCACCGTAATACAGACATGGCCCACCATTAGAGTTGGGTTATCATCTGCTCATAAGGGTCTCCCGTTAACGAGCATGTGCATCATTGAAAGGTGGGCTGGTGTATGTAAATATCTTGTACTAAATTTCCATTGTCATGCTTTCTTTTTGGCCACAAGATCTTCTGCACTTCCAATCTCTGTAGTAGTATGCTGTTTCAGCAAAATCATATTCTTCCCGCTTTCCCGTCATTTTGAACGTGATCTACAATTCAATTGAGTGCGTATTCGTTTGGGGGCAAATCCAACAATCAGTTACATCTGCAGCGATTTCGACAACTTGATCCAATTGTGCCTGTATGAAATCTCAAACTGCATTGACGAACTGGCCGACAATTAGTTTCTGAGCAGGTAGAATGCATTTTTAGCAGAAGCAATAGGTGTCAAGATCGTTCGTTCTGTCTGATCAGACGCAACGGAGAAGATCAAATAAAAAGGAGATCGTTACCCGCAAGCACTTAGGTGGCTGCCAGCTCAGCTCCCTCTCTGATGAAAGTCGTCTGTAACGCATTCAAGACAGATGTGACTGTTCCAATGTTTGCGAGTGGGATTTCTTCTGTCTATGACTGTCGAGTACGGATCGTACAGATGTGTTCCGTAGACTCCAGCGAGAGCAATGAATGTTAAGTTTGTAGTCCACATGTTTGACCACTTCGTCTTGTTGAGATATTATGAACATATATTTGACTACTTTGTCTTGTCGCTGAATTAGAGATGTTGGTGGTGGTTTCTGATATACGATACCCGATGGAGAGAAAGTGGGCATGATCTGCTTGGATGCATGATGTGACAGCGGTGGTAACCGTATAGATTCCATCCTACCTGCTGTCTACAGAATTGCTAACCACGAAAACTCGTTTTCTAATAAGAATGGATATGTATGATAAAAAATAAGCAAGGGGATAATATGAATAAAAGCTATGATAATGGAGACAAAGCGATACTGGAAACAAATAACAAGGTGTAGGTAAACCCTGCTGCTTTTTATGGCGAAATTTCGCTAAACTTCAAGTAGAAGTTGGTCATCACTGCAAGGAAGAGCACTAATACCAATACAGTAGGACCTAAGTGTTCAAATCAAAGAATGTGAGATGGTTTTACTTTGCTTTTTTTGTAATTCTTATTTACCGAATCGATCATCATAAGGTGCAGCGTCTAACAAAAAATGGATGGATATTGAGAAATGTTTGAAAACTAGGTAAACCAGCACTCAACACTTACCTCGATTACGAATTTTGTGAGCTCTCCATTGATACAGAAACAGGGCATATATCATAAAGATCATGGCAACCACTGTGAAGATGAGTCCGGAGATTTGACCGACAGAATCACCAAAGTTCAGCAAACCAAGAGCCAGACCTCCCAAGACGATACAGACTACAAGACATTTGTTGATATGAATGCGTTTAGTGTCAAGTTTCAATGTGAAAACATCATTTTGGTGACATACAATGAAGCCAAGACAGGAAAGTTCTCTCGTTGGCAAAGAAGACCTTGGGTTCCACACGGACAGGCAATACAATACGCTTCTGCTGTTGTGGACCACGAGATGAATTCATCGTCGAGACCATACTAGTAATGAAACCATTATTAGGATGACCCATTTGCCCAGAACCTGCTTGCCCTGATGCAAAGAGATTGCTCCACGAAAAAGCGGGTTTCACGCCCTTTCGTGTGCGATGCTGATCTTCTTCATACTCTTCCTCTTCATCGTGAACTGCCAATAATGGAGTCCTCTCGGTCACCTGACCATTTGGTCGAGATGTGGAGGCAGACGATGTAGCTGGTCTTTCGACAACGACTTCAACACCTTGCGGCGCAGATATACGGCGCTTAGTTGACGCGGGGAAGTCTAAAGCAGATGGTGGACGACGAGGAGCATCCTTTCTAATATCCTTGTCCATCTGAGGAAGCCAGAATGGCAGCATTGTCACCCTACTTTCCAACAGAGTTGCAACACCATGAATGAATTTGGAGAATTTGGGGACCTCTTCCACCTATTTGAACACAAACTCATCAGCTGGAAAAGTCGATGCAAAGGTTCAAATTAACTGCATCAATAGCGGCTTTTCAACCCCAACAACAAAACCTCAGTAGGCCAACGCCACACCACCCGCTGGAGTTCAAGTGAAAGGCTCTGAGAATGTGACATACCAAATGAGAATTGATGAGCTCTGTAACCCATTTGGGAGCTTCATTACCAGCCAACGTCTGCAATTTGACTTCGAGGACTGCATAAGGGAATCGGACCATATCTTCTTCTGGTAAATGATCAAAGCTGGAAGGAGTAGTGCCAATATCCATGCGACGCCAATTATCACCAGATCTAGGTTTGCCATAATTGTCTTCACGAATCATTGTGAGGTCTGTATCGAGTGAGATTCGGACACGAGCATCACCAGGGAGTTGGAAGGCTGTTCTGTTATAGAATGTACGGACCATTGGGTGTAATTTTCGTTTCACGACAGAGCTTTGAATTTCGGCAGACAAGGTAGCCATTTCATCCAGTTCCTTTTCTGACTTTTGTTTTCGTTCTCGAGCCTTGGCGATGGTCTTATCTAAAGTATGCGTTCCATCCAGGAAGGCATTCACATACTTTTCCTTGATTGAGAATCGAGACTTGACAGAAGATTCACCCGTCCAGTCTTCACGATGAGTTTTTCGTTCAACAAAGATTTCTTGTTGATCCATGTTACCATACCATCGAATTCGGATTGCCTGTAGGGAAATTGGATGATTTGTTCAACACAACATGTGCAAAAAATAGAGAGAAAAATACTCCAAAAATTGACTCTGACGTCTTGAAATGAACGAAAATGAGGGGTATCGTGCCAATACGAGCTTTGCCAACGCTTACCTCTGCACCTTCCGTCTTTTCTAGACGACCAAGATACAATTCAAAGGCATCGTTATCGAAGTAGATGGATGTGATTGCGGGATCAGGTTCCTTGCCTCCTTTTGACGAGAAGAGCAGGACGGGCAAATACTTGAGAATTATAAGTTTGACTTCGGTGATGTTGTCTATATCAGAAACAAAGAGTCAATATGGGTGTGTCTTTGCGCTACTGTTTGGTCCTTGCAGCCGGATGATCGTTTTATATGATTCTCATTGTACCTGGATGTACCCAGTATTTTGTTGTGTGGCGAATAAAGTTTTGAGAAGCGCCGCCTGGAGGTGTGGTTGGAGCACGGACGCCACCAGTCCTGACGATATCAAAGAGTCTGGATAGACGGATGACGATAGAGTCGACCGACTTGTCACCTTCCTTGTAGAATGGTCTATGAGCAAGACGGACCATGAAAGTTGGCTTGAGTTGGTAGCCAGCGTGCTTGTCGTGCTTTTTCAGAATCTAGAATAATGTGTTGATTTGAGTAACAGGGTTTTTTTTGTTGGACGGCCATGAAGAGATGGGGGTGGGCGATTACGAGCAAAATGAGCATTGTGACGACATGCGCAATGATTTTGCACGACAAACAAGCAAGACAATGGGTATCAAAAAGAACGGGAAACAAGGACAAAGCCTTAACTAGCTTTCAAGTACCTTCATGAATCCAGTATAGTTGAGCCTGACAAACTTTGATAATTCGGTCATTTCGGTTGCGATCTTGTTAAGTTCGTCTTCGACAGCCTTCATTCTGTTGTCGTCAGGTTTTCCACCCGAGCTCAAGATAGAGTCGATTGCAGCTTGAGCATGAGCGACTCTTCGTTCGAGTTCATCAGACTTGAGGGTACGGAAGGATGCGACCTGAAGAGAGTTAGTGTGTGAGTGAGTGTACTATAGATAGTGGTGTTTGGAAAGCACGAGGGAAGTCGATTGATACAGATTCAATACGCAACATGCATGGTATGTGGATAGAGCCCATGCACACATAACATCCAAATGCAAGATGAATATGATGGTAATGCATACCTTTTCTAGTTCCCGTTCACATATTTCGACAAAGGCAGCTTCATCCTGTTCAGTGAATTTGCCATCAGTGCTTGAAGCTGTGCGGACCTTTAGCTGTCTCTTGAGCTCATTGTAGTCCCTGATATGAGTGGTAGATTAGACAATGGTTGGGATGCTGACGATATGAAGAGCTAATGTGCATGCTCGAGGTCGAGAAAGATGTTTTTCTTTTCTCATTGCAGGTGATATCATTGGAGTGACTTACATGTAGTAGAACCTCCATTCCGGGAAGAGATGATCATCAAGCAAGACTCCAAACTTCATGACTGCTTCCTCTCTTCTGTTGGGGGAGTCTCTGTCTTGTCCTGTTTGTTGATTAGGTGTTTGGAAATTTTTAGTAGATGTCTACTTTTTAGGACTCCGATCATGAACATTTCCAACCAATCTGGCAACCAATACGAGCAATAGTCGTCACGTCCCTAAGCTATGAAGGAGTATCAGAGGGTGAGGCAAGAGATCAGGCTGGAATCTCGAAGTTTGTAAGTTTGCAAGTCGTTCTCGTTTAGCTGTCAACTATCATCAAACACTCGCTGCCTACCAACTTTATACTCGACTAAGTAGATTTACTGCTTTTAGATTCAATCGATTAAAGTCAATCCAGAACGACGCCTTGTTTGTCAATTCCGTCGCATTAAACTACCCATTACTCAAGATCATCGCCAATGAACGCGCTGGAGTATGGTAGGCACTCCAATCTCTTCTACTTATTGAATTGCCACTCCTTGATTGGCACTGCACTTGTCTCATTGATCGCTTCTCAAGGTACACGTCACCAAATCACCCTCAACGACACCTGCCGAACGCTTACTTCAAGTCAACTGACGGCCACTACGCGAAATACGACTTCAACCTAAAGAGAGTCAACTGGCATGTCCTAGAATCCATCATCCAAAACAAGGGGTATCTTTCAAGAATGTATCCATGCTTCATCGCTTGAGTGCTTACAGACAATTGCTTGTTAGATGCATCATAGTAGATTCGACTCGAAGCGGGAAAAGATTTCCCGACGCCTTGTCAAAGACAATTCCCTTGTGGTGTGCTGTAATCAACTCTGCCATTTGCACTATCTCGCATTCAACCAGCGATACAACTGGTACTGCCACAGGTGCACTGCATCTTCCACCATTCATACCTGAATCGGAACGAGCTCAAATGGAAGCCCTCATACCGACGTATACAGAAAAGTTTCTAGCTTCGGGACTAGACATCGCCTACTTGGCAACACATATACAGTTACCACTACGACCAATATGGCACTGTCCGTCTGGAAACTATGGAACCGCAGATTCCACACAATCTATATCCATTGTACTAGTATGTGCATCCCGAATGGTCCATGATGGACTGGAGCGGTCTGGTCATTATTGTTACGTACAAGGAGCAGCAGATGACGAGGAAAGTTGGAGTCGAGGACTAACTCCTGAGCTATTTTGGAATCATTCAAACGACATATTTCTTGCTGATTCCGTTGAGGATGTTGTAGATGACCTAGTATACCAGCAACTCGTAACGAATCAGAACACTGTCAGTAGTGACAGCATCGGTAGCAATAGCAAAATTAGCACCAACACCAGTAGTTCCTGGATATTCCAATCAGCCACATTGTCGATTGCTGTAGGTAATCGAGCCAGTGGTAGGCCTCCTGAATGTTGGCAACATTACGGTGCCGTCATCAACTGTGGTGCACCTGAATTTGAACATCCAGACTCTCGTAAATACTTATATCTACCAATACCTGAGGGCAAGAAGGGAGCTCAACAGCTGGAAGAGTGTATTCCAGTGGCAATTGGTTTTGTGAGGTCTCTGTTAAAGGACGGCCCAGTGCGGCTTCTCGTGCACTGTATGCAAGGCAAAGACCGATCTGTAGGAATTGCCATGGCTCTCATGATGGAATTTGTTGATTTCAAAACTAAAGCAGTTATAATTGATGGCATTCCCCGTGGTAAGAAGCTGCATCATCTTCAAAACTCTCGGCTATCTCTGACTTAAATTCCTGCTAGATTCCATAACCAAATCTCTGATTGTGTTATGTTTGGTTGCGATTCAAGTCTGTCGCCCAGTTGTGAGTATAGTCGCACGTTTCTTGCAACAACATCATTGCTTGGATCTAAGTCGTTTGAGTAGGCGATGCCGACACGTACCACTATTAAACGTGTCAATAGATTTTTCTTGGAGTAAACACTCGAGTAGCTTACTTTGACATGTATCTGTGTTTGCGCACCGCAATGTAGAAACAGTGGAAAGTAGCTACATATAATTTATTATATAAATATCATTTCATCATTTCATATGAATCTTTGGATCTTCCGTGTGTGGATTACAATTGACCTTTTTTTTCGTCAAACCCGTCATCCAAAACTCTTTTTTCAAGCAACACAAGCAACAAGCAAGCGGGGCCAGTCCAATTCTTATAAAGAAGGTATGTCGGATCAAGCCGCCAAGCAAGGACAATGCGAATAGGCCGATCGAACACCACGAACCTCATCTCTAACAGACTTGGAACTTGTTTTCCACAGAAACAAAAAAAAGCATCTCGATGGCAGCAACAGCAAACGGAAGCTCGAATGGAGCTAATGGAGCTCATACAGGGGCTGCAGCCGCAAAGGCAGGCCCATTCTCTGCAAAGTATTCGGACTTCCTCTCTCGTGTTAGCAACTTCAGCATCATTGAGAGCACTCTAAGAGGTACGCTGGACATTCAACTGGCCATTCACTGTCTCCTTACTGTACATGCCAGTCTAATGGCCCCCCTTGAAAGCTCGAATGCTTCCACTTTTCCATTCTTGTCAATCCAATCCTCCTTGTAACATGTGAAAAATCATGTCATAATATACTGGCAACAATTTAACATCCTTTGTTATCCACCAATATCACAGAGGGAGAACAGTTTGCCAATGCCTTCTTTGACCAAGAAACCAAAATCAAGATTGCCAGGGCTCTAGATGACTTTGGCGTCGAATACATTGAACTGACATCTCCTGCTGCCTCCGAACAATCAAGAGCTGATGTCGAGGCTATTTGCAAGCTGGGCTTGAAGGCAAAAGTAAGTCCCCTCTGTGACAAGAGTCATTCCTTGTTGGCAGTTTCACATTGCAAACGCAGATTTCAAGCCTTGTCAGCTACAACCGAAAGCCGCATTTAACCTCTTTTTCAACTTCCTAGATTCTTACACACATCCGATGTCATATGGACGATGCCAGGATTGCTGTAGAAACTGGTGTAGATGGTCTGGACGTTGTCATTGGCACTTCAAACTTGCTTCGCACTCACTCGCATGGAAAGAACATGGAACGAGTCACTGAACAGGCCATCGAAGTCATTAACTTTATCAAATCCAAGGGTGTAGAAGTCCGATTCTCCTCAGAAGACTCATTCCGAAGTGACTTGGTAGACTTGCTATCCATTTACCGTGTAGTAGACAAGTTAGGCGTCAATCGTGTTGGTATTGCCGATACTGTAGGTTGTGCAAACCCTCGTCAAGTATATGAACTAGTTAGGACTTTACGAGGTGTCGTCTCTTGTGATATCGAATGTCACTTTCACAATGATACTGGTTGTTCTATTGCCAATGCCTACGCTGGTAAGTAGACGTAAATGCCCTATTGGGAATGGCATATTTACATATAGCACCAGTCTAACAGTATACTTGTGTTAGCCTTGGAAGCTGGTGCCACACATATTGATACTTCTGTCTTGGGTATTGGTGAACGAAATGGTATTACTCCTCTTGGCGGTCTTGTCGCTCGTATGTATGCTGCAGACAAGGACTATGTCAAGGCCAAATACCGTCTGGAAAAGCTAAGAGAAATCGAGAACTTGGTCGCTGAAGCCGTCCAGATTCAAGTTCCCTTCAATAATTATATTACTGGTTACTGTGCCTTCACCCATAAAGCTGGTATCCACGCAAAAGCTATTTTGGCCAACCCAAGTACATATGAAATTTTAAATCCAGAAGATTTTGGGTATGTTGTACTTTTTTTTGGGAGACATCGTTTAGCCGTGTTTTTGAGAAATTGAATACTAAGTGTCGTTGCATTTGTCTAGAATGACTCGGTACGTGTCAATAGGACACAGGTTGACTGGCTGGAATGCAGTCAAGAGCCGTGTCATGCAATTAGGATTGATCTTGACCGATGAAGAAGTAAAGGAAGTTACTGCTCAAATCAAGGCTGCTGCTGATGTCAAGCCTCTTGGTATTGAAGAAGTTGACACCTTCTTACGACGATTCCATACCGATATGCAATTGAAGCGAACAAATTCACCTATGGTCTCGAGCGGTGTCGCTCATTAAAGACTTTTAAAAAAAATATCAACTTGTATCTCTCACAATATATTGAAACAACCTTTTTAACCACTTTGTATATGTGAGGGGAGTTTTATTCAAAGGGGCCCTTTACAACTATATCGTTTTTTTAATGCCAACACGAGCAACAAACTGCAAACACAACCTAATTTTTTCAAGCTACAATGAAAGCATTGCCCTCTCCAAACCCTAACTAAAACTATGAGACCTTCCATTTATCTATAGTCACTCCCATTTTACTGCTCCTTCTCCATCTTCTCAACCTTGTTCCTTCGTTTAAATTCAATGTCCAAATGTCGCTTGAGCGCATCACTTCTAGTGAAGCTCAAGGGACAGTATGGGCAAGAATGAGTACGAGCACGAGCGTGCACAGATTTGATATGTCTGCGCAAATCATGCGTTCTTGAAAAAGTAGCAGGACAGTCCTTACAACAGAATGGCCTTCCACCTGTTGCAGTTTGGGGAAAGGTGGTTAGTAAGTGCGATCGGTTACGTTTGAACTCTTTTCTGCATCGAGAAGTGCATTGAAATGGCATTTGCAATAAAATCAAACCACAACACAGCAGCCGTTTATTCAACAGTTCAACAAACAACAAACCATACCAGAGTGGCAGCGAATATGAGAAGCGAGATTGTAGCGACGAGTAAATGTTTTGGTACAACCAGGCAACTGACAAGGATAGAGGCGCTTTTTATCAGTTGATGATTTTCGAGAGTAGTTTCGATGCTTATAGTTTTCCAGATAGTCGTCCGAGTCAGATTCGATTTCAACCCTTCCGTTGCCAGAGCGACCTCGTCTACGAGACGGTGGAGGAGACGCATCGTAATCTGACTCTGGATCTGGATCGTATTCAGATGCATCTCCATCTTCGTTGTCTTCTGCGTATTCTGTATCCTGTTCTGCAGCATCATCTGTATCAGAGTCAGACAAGACATCTGACAAGACTTCATCCGCAGACTCGACATCTTTATTCTTTGCAGTGACTTGTTCGTTATTGCCATATTCCACTTTGACTGTCAATAGTTGAGTGTCGATGGTGGGAGGTTCGTCTACTGGCTTGGTTGGTGCTGGGGTTTTGAGTGCTGGCTTTGACACTTGTTGCACTGATGGAGGTGCTGGATTTTTGGCCATTATTGCAGCTAGTAGTATTGATTCACTAGGCTTTACAGTGTCGTTGCTGGTCTCGTTTCCATATATTTCGTATACATACTCTTGACCGTCATACACGTCGGTGTTGTAATTGTTTACCACTGTGGTAGGAGCTGATGATGCGTCTTCACCTGCTTCAATAGCAGCATCCAGTAGATTCCACGGGGTCTGAGTCGTATATGGCGGTGTATCATGTTGCATGGTTGTCGGCATGTGCGAGTGGTGGTAATACATATCCATGTGGGGTGGTAGATTATGGTAACAGGCTGGTTGAGCCTGCATCGGCCATCCAGGGTATGCATCTTCTTCATTCAAGGCCGTAAGCATGCCTGGAATCGCGTCGGACAGGCTAGATTTGAATGGGCGTGGTCTGGGTGGCGTATATTCTGCCGCTGGGTAGTGTTCAAAAGCGACTTCTTCTGTATATATGTTGTGTTGTCGATGTCCAATCAGGTTGTATAGTGGAGGCAGGGTGTAATGCATTTGGTCGGCATACCAACGACTTTGCAGCAAATCAATGTTTGAAGACGACGTGATCATACGCCTTCGGGGATTCAGACTGTCTTCAATGGATGAAGTCATGTCTGTCAGTCAAAATATACTCTCTATATGGACTAATTGAAGACTTTGGTTAAATTCTGTTTGGGCCTGTACAAACGCTGTGACAAAAAAAAGCCAAATTAAATTGTTTTGATTGAAAGCTTACCAGTAATTTGAAGGAAAACAGCGCGACAGGAGCAAACCATCCGCCTAGCTATATATCCGTCTCGATGTATCCGTCCAAAAACTGCGTACAAGGCCTCTAATTCGTGCTTAACAACTACACTGCCTCTCCGAGATTGCAACAGAGTAGGGAGTAAAGTGGAAGAAAAGACCAATAAATAACCTAAAGGCCAAAAGTATGCTTCTTACCCGTAGCAAACGCGTCAAACATCTCGAGTTCGTTGCTGCGGTTACGGGAGCATGCGTATGACGCGAGAACGCGACCATCAACCAAAATTTTGAAACTAGCACGTGTAAATGATATAGAGGAAGCATACTATATTTTTTATACAATGTAAGTTAATAGTGTTTGGGATTGCTGAAGGAGTTCAATACATGTGAAATGCCATAGATCCCCGATGTTGGGTGCGACTCTGAGGCCATTTGTATAAATGACTTAAAGTTTGTCGCCTTGCTTCCTTCAAGTAAAGCCACAATTGTATTCCAAGACATAAACGTCGGAGAGAGACGAGACAGAGACAGATTGTGTGCGTTGGACTGACTGCCTACTATGGCAAACACAACTTTAAACAATTCTCCCATATACAACATCAGCAACTCTAGAGTGGCAAATGAAAGGTGAGCACGTTATACAGACAACACCGTTGTTGACCGTGTAAGCAAACACTTACGTCGATCCATCACAGATAATTGATCAACCAACTGGAAAGACAGCCTTAGCACATCACTAATACACACACCGTCCACCTGATCAAGCATGGATTCCAACTTCAGTATGATAGCTCGTAGTACACACCATGTAACTCGTGAATGTAAATTGGCATTCCCATCATCAAGCCAATCTATACTGCATATCATCTTGGCATCCTCCCATTGGCCTATATCTTTCTTCTCGGCATCCGCAACGGTGTGTATGATGCTCCGGACGTGGCATATGAAGGCCACGCTAACGTCGTGGAAGACACCGCATTCGCTCTCCATTCTGGTCATGGTATAGTAGCTGGACTTGGGAGTAGAGAGATCCAAGAGGTCAATCCAGCAATTTGGGAGCTAAACATTAAGGGTTTGTTAGCGATCGAAACACATCCTAAGCTCCAAATTCAAAATCACAAACGGAAACTCAATGATGCAAAATCAACCGGGCAAACTGGAACCGTACCATAGATGCACGGCTTGCAATGTCGTATAGTTCCTTTCCAATATCTCGTCGAGTCATAGCTTGCCATATATGTGGTGAGAGGTCATCAAGCGTTCCAGAGAGTTTCTTGTTCACCATAGAAAGCTGGCCGAGGTCGTTTACTTTCAAAAACGTCGAGCATATGAGCAATAGAATATCATCAGGGAAAAAGTCCAACATTATTATTGTATGAAATCGTTGAGATCGTGGACTGTATTAAGTCTTGACTTGCAATGTGCTTTAGATCGGGCGATCGGGAGAGATTTGCAGGGTTCCTGATGACGCCAAACCACCACCCTGGTTCAAGGTTTGATTAGCCGGCCGCATTACTGGATTTGGTAATTGATCATCGTGCAATTCCTTACTCAATCAACTGCTGTACGATCAGTTCAAAGAAAGCGTTTGCATGTTCGTCAGAAATCTATATTGCTAATTTAATCAGGTGCAACAACAACAATACAGTAAAGCATCCAAAATAAAATAATTTATCAACCATCTGCGCTATCAGCTGGACTATTTTGTTCATCCTGTCTTGGTTTCGATACATATTGTGGGACTGGTACCGGCATCATATTGTAACCAGGTGGATAGTTATACATAGAGGGTTGTCCATGAGCCTGAGTCATCAGACACTGCAATCCAAAAGCAGCTAGCTGTTCCATACTCATTTGTGGAGTCGGCCATACTGGCTGGAACATATATGGTGCTCCATATGGTGCAGCTGGCATATAGGCAGTCGGTGGAACTGAGAATCCTGGTTGACTATTGATATCTAGTGATGGCATCGGCATGTGCTGCATCGACTGCAGTTGCATCTGAGCCATATGCGGCATGGAAGCAAGTGATGACATTACGAAGGGATTCATTACAAACGGAGTGGTAGCATGATGTTCTACAGTAGGTAGTGACTTGGCACGTTCCTTCTCTGTCTCGCTCACAAACGGTAAAGATATCGGTGTTGGAAGACCATGATCACTCAATACTGAATTACCACGGCCGCGAGATAGACTGCGATGTCGTGGACCACCAACATGTGGTACGGGATAGATATCTATTGTTGTGCAAGAAAGACAATGTTAGACCCGTGCTTTGTTCCAGCTTTTCAACTTTACAAGACAGAGTATGAAGTTCACCTCTGTTTCCGTCTTTGGTCCTCTTCCTTCCGCCTTTTCCTTGGCCCTTCTTGGTGTTTGGTATTTGCTTTTGAGGCGACGAGAAGATCAATTCCAAAACTAGCAAAGCGAAAGATTAGCTAAAATCCAGATTTGAGGACTACCAATACAAAATTAACATACAGTCTTCGCCATGTCCAAAGTTTCCATCATCTTGCTCCGAGCTCCATCCGGCTGCCAGGTTTTCCGTTTCAGATTCGGCAAAGTAGGCTTCTGATCCAAGAGCTGGTGATTTGACATTCATGTCTCCATCATCTGGAAACTGGATGCCTTCGTGAGATGGCGTTGTTGCGGAGGGTTGATTCTGAGTGGCTCCTGGAGATGCTTTACTTTGCGGCACTTCAGAATCTGTGAAAAGAATCTTTCAGTATCTAGAAGAAGGAGCCAAAGGCGAAAACATCCAAAGTGACATGAGACATACGCGAGTCGAGACGAGGGGCTATCGGTCGAGGGTGTGCACGCGGGAGTGGTGGGCGAGATGAAGATGTGGTCTGTGGGATGGCTGTTGGTTTCTTATTTACATTGTCCTGCTTTGACTGTTTCTTTTGATTGTGGGCTTTGCCTTGATTTTTCGATTGCTTCACGTTGATCGGCTTCACTCGCGGTGGCTATAACAAGAAATTGAAGAGTGTCACCCCATTCATGCCTATAATCTCTCAACCCACACAAGGAAAACATCACTTACGGGCACGAAATTATTTGCTGATGGCGTTGGTGCTGAAAATGAGGGCATCGATGTGGGTGATGGAAGACTCAATGCATGCTGCTGGTGAATCCTTTGATCTGCGATAGCTTTGTATGATTTATACTGGCTGTTCCTAGCTGGTGGAAGTGGCCGTTTGGAAGAGCTTTGATATTCTCCATGCAGTTCCATCAAGTCGAGAGTAGCATCAAGCAGCATGGTAGGACGAGCTATTAAAGCAGTATGGCCAAAGCGAGGTCCAAGTTTGCGACAGGTCTGTGTTTGTATAAGTCGGTCAGTTAGTGGGTTAACTGAGGTCACAAAAAAACCAAAAGAGATGATCTTTTGACCACTTCCAAAGAAATTTACCTCGCGTAATATATGACGTTCCAGTTCTGTCAATGGTTTGAATGGCAATAGATGGAAACGCTAAAGAAGATGCAGTGTGATAAATCAATGGTTTGTCGGGCCAAACTTGCAAAAGGTACCAGAAACATACACGTATGGGATTGTCGGCACCTCCTCTGGACGACAAATTCGATATACGTGTCTTCATTTGCACCACGGTACGAGCAGGAAGGAATCGAGCACGAACTTCCCGAAGATCACCACCACAACGTTCAGATCCCATTCTTAATAACTCGTCTTCATGTTCTAAAAATGGGTTTCGATGGCGTCGAACTATCCAACATTTGAAAATTGGTAAGTATGTTTGAGCAACATTGGTTAGTTTCATCTTGGGCCATACCTGGAATGACAATAGGAAGGATATCGTCATGAAAGAATTCTGGAGTAGATGAGACGATTCTATCCAATAATGCCGGCCACGGCGATACACACGTGCGAGCCTTCCAAACCATATCTCCGTTGTTTCGAATACTCGTCATCCATTCGTCAAAGGAATCGCCATGTATGCGTTCATTCATTCGATCATAGTCTTTACGATGGGTGGGATTTTCAAAAGCGTTGGTAATACATTCGTGCCTCTTCTTGTCATTGGGATGTGGCTCTGACTTGATTATGGATGGAATGATGGACAAGGCTGGGTGTCTAAACACTGATCGCTCCAGTTTCTGGGTTTTAGCATGCCGTTGAAGATCTCGAAGTTTATTCTTTGATGCAAAGTTAGTATGTGCCTCAAACAATGAAGCTGCTAACATGGCAAGGCGTAACGGACTTACCAATTGAGACGAGAAAAATCCAGAAGTGGAATCAGCTGCACCATATAATTCTGAGCTGAATGTGAAGGCTTGCACCAATATTTGAAAGTTTGCGAGCATCTGGTCCTTTAAAGTTTCAGCTTGCTCACAGGTAAATCCAAAACTAAGGCGATTCAAGTTTTGTAAAAGATTCACGAATAAGGAAAAGATGGTTTTGAGCACAAGTCTTACGATGCATCATGCACCCAGTGAGGGTGGGCAGGCATTGGGGGTAGAATGTTATCCCTTTCACTGCTTGGCAAGTTTTCCAAGTATTCACCAAACAAGAAGTCCATCTCGTCGCCTAAGCATATTTAAAAGGGTTGGTTAGTATTGAGCAAATCAAGTGAATGAGTGAAGATTCGGGACTTGCGTTCTTCGCTATCGTATAGAGGACCACTTGGTGAAGTTGGATTGTGACCATCAGTTGCAAGAATAGAGTCGACAGTACTAGCACTATCATCGGCATCGTCTTCCTCGTCTTCAATATCTTCCATAGCAAATGCGGATGCAAGCGCTAGAGCATGACCGTCTGAAGACAATTCCAAGGGTGGATGTTGCTGATGAACCGACTCATCAAAAATGTCTGAAAAGTAGAGATTCAAATCCTGAGAATGTTGTGGCTGATTGAGTCGCTCTATAGTGTTGTCATATATATCCATGTGGGTGTTGGAAGATGGTGCAGCGTGATGATATACGTCGCTTGCAGGAAGTGATTCTAAATCAAATTTAAGATGAGTGTTAGCTGACAATCCCATTGAGAAACAAATTGAGCAAATCTACCATTGGGACGTGGTGGAATGTTGGGAATTCGAGGAGCGGTTCGTTTCTTGGTTGATGACTGGACTATTCCGTCAGAAGCGGGCTTCGTCACTTTATGAGGTTTTTTCTTCATCTAATTTCAAGGTGATGATAAATAATTAGTCTAGAGGGAATTGTACTATTCGGTCAAGTAGTTTATGACTGTTACGGTTTGCGTTACCTCCTTGATTTCAGACATGTTTGGAGTTGGTGGAGGGCTTGTCTTTTTGTTGAGTACGGCACTATCCGATAACGGAGTAAGAGATGATTTAATGTGAAGAGCCCTACCACTACTACTGCTTGCACTATTGCCAGTAGCAGCGGGAGTAGGAGGAGCGATTTTGGGTTTCTTTGGTCGTCTTGGATCAGCCGTGTTGTTGCGCCGTTTTAGGATTGGAGGGGCTAGATTGTCAGCGACAAGTTCATTATATCTGGACATGCAATCAGCGGCACTTCTTCCAGGGAATGCCGAAGCAATCAACATCCATCTGTCGTCGTTTTGAGATACTGCAGCACATAATCTTAGATCTTCGAAAGTAGACCAAAGCTTGGCCGAGTTGGCTTGAGCACTAGCTACAGTGGATGGGTTGCTGATTGTGGCCATTTCGTCTGTTGCTGCAGTCGTTGTCATTGCCATGATGATTGTTTACAACTGATTCGAATTCCGCTCGTGGGTATGAAATGTGAATGATCTGGGATGGATAAAAGGAAGAGTCAAGTTAGAATACAGAGATGCATTTGGATTGCGTATGAGATAGACACTGAACAATTAAACAATGGGTGAGACTAGGGCCGTTCTGTTGTTCCAAACATCAAAGGCGAAGACCAACTTCTTCCAAAACATAGACTTGTCGTTCCGGCGAATATGTGAATTGCTCTGGCCGTTCGTACCTCTATATCATTACTATGTCCCTACCGTGGCTATAGGGGTGATCCTCGTCGTTCCTAGCCCAACTTAGGTTTTGCAGTTGTTGAGCATTAATTTTGGTAGAGTAGGCAGGCGATCGAGAACGTGCCAGATGACGCGGTGCAATCAACCAACAAATGAAACACTTCCATTGATTTGAATGTCGCCCTGATATAGAGCAAATCAGCAAATATGTTCAATGTCGGCAGTCACATTCACTTCTACCTTTAATTGGTTTAATGACTCTAGTTCTGGTTTCTATGGCCTCGGATCTATCAATTATCACGCGAAAAACACGTCATCAAATTCGCTTGACTGGCGTAGTCTCTTGAAATCACTTTCGAATATTTCAAGCTCAGTCATTCACTTTGCACTTTGAGAATAAAGCAACATGGAACGGTAAGCACTTATCTATATCCAAGCGCATTGAAATCATGTTGGGTTCTGGTCCTCTTCATCCTTGAATCACAACTCTTTGCATTCATGGAACTTGACCAGAAAAAAAAACTTGAAATCGAGCTTTAACAGGATACATCTTGCATCTAGAAAAATTCTTCTTCTTGGATCAGGTTACGTGGCTGGTCCGTGCTTGGATTACTTATGGAAACGCCCAGAAAACATCATCACAATCGGTACGCCTTGCCTGTTTGTCCATGACATTTGACATTTGACTGCAATCTGTCACAACCTTGACATTTTCTCACAACAAAAACACTGTCATCTTTACAAATCAAACAAAGGTGCTCGTCGCAAAGAAGCTGGCGTCGAATTAGCTCAAGGACGTGACAGAATCATTGCTGTCGCTGTCGATGCTGCTGATGAAGCTGCCCTGGATGCTCAGGTCGCACTCCACGACATCATCATCAGGTACATACATGCATAAGGTCTCATTCATTGCTATTTGCAACCACTCACTGACTCATTGCTAGTTTGATCCCTTACACTCAACACGCCAAAGTTATCAAGTCTGCTGTCAAACACGGCAAACATGTCGTCACCACTTCCTACATTTCCCCAGCCATGATGGAATTCGATCAAGCGTAAGTCTGTTTGTTCTCGTTGGTGACATGGTGTCAACTGTAGGTCCAAATCCCACCAAAAACAAAGACTCATATTCCATCACAAACACAGCGCCAAAGACAAGAACTTGACTATATTCAATGAAATTGGTGTCGACCCTGGTATCGATCACTTGTACGCTGTCAAGGCAATCAGTGAAGTACACCAACTTGGTGGCAAAATCGTCGGCTTCACGTCATACTGTGGTGGTCTCCCTGCTCCTGAAGCCTCAAACAATCCATTGGGATACAAATTCTCATGGTCGGTTCGTGGTGTATTGATGGCTTTGAGGAATAACGCTAAATTCTTGGAAGATGGCAAGGTATCAAATGAATAATTGAAGCAAATTGCTTCATGTGTATACAACTCTGTAATACTCAACGTTTCATGCATTTCAACAAGGTCGTCGATATTGAAGGCCCACAGCTTATGGACTCTGCCAAACCTATTTTCATCTACCCTGGCTTCGCTTTTGAAGGTTATGCCAACCGTGACTCTACTCCTTACAGTGAACGATACCATATACCTGAAGCCAAAACCGTCATTCGAGGAACTCTGAGATATCAAGTATGCACGTTATGTCCAAATATCTAGCATTCCGACAGTTGTGTCTGTCGTTAACACAGGGCGGCTGTATTTCTTAGGGATTCCCCAAATTCATCAAAGCTTTGGTGTTATTGGGTATGCTGTCAGAAGAGCCACTGGACTATCTCGCAGCCTCAGCTGCTCCCATTACTTGGAAGAATGTTATGGCCCAGCTTTTGGGTGTCTCCAGCCAACAAGAGTCGTAAGTTGTTTTGCTTTGAATTAAAACGGGCAGGAATTGTTTCTCACTTGGTATATTTAGGGATTTGATTACAGCCGTCATAGAAAAAGCTCATTTGAAAGGTTCAGAAGCAGAACGTATTACTCGAGGTCTAAAGTGGTGAGTATACAATTGCCTCCATTCGATGACTTTGTTCAAGTCGGCTAACATGATCGTCTATCCATAGGCTGGGATTATTTTCTGATGACCAAGCTCCCAAAGCTGGAAACATTATGGACACATTGTGTGCTACTTTGGGTGCCAAGATGCAATATCAAGAAGGAGAACGTGATATGACCATGCTTCAACACGTCTTTGACTGCGAACTCCCTGATGGTACCAAGGTATGTAACAAGACCTGTCTGTTTGTCTCAAATCGGGTGCTAAACATTGAATCTCACATCTATTTAAATTAGCAAATTCGAACCTCTACTGGTCTTTGGTTTGGTGAACCCAGTGGAGTAACCTCCATGGCCAGGACTGTTGGTGTCCCTTGTGGTATCACCACTCAACTCATTCTCGATGGTGTCATTACTCGTCGCGGTGTCGTGGCTCCTATGGACATGGAAGTCATCCAACCAATTCTGGAAAAGCTGGAAGGAGAGGGTATCTACATGAAGGAGGAAATTCTTTGAGATTTCAAGCATTTAAGGGTATAATACACGGTTGTAAGACACTCTTTTCCCTCATAAACTCCAATGAGTCTTCCAGAAATCGTTTTATAAATGCTGAACTTTGATCATTCATGACTTTGAAAGAACAGCTAATGCGGAGCAATTTATGTTTCAAACTGCGTTCAGATCCGCCACGGCGATTTGATTTGTTTATACATATATTAATGGCTTTCCCTTGTCCTCTACTAAGCGGTACCCTTCGTATAGTGCGGTGCGATTGCCGGTTAATTCATCTACGACCTTGTGCTTCCACTATTTTGCAAGACGGTTGGCAAGATATCCATAAGTAAACAGGTTACGTGCTGTAGTCTTACGTCTGGAGCATTGTTTCCAGTCCAAGGCCATAAATTGCCTCTGAAGTATAGCGACACGTGTGAAACAACAATGAATGGTTAGAATCCATGCTAATAGTAACATCTCAAAACAACGTTCTTACCAATCCAATCGACTATATCATCACCCGGATAGTAGGGACCAAATCTAGAAAACTAGGAACCAGAAACTTTATAGGTGTATGGTTGAACACGCACTTTGAGGACGCATCAAAGCAGCCAGTGCCAAACATTTCGTAGAAACCAGCAGGCTGTTCACCAGATCTCTGTGTTCTAGCATTGATTTGAACAAATCCGTTTCCAGCTGCGGAAAAGTAAGATATCGCACCCCAGCTTGCAATACTTCATTCCAGCAAGTTTGTGTTTGCCTTGTACGAGTTCTAGATGAATCAAGTCGTTGGAGCTCATGCCAAGTTTTGGATTCGAGTGTAAAATGATAAGATCCAACCAGGGTAATACCTCAAATATGTAAGGTGAACATGTTTGCGACCTTGCGCCAGTGAAGAGTGCAAACACCAGAATCACCCACCAAATCATTCGCTGATGCTTGTAAGCACCAACTACGATCCTCACGTAACTGCAATGAAGTCAAACGGGAGGGACCGATATGTTTTTCAGGAGAGTGCACTTTCTTCGTCGCAGTTTACGGGTTTGCCCAGCCAACCATGGAGCCGTTTTGAACCACGTTCGTTCTAGTCTCGTGTTCTCGGATCCACTATGAGTGTTGCTCCGTCAGATGTCGCTAGTTCTATGCAAGTTCCGTTCCAGTGCTTTTAAGCGTCGATTCACTTTTATGTTCATCAAATTGCGTGCATTCTCTTGTCACATTGTTTAAGTTTAGGGACAACATTGAAATTAATATAATGAAGACCTTGTCATATAAGTTTGATCTGGCATTGGTTCCTTCACTGTTGCCCATTATTGCCTTTTTAGCTACAATCCAACTGCATTGATTTTGATAAAGCACGATGGTGACGTTTGAAGTCAGGCCAAGAACACCCACAGAGACAAGTTTACAGCAGCTTGACACTCCAGACACGGCGCTACAGGCATTGCGGACGATCAAACATGCTGTGGTTGGCGCAAGAAACAAGAAAACTGCATATGTAGAATTAGGCATCATTCCCAGGTAGGAAAGCTACAGATCAGGAATCGCATTCCCACCAATTATACTCATTTTGATTTCCTAGACTCGTGGAATTCCTCTCTGATCCTTCCTGCTCGGACCAAATCAAAAATGAAGCTGCGACTGTTCTAGGTTCTGTTTCATACGGTAGAGCATGGCAATCTGTACTTGCTTACAGAGACTCTTACTCTTGGAAGTTATCTAAAATTATGCTATTCTCTTCCAGGAAACAAGCTACCCCCTGACGACGCTGCAATTGTTGCTCTCCTAAACCTTCTATCATCCAAAGACTTGAAACTAGTTGATTCTTGTGCAAGAGCCCTAAAAGCGATATTCGAGTCAACTTCCAATGTCTCGAAAGATGTCGTATTCAAGGTATGATACACCTCAACACTCAATTTGCAACTTGAACCTATGCATAACACCAACACCATCACCATACCTAGTCCAATTACATTGCTATATTGGTCTCGCATCTTTCTCCCGATACGGATCTAGGAATCCCACAGAATTATCTTTCCACAAAAGCACACATCATACAGGTCGTCGCCTCCATCATTGCCCGCATTGCTACTACAACTCAATCACAAGTAATCCTATCGCAAGGCGGAGTGGTACCAAAACTGGTCAATCTTCTAGACGAAGTTTACAGTCCAAGAACACAGGAGGCCGCTGTCGATGCACTAGGTTGCCTGTGCCATGATAACCACCTCATAGCTAAAGAAATCGTCAACAACTCCAGTAAGTCAAATGGAATTATCTGTCATTACTTTAGTCAAATACCACGTTTGTGACGTCGCTTGTTTTGGAATAGCTGCATCAGGAGAACCCGCTATAAGAGCCGTCCTTCGTTTGCTAAGAACCAAGAGACCAGTCACACGACTGCTGGCAGCTGCATGGTATACAAAATCTTCCGTTCGTTGAATTCGTTACGATTTCTCCTCAACCAAACCCTCCCATTGTTTCTATCTAGTCTCACCAATTTCGTACGCACGGATGTATTGCCTCCTCAAAACCACGAGGACGTTATACTCATAGTATTGCCAACACTCATTGAACTATTTTGGGAACCTCAGCCGAGTTTCTCAGTGCATAATCCCTCATCTAATGACTCGCATACAACACAAACAACAACATTAACCAACGCATCATCAGAATGGGCCATAGTTCAGGAACGTGCTCCTCTAGTATTTGCTTCCTTGGTCTCCGAGTCAGAGAGATTACAGAAAGCTGCTATGGAAGGCGATGCTATAATCAAGCTCGCATCAGTAATACTCGGATCAGAAAAGCCTGATGTGGAATCGGGCCCGAAAACACTGAAAAAATCCACTAAATCATTAAGTAATCTCCGGAAAACAGTCGTCAAGGAGGTGGAAGTCCAACGCCCTCTTGCCAAATCTGTTCATGCCGATCGTGTCCGCGAGGTAAGATGCCGCAAATGTGAACAACATCAGACCACGGTAAATGTCTGACTATTTCCAATTCTTGTAGGCGGCCTTGGTTGCTGTTGCTGCTGCATGTTCTCTGAAAGAAGAATGCCGTAAACAGGTACTACTTGAAACTCTGATATCCAAGATCTAATAATCTCAAACAATCCTATTGCGAAACCTAGGTCATAGATGCTAGGCTACTGCCCGTTATTGTGACATATCTGTCGCACACCACTGTAGGACTACGAGCTGCCGCTTGTCAATGTACCCATTCTCTTTCACGATCAGTCAAAACATTACGAACATCGTTAGTAGATGCTGGTATAGCTCTACCTCTGCTTGCTCTCCTCTCAGATACATCCCGAGATGTCCAATTGACAGCCTCCGCAACTCTGTGTAATCTAGTTCTAGATTTCTCGCCGATGAAGACCACGCTATTAGAGAATGGTGGGGTTGAACGACTTGTAGAAATGGTTTGGCTGTCTGATGTCGCACTGCAGCTCAATGCCATATGGGCGCTCAAGAATCTATTGTATAAAGCAGAACTCAGTGTCAAGAAGCAAGTGATGAAAGGTCTCACTTGGCAAGGGTTGGAGAGGCTAGTTTGGCATTCAGAGATAGGAGTGCAGGAGCAAGCCCTCAATCTGTTACGAAATCTAGCTAGGTAAATTGTTATTGTTATCTTTCCTCCCATGAATCACGATGAAATCCTGACTCAGGTAACCGTCTTTAGTGACCGAGAATCGGATATAGATGAATTGTTTAACGGGTTTGGACGAGAAAAACTGTTGAGTTTGTTAGATGCTAAGCTTGGTCCCTCTAATCACGATGAGATCTTGACGCAGGTAATCTTATTTGTCTTTCGTCAGTCAACAGTGGGCACAGAAACCTTAACACCAAACATTGACCGATTTTTCTTGGACTTCATTTTCTAGGCATTGACTTTATTAAGGAATCTTGCCGGTGGTGTTGGAAGTGAGCGACATAAATCGTCCATCATGTCTAGCGATGCCATTTTGCGTTCCGTATTACGACTCATGGTAAAAGAGTTATGTTTGTCTTTTTGAATTTACAATTAAAGCTCAAGAAACCCTCTCATATTGTAGGTGCACCCGAAACGAGATATTCGAGGTCAAGCGATATGGGTAGTCCTCAACTTGACGTGGCGTGATGATACAGGATCGTTTCAAAGAGTAGCCCAATTGACGATACTCGGGTTTGAAGAGGCATTGAGGAATGCCTTGAATGACCAGGATCTGGAAGTTCGAGAAACGGCCAAAAAGGCAATTGCTTTATTTAACTCTGACGGGCCTCTTTCGATGCCTCCAGTTGTCGATAGGGACAGCGAGAATGGCACTTCAGCATTCGGTGATATGATTTCTCATCTTGGACAGGACGCTGTTGGTCGCGGGTGGTGAAATCGGTGATGCTTTGATATAGATTTGACATATGATAAAATTGTATTTCACAGCCTGCCCAAACCTGTACATATAAGTTTTATGAATCTAGGATTCGCCTTTATTCGTCTGCTGCGTCGCGTTTGATCCTTATGGATTGTGACTTGATCCTAATCGAAAGATTCCATTCCAGTATTCATCTAGTATTCGCCATTATTCGTCTGCTGCGTATCTCGCGATTGATCCTTGTAGATTGTGACTTGATCCTAATTGAATGATTCCATTTCAGTACTGGACTTGTATTCGGGTAGGAACGGACCCTTGGGACAAACCTGGAATTCTGTTTGAAGGAGCCTTATTTCTTCGCGCAAGGATACGATTGCTTGCTCCAATGCCGCATGAGGCGAGTAGTTTGATACAGTCTGAATCCTCAACACGACATCATATTCAAGTGGATGTGGTATCTTGTATCCAGCAAACAAGACCTTGCTGTTTTTCAGTAATTGCCTGTGGGTTACCAATGAGAATCAGCACGAGAGATAAGCCAATATATATGAGTCAATACGAATCGACTCTTACGATTTCAACAGGTTTCCAAGCGTGTGGTCCTCCTATTATTTGCAGTTTTGTTTAAAAACAACACAATCTGTGGTTGATGCCGACCATTTAAAGTGACCAATCCTCAACAATCCAACCTTGTATATGACGATTGTGGCCGAATTCGGTATCTTTGTATCGGGTGTCAATATAAGTCTATAGAGCTTGCTTGTTAGCTCAAATGTAACTCCTGAATTTCAGACTTTGCAGATGTTTACTTTGGATGGCCTTCAGGAAGGATAAAGGACTCGAATCTATAGCGGACGTGTTAGTAAGTGCATCATTTTCAGGCTGGCAATGTAACCTTACCTGTCAGGAGCGTTATTGTTCATGTCTTTTGAATTTTAAGCAGCTGCCAGCAACTTTGCAAACTATGGTCTCCAATACTCCAATGCACCTTGAAATTTTGTTCTAATTGTTCTTGTTTATTACTATATTTATACTGTTAATACTGATACGCCATAATTCTATTGATCTTCGAGAGACTCATCAGCTCCATCACCAATGGTTTCAGCTAGGCAATTGACAAACGTTAGTGATGCCGATCGTATGCTAACGCTATGAGCCACGGCTTACCAATGTCAAGGGCTAGTTTCCTTAGCTTCTTTTCCACTTGACTGAACTGTTCAACCATGTCTTTTGTCTCAAGAGGCCTACTACGGATGACCTTTGCCTTCTTCTGCAGAGCTTCCTTCACCTGCCGGGCCTTTATAGGCTTGAGCTGCTGTTGTCGTTTAGGAGCGAATGCACGAGGTTTCTCTCTATCATCGGCGACTGTATTCCACATAGAAGACGCTGGTTGAATACAGCCTTCCTCTCGACCCTCGATACTTTCATCCTGTTTATGACCCACATTGCTCTTTCGTCGGTGATTGAGAATAATAGCCGGTCCGCTGGGTTTGGTATGTGGTGATGCTGCTGGCGATGTTGGTCTCAACAAGGTTTTGGGATGGTGTTGATTCCACGATTGAGTTGGTTTTGAAAATGACATTTTGGCCATACGGATATAGGCATTCGGGTGGGAGAGTGCATGACGAAGGGCTCGTACAGATGCCAGGATACCTTGCGGCATTTGTAAATCTAACGATTCCGTTGACGATGTGTCTGAATCGTCCGAATCAAAGGCTACATCATCTTCTTCTGCAGCTGCAGACACCTGTGGCCTCTCTTCTTCGATATGTACATGGGTGACGAAGGTGGCGTCTTGAAGCGTTGGCTCATATTTGAGTGTTGCGGGTGTAGGAGTATCTTGCTCTCGTTTCCGCTTCCGAGATTCCAGGATTCGTCGTAAATCCCGTAATCGAGGCATCTTGCCGGATTTCAAGACCTGGTTTGCCATATCCATTAGCTCTTGGTCATTCAGATCATCGTCGGGACTTGTAGCGTCGACTTGGTCGGCCATCACTTCTGCCTTTACATTATTACTCCAGAGGTCAACATTCAGCTCCGTCACTGTGTGTATTGCTTCCGTCTCTCTTATTTCTTGGCCGACCGATATTCCATATGACTCGCGCAAGACTTTGATGACGTCGAAGTTGGCATAGCCCAACAATTCGGAATTATCGGTGCTGGTCTTGTCGGATTTGACCACAATGCTAATTGTTTGGTTACGCATACATGGATTGTTTTCAAGCCTGACATGTTTCAATACGGGCAAGTAAACAATAGGCATGACTGATTCTGCAGTTTCTAGGCGGTTTCCTCGAATGTCTAAATCACAAAGCTGCGGAAATCCGGGATACTTTTGACTTGGAAATGCCTCGGAATCACGAGAAAATAGCGACAGGCTTTTGATTCGATTTCCACTCAAATTCAAGATCTGTAAACTGGGGTGACATTGTTTGTCAGTTAGTGTAAACGAGTTCTGTGACTCTACACATGGCTTACCTGGGCAGCTGGCCCAACGTTTGCAAATCCTGCTCCAAAGCTATCGAGTTTTTCTCCAAGATTAACGATTGAAGTTTGGGAAATCCTGCAGCGATGGTTTTCGGAATTTGCGATATGTCGTTACAAGTCAAGTCGAGTTGTTTAAGAGAGGTCAATCCACTCAACGAGGAAAGACATGGTGATTTCAGATGGTTAAAGGATAGATCTAATATTTCAAGTTGCTCGAATTTGGCTCCTAAAGATGGCGAGATTGATGCAATCTGACAGCATGGCATTTGAAGCTGCCAAAGACCTGATAGTGCGGCTACGGCTTCGAAGGATAGACCAGAATTCTCTGCTGCTCGTAGAATACGGATCGAGGAAAACTGAGCCAGATCCTCCTCAGATACGGATTGGATTACTTGGCCGGTAATGTCAAGAGCAGTAACTAGCACGGGACTGTCTGCCATAGTGTGATCCAGCTATTTTACGAAGAGAGTGTGAGTGACTATTGTCGACATTTTTTGGAAATGGGTTATTGCAACCCACTATGAACTTTGCATCCAAAACTATGGGAGAATGCGACCGATCTGAGTGATGATGTAGTCTGTGGTGACTACTTGCAATGGCAGCATCGATCACTGCCTTTTTCAAATCCGCGTGCTTGGTCCTTCTTGGATGTGCGTTGGGGAACAGGGGGGCATTAGGAAGTGCTGGATCTGAGGATTCAAGCTTGAATATTGGCTGCCACAGGGGATACGTTGCCTTGTCATTGGTGGTTTTACTTGCAGGTTTACTCTTCTTAATACGCAGGAAATTGCAGTCTGCTGGTTGAACACAATCAGTATCATCAACATCAGAGATCATTTCAGTAGTGGATTCATCTTGGGCCATCTTTTCTATGTCTAGGTTCAAAGATTTTGAGTGCCTCTGGAAGGGGGCGAACCTCGGACATTTTGGTGTATGACTGCGCTCGCAAAACTGCCCACTGCGATGCAAGGTCAAAAACATAACATCCATGAAGACTACATTGTACAATTAAAATCATAGTCCGTTTATTGCTGTAATAACATTAATTCATGCGACTTGTCTGTATCACTTTTTTGTCGCAGTGTTCGTGCATAGATCTTGACTGGCGGTGATAGATACTGTGAGTATTAAGGCAAGTTCTCGACGTTGCTAGCGTGGTAAGTGTATTATTCTATCTTTCCTTGGTAGTTCAGTTCCCTGTTGGGCTGCGGATAGCCTGTTTTTGTTGTGTTGGTTTGGAAGGGCACCAGAACGAAGAAGTTGACTCAGTAATCAAAGCTCAACGGACTTTTTTCCGTACTGACCTGATGTACTAAAGCTCACTCGGTCCGCATTAGACATCTAAAGCAGTTCAGCTTGGCTTGCTTGACCAAAGCATCAGGCATCGAAAATTCATCAAACTCCCAAAGTCAACCCACAGTTGTTTGGAAATACAATGGCCGCCGATGCATCCTCAAATCACACTGATATGCAACAAAATATGCACATCTCAACTCCAAACCCTTCACGAGACCAATCTCCTGTGCCAGTCAAAAACATAGACCCTGACACTCTGACATCAATACCATCGCCAAAGTCGATCGAAGAAGAGTCTACTCCCATACTTCCAGATGACGAAGGACAAGTAAAAGAATTTACCTTGCGCATCTCAGATGATCCCGTAAAAACTGCTCGAGGGATCTATATCTTGTCGTATGGCAACATGAATGTAGAAATGGTTAATGATGATGTAAAAGATCGAGTCTTCTTGGCCATCGTCAAGGCTCTCCTAAAAGTCAATAACTCACCCATGTACGCACCAGCATACTTGAAAACTCGAATCCTTTCACGTCTTACTCTATATATTCAACCCTTGCCTAATGCGTCACTCTGTGTTTAGGACACCTAAGGAGATCTCACAAACAATACTTCGATTAAAACTCACCCCGTTAGGGTAAGAGCCTCGCTTATAAGTCTTCATCAAGTGCTGACATCTATTTATAATACAGTGGATCCACGCCAAACGCAACTATATCCTCTCGATTGAGTCAACATTACAAAAAGGCCGCAGAATTCAAACCAAATGGCAGAACGCCACTGTTGGGAAGAGAACCAATAGATCCCAGCTCACGAAAGCTACATTACTTTATTCTTCAGGAAGGAATACCTGTAAACCAGCCTTTGGCGCAAATCTCTGGCGATACGGAGGCTGGGGGAGTTCCTCCTAATATCGATTTAACTGCTGGCACGCATAATAATCATTCAACAAGACATTTCGCTCCACCATCTCCCAATGCTAGCAACTTGGTGCGAAAAGTAGGTCGACCACCAACGTCATCCATCATATCCACTCCATCATATAAAAACATAAAATCACAAGTCAATCCATTTGCATCTGACACTGCACAACGACAGCCTCCTCTACTTGCACCTCACGAACCCCGGTATGTGCAACTCTCTCACACCAAATCCAATATTTTACACAATAAAACCAGGTCTCTCGGAGCTGCTGCTCGCCCCTTCCCTAACGGAGGTGGCAAGTCACTGGTCCCATTATTATTAGCAGCTGAAGCCATTCTAGGCCAAGATGACGATGATGTGGAGGATAGTAGATTAGGTCGGCAAGATTCGAAAGGAAAACATAATATTGATACTCATAAACGTCGTCCACGTAGTAGGCAGCAAAGCTCAAGGAGACCGTCTTCTAGTCGTGAGTCGTCGCCGTCTTCTGATGCTGATGATGAGGACGACGACATCGACAACCATATCCCACGAGACTCTCTCAACGATCTTACTGTATCGAGTAATCAAAGTGCGCCGACTCGAGTACCACTAGATATTCGCTCGTTTGACTGGGAAGGTAGTGAGCCTCGATCACGATTAGACTCTGGAGAATGGGTATTAGGAACAGCAATTCTCCAATCTCCAAGGGCTCCGAAGCTTGTACCCGCTAGTCCTTGGAGAGCGACAGTTGCATGGGATCATGAAGCAGATACGCTTGAAGATCCGTTGAATCGTCCGTTGACGCCCATGTTGAGTCCACGAGCATGGAGAGATGTACGTCCTCCCGAGTCTGTCTCTGTCAACGAGTTGGACCGTTTATGGGTTGACGAGCGTAGGCACAATACTGCCAGTAGATCTAATAATGACCTTTATTCTCCTAAACGCACTCCTCGCAAACGTAAAGTGAGCTCAACGTTTGGATTGAGTCCATCGTTTAAAAAGGTTCAAAAGACACCACATGATCTCTTTGGCATCGATGAGCCAGCACGTACGAGTGCTATGGAAGATGGCATTCAAGGTAGCGACGATGCTAGGAAACCTCGAAAGACTGTCAAGTTTGGTGATGATACTGATACAACGCCATCTCGTAAACATAAAAACGATGAGAGTGGTATGAACAGCAGCAGGTCTCATATCAAGAGTCTCATCAACGCAACAGGAGCATTTGGCCGAAAGAGATCTTCATCGAGTGGGAGGAGCGCTACGGGATCTGGTACAGCAGATATTATAGTAGAACCATCCCCTAAACGAGCTAGACTACATCGCCGTGCAAACTCTCCCAACGAAACACAACCAACAACATCGTTTATACCATCAACGAATTATAATATTTCACCGACAGTGCCAGTAGGAGATGTTACGTATTTGGAGGCTTCTGAGCCGCCTCTTGATTTGGATCCAAGTACTCTGGAATTGCACTCGCCGCAAAAGTCTCTGTCGCCCTCAAGTCCTCATATATATATAGCAGTTGTCGATGGAGTAGGATTATACATTACTTGGTTAAAAGCTTCGTCACCACAAGAACAACATGGCATTCCGCTTATGCGTCGATTGGATACTGATATGGTACATGGTGCGACACTTTTATATGCTGGTGGAATGTTTACTGAAAAGTAAGTTTCGCTATGCAGGAATGTTTGCTTAGAATTATGTGATTCTTAAATGAGACTTTAGGGAGCGCTCGATCGTTTTGAGTCTGGAACGAGGCCGTGTTCGTCACAAGGGACACAGTCCGCTGATGGGTACATGGATTTCTTTATTCAGGTAATGCAGGAGCAAATTGTTCAAGAATGCTTCCGATCCGAACTAACTGGTTTTATACATACCTTTTTAGAGCAAGGAATTTGGCCAGTACATGTAGTCTAGACGCAGTGTTGGAGCAGTTCTTGAGTGACGACCTCTCTTCGTATTTTGATCCGACTTTATTGGCAGCGATGCATCCACCATCTCCACCAATGCCACTCATAACACCATACGGAACTCCCATACTGTTGAACTCGGCACAATATACGCCCATCTATCCAACATTGCTACCGAGCAGTCAACCATTGTCTAGAGCTAGTCATCCACCATCACCACTCAACTACTTTACATCAACACTAGCTGCATTATTGGCCAATCAACAAGTCGCTCAACAAAATGGTCTACCTGTGCCTGAACTGGATGCTCCCAAAGAGATGGCTGTAAATGATAATATAAATCCAGATCATCGGTCAGCTATAACGTTATTTATGGAAGCCTTCAAGACGTCGCTCAGTAGAAAGGTGGAAGAAAAGTCGGTTGGTAGTTTACTACCTGCAGCACCAGCTATACCAGCTATAAACATTCCATCAACGGATATCGCAAATGGTAAATAGAAAGCAATGAAAAGGAACGAAAAAGGAGGACATAATATGTAGATTGAATGTATGTGTAAGCCGATATTTGATTGTAAATTTTAAGAAGGATTAACCGCGAGTGTGCTGGCTGCCGCGCATTGGATTTCCGTATCGATTCCGCCGATTTCCTTTCATCGTGTCATAGTGAGGGTGGTGTCTGTTCCACATCTTGGCTTTATTTTGTTTGGTACAAAAAGAAAAGAGATTTCCGAGAGGTGTGATTAGCATAACGGTGGAGAGAGAGTCTTGAGAGCCTTGAAGATGGACTCTTCCGACAGCCCGTCGACGCACTATCTCAATTTATCCATGGATTCACCGTCAGATGGTGGCCAGTCAACATTCGATTTCAATCAGCAACATCAACATCAACACACACAGGAACAGCTCCAGCAACAAGCGAACGATACTCTAAATCATATAAATCATGACTTGTACGACTTTGGCAACCAACCTGGCCCGCAATTGACTAGGACACCGTCGTTCAAAACCCCACATCAACTCTCAAATGGTCCAACATCTTTCAACAACCAAATGTATAATCCACAGCCCATCATGATGCAGCAACATCTGGCATCTATATTACCAACCCCAACGCAGTCTCCACCGCCAAACGTACTTACAATTCAACAGCAGCAAATACACCAACAGCAGCAACAAATGCAACAACAGCAGCAGCAGCAGCAGCAACAAACATACCATATTAGCTCACCACGGCAAGAAGCTGTGCCTGATGCTCTCGATACCTTCATGTCGCAGGCTCCTTCCGCTACCAACCCGAGTAATATAACTCCTGGTTTGGGCCTGCAAGGATCTGGCCCACCATACTATTTAAACTCTTCCCCCTTTGGCGGATCGCCACCTCCTCCAGCTGGTTTACTATTCTCTATAGCTGCTCCCAATCCAACAACTTCCCCTCCACCCCAGTTCATAAATCAACCCTTCACGAACGCCACTGGACAGAACGTTGGTCAACAGATAGTCTTCCAGGAACCTGCGGCTGTAATACAGCAAAGTCGCAATCCAAACTCTCCCCCTCCCATGAGCACATCTCCAGCAGTGTCAAAATCCGTGTTTGATGTCTCATTGGCCGTGAACAGTAACCCGCCCCAACCACAGCAACAGCAAATGCCAGCCATCAATACCAATCAGTCTGCACCTGCATCTGTAGCATCCAGCACATCACCAACACCAACTAGCCCACCGCCCAATCTTCAGTCACCGCAGCAGATGCCCACCATCATAAACGGTAGCGGTACCAACGGAATGTTGCCATCCGGCAACGGTTTACAAGCATTATATCCATTATCAATGACAACTATGATGACCGTACCACCCCTGCCGGCAGTGGCTTCGGTACCGTCGAATAGTAATAATGGTGTACAACCTGCACCGGGCTCAGTTTCTGCGATTCTATCGATGCAAAATGCAGAAAACCTTGAGAGGATTGAAAGCGATCTACTACTACGTCTGGATAATGAAAATAGGAACTTTTTAACTGAAGGATTGATTGAAGTTCAGGCTGTGCAACAAGGTGCAACCGTGACTTCTCCATCCTCTATAAATTCTAGGATAAGGTCAATGTATGGCCAGATTGAAAAAATGCAGAGAGAATATGGTACCACTATAACAGAACTATCTAACTATGGCTACATTGCTAATCGGCTCAAGACTCGGTTGGATTCCATTCTCGTTGATTTACGAGGAGCTGTAAAAATTTATTCCGACATTGAGAATGACCAGCAAGTAAGTAGGATGCGCATTCTTGATGTATTGTAGTGCTAAATCGCATTCCTCAACTAGCGACATGAACAAGAAGCTGCTCGATTGGTACAGGAGTTGACTATTATAAGTGCCGCTGCACAGGCTGCTCAAGCTGCTCAGCAAGTGCAAGCACAGCACCAACAACAACAGCAGCAATTACAACAGCAGCAGCAGCAAATGCAACAACACCATCAGCAACTACAACATCAGCAGCAACAGCAACAGCAGATGCAAGAGACACGATCACCTCCAGCACAATCGATGTCTGCTCCTCCTCCAGTTCCTGAAATGTCTGGTATACAGGAAATTACGCACACATCACCGCCGCCAACGACGATACCACGCTCGACTCCCAATGAGAATAATACACATAGTCATAGTATGATGGCAGAGCAAGTCTTGTCTCGTGATACGTCCATGGCTCCAGCTCCTTCTATGCATACAGACCACGTTATGGAGGCATTAAACAATGGTACGTGGTCAGTTCTGCTTTTCACAGGGATCTGACGTGGTCTAACGTTCTTTATATAGATTCGATGTGGGATTTAGATAGACAAACATTCCAATGCGCAGTGTGTGGCGCAAAATTATTGATTGTGCATGAGCATAATCAGGGCCATTCGGTGATGGTGATGAATGGGGACGTTACCATGAACTGAGCTATTATTTTTTTTGTTTCATCTGACACGAGCAAAGGGGGGCACGCACACGTACTTTTCGCACTTGAAACACCATTTATGTATTATTACAATAAACCCAAACTTGCAAATAATTGTCTTGTTTGGGTTTGATCGTTTTCAAGTTGCAACAACATCACCATAACCACGAAACTGTGCGATGGCGAAGCAAAAGAAGTCTACCAAGGTACTAAAGTGCATGCGAAAAAGTTGAATCTGTCGTTATAGCGGACCGATTGTCTTCTAAATTGTCTTGTTTCGCTGCAAATGACATCTAAACTCTTTTTTTTTTTTGCTCGGCCAGAAATTCTTGCAACGGAAGGGAGGATCTTCGAAACTGTCAGAGACTCTGACGAAACGAAAGCAGACTGCAGTCAAAAAGAAGTGGTTTGATAAGAATAAGAAACAGCGACCAGGTACAAAACATCAAAACAGTGGCAAGAAAAAAAGATTGACAACTACTGAAACCTCCGTCAAACACATTGCTATAGATCACGATCCAGAATCAAATGAGCACCTTAAAACAGTCAATGCTCTAAGCAGGTGCGATCTGGACTGTCTGTTGTGTTTTGGTGAAGCTCGAAACTCACCAAGTGTCTTCGTTCACGCAATTAGGAGAGACGGTGCTGAAGATTCTGATGCAAGCTCTGATGATGGTCTAGGCGATGATGTAGATGTTGAAGACGAGAACCAGGCCGAGGAAGATGTGGGTACTCGCCTTGCCTACAACAAAAGTTTCGCAAACGTCTGACTCTACTGTTTAAATTCTACGACACTAGTCGGGATCTGAAGATGAAGATCTTCTGGTATGCCCTTTCGTCACTGATTATATTTAGAAGATTATCTCTGACAGCCCTCATTAAAGATGGAAGAAGATGACGAGGATGACGATGATGATGATGATGATGACGGAACTGGTGGTTTACACAAGGAACAATTACTGGCATTAGAAAAGTCTGATCCAGGCAAGATTCTCTTCCGCGTTACTGGTCACCTCTCAAGAACTGTCAGCGTACTTATGCGTCTTTTCCCTTCTAGAATTCTTCAAGTATTTGAAAGACAATGATCGCGCACTGCTGGATTTCGAATTGACGGAAGATGTAGATGAAGTAGAAGACGACGAAGCCATGGATGATGGTGAAGAGGACAAGGAGGAAGCTGCGATGATGGAAGAAGAAGAAGGGCATCGCAAAGTCCTGACAATTGAAATCGTTAACGGTTGGAAGCGCCAGTTGCTGGAGGTAACCATAGAATGCGAATGCTACCATTTCTTTTGCAAAAACCTCAATTCCAATTTCTCTGAATCCTCAGAACAAGTCGCTGAAACATTTGAAAAATGTTTGCGTTGCGTTCCGTAACGCTATTGCTACCATCAGTGGAGATGAAACGACTCAAAGGCATTCGTATGAGATTGACGATCCCAATGGTAACCTCAACCATTTTACTTTACCTCTCATTGCTGCTTTGTTTTGACTAAGCTTCTTTGACTATAGTCTTCAACCTTCTGATGGTGATGTGCCTGAATGATGTCCCAACGTCGTTCGTTCAGAATCTATACGGAGACAAAGTAGACGCTGAATCTGCCTCGTAAGTTGATTTCAGACGCAGCAAACAAGCATAAAAAAACGTCAAACCCATTGCCTATGTGAACTTGTTTCGTTTCATTTCATTAGAACCACTGCGATGCCATCTTCAAAACCTAAATGGCCCAAACTCAAGACACTTGTAAAAATCCACATCAAAGCACTCCTTGCCTTTTTGAATCACGCGTCTGATGAATCTATGGTTGATTATGCATTGCTACATTCAGAAAGGATGGCTGGATTTATTGCATGCTTTCCCAAGTTGTGTAAGGATTGGATCAAGGTAAGCATTGATGTGCATGTAGTTTCTCGGACAGTGCTTTTACTGATCTGAACGAATCGCCATCCTCAACCAGATTTTGATGCAACAATGGACATCCTCATCGTCAAAGCTCCGAGTTCGTGCCTTTATGGGCATACGAAAACTAGCTCTCGTATCATCTGGAATGCTTGATAACTGTCTCAAGGTCCGTTACTAAAACATGCCAAAAACTTATCGAATCCATTCGTATTGACAACATCATTCATGTTTCTAGGCAGCATACACAGCCTTCATCTCCACATGCGGCGTCGTAAACCAACACACAATCACCAACATCACATTTATGCTGAACTGCATGGTTGAAATCTGTGGGATGAATGAAGCATCGACTTATTACAACGCCTTTGTATATATCCGTCAACTGGCCATTCAGCTGAGAGGCGCTCTCATGAACCCTACAAAGGAGGCTTACAGGAAGGTGTATAATTGGCAGTACTACTTTTGTCTCAAGCTGTGGGCACAGGTCTTGTCGACACATGCAGCTGGATCGGCTTCGTCCAAGAGCAAGTCTGTGTCGTCACTGCAGCCACTGGTGTATCCTTTGGTGCAAATCACTTTGGGTGTGATCAAGTAAGGAACTACTGCTATATTGTGGATACTTTGAGACTTTCTGACGTTTGTTTTTCGGGCAAGATTGAAGCCATCATCGAAATACCTCCCACTTCGATTCAATTTGCTCCGCCTCTTGATTGATTTGGGCAAGTCGACTGGATTCTACATACCATTGGCATCAGTCATGTTGGAGGTATGTTTTATTTTCACGTAACTTCAATCCACTTTGCCAAAAAAAAAAGAATCTGCACCGGTATTATGGTTCTGACTTTGCCCCTGCGTTTCCCTTACAGATATTTGAAATGTCTGACGTCCGAGGCAAAGGGCGACCATCAACAATCAAACCAATGAGTTTCGCTCTATCCATCACAATCCCGAAAGCGTATCTGGGTACCCGACCATACCAGTCCGATGTCATTGACGAGACTGTAGATTTACTGTTTGAGTATTACTGTAATTCGGCAAAGTCTATTAGTTTTCCAGAGATTGCCATCCCTTCCATTTTGCATGTAAGTTGCCGTTTTGGGAGTTTGTTTTGTGACTATTGCGTTTGAATTCTCTAGACTGAAGAATACGATATCATCTCCAGACCGTTCATTTTTTCCTCTTCAATTAGTTACGAAGGCTAGTCAAGTCCATGAACAACATCCAAAACAAAAAGACCATACAGACTCTAATTGAAAAGCTGGAGGAGAATATCAAGTTTATTGAAAAGCATCGATCTGTCGTCGACTTTGGTCCTAATGATTCTGCCAATGTGGTATGTGTATGGGCAATATTGTTTGGATACCAACCACAAAAAACGCGACATCGCCAAGAGTTATTGCTAACGTATGCCAATATTTCTATAGGATGCCTTCCTATCCGAGCTAGATCCCTCTGCATCTCCACTATACAAACACACACTCTCTCGCCGCAAGATAAAAGACGCTCAACAAGCAATACTTCGACACGAATCTAATCGATATGAATCGCACTCTGGTAGACGATAAACTTCAATGTAATGGCATGTGTAATTTTCTCTTTTTTGACAAAAAAAATTATATGCAAAAATATCAGTGTATTTTTCACTTTATGGTGCTGATGATATCGCATCTTCCGCTTTCTTGGCATCAGCAGCAGCTTGAGCTTCTAACTGCCAGGCCGGAATTGATGGCTTTATAGGTATTGATCGAGTTTGAGGTGTTTGCGTTACTGGAGGTACTGTTGATGCTGGTGGTTGTGCAATCACTGACTGTGGAGCAGGAACTGATGTTGGAGCTGGTGCATCTTGCTCGTCTGCAGTGTTGAGACCTGGTATGGGTAGTGAAGCACCTCCCAACCTCCGATTTAACAACAAGTTTTTCAATGACTACGATTTGGTTTCATGTTAGTTTTATGAATTAGTGTTTGAAAGTAAGGTCCTTCATACCTTGATTTCAGTCTGTAGGTCGGTCAATACACTACTTTGAGCTTCCTTTGTCTTGTCCAGCATCTAAAAAAATCGGTCAGTAACCCCAAAAACACCGAGAGAAAATTGCGCCATATACTGACGCAAATATGTCCGCCACTTCTCACCTTTGGAATCATAGTCTTGATATTTTCCATATCATCTCTCAGAGCCTTAAACTCGACATCACGTTTATCATCCAAGTCCCGTAAATCTCTTAATATAGTATGCATGGTATCTAGTGACGAGTTGACTTTGGTAGCTTGTGATTCCATTGCTTTTACGACCTGTTCGGTTTCATCCTTGACGGCAGCAATGGCAGTTGAAGCAGATGATAATTGTTCGTCGATGCGTTTACGTTCTACTTCTAGTTTTTGGTCTGTTGGCCAGGATACTAGTGGGCCTATATATGTCTGGTGGAAGAGGAGATTGAGTTAGATGTCAGGGTGGTGTTAAATGGTACTAGTAAGCTCGAGGTGAACAACAGCAACAAAAAAACCACAGTGGACACAATTTTCAAGTTCTTTCGAAACGACTTTGGGGTAATCACGCTGCTATGTACCTTGATGAGTTGGAACATGCCGTATGAAGCACCCATAGCGACGACCGCACCAATAAAGTAATCCTTCCAACCTAACTGTGATACTTGGAATCCTTGCTGTTGCTGTTGATGAGGGGGTAGCGGACCGTATGGAGGATAGTATGGTTGACCGCCCTGATACGGAACAGGAGGTCCGTATGGCTGCTGTTGTGGATATGGCATACCAGCAGTTCCAGGCATCATTTGATGTTGGCCTGGGACGGGAGCCATGGATCCAGGGGCGCCGACAGCACCAGCCGATACATTTGTAGTGGTAGTAGACGTGGTAGTGCTTGTACTGGCGCCAGTTGCACTTCGAGATACAGCTTCTTCAATTTCCTCTGATGACAATCCTTTGCTTTCTAGAAACGATATCTTCTTTGCTAGTGGAGATGTCGACACTTTGGGATCTTTGAGAAACTTTACTGCCGAGGCAACTACTTCTTCCCTTATAGCCATCTTCTCTCTCGCTCTCCCTCGTGCTGACTTGTAATGGGTGAAGTAATAGGTTCTTGAACTCAGCGTTGACGTCACACATTACTTGCACTTTCTGGAAGTCGTGTTTTATAACAAAAAGTACATAGACTAGACGCGCTACTAACTACTTCAACTACTACTTCATGCGCATGCCAGACATCGCATCACTCAAAGACGTATCCCAAACAGCCAATTTACCATCAACGCCACTTGTAGAGAATCGCGTAACGGATCCACTAGGTCCAGCATATGCTCGAACAGATCTAAATAGTCGTATTTTTGGCGTTATTCTTCACAATTCGCAATTCGATTTCATCAACAACAACAACTTACGTGATGGTGTTTTGGTGATTGGTAGTCAATTCAGTATCACCCTGACCAGCTTGAGCCTTACTATCCATTTGCTTGAATTTGGCCATGGCATTGTCTCCTGTAGTAGACTTTTTCTGTCCACGGTCCATCTTGTCCACCAAGACCCTAAAGCGAGACGATATGTTAGCAAGCAAAAAACATGTCGCAAAACGAAATATCATGGTGAAATGTTTGATGGTACGATATTACCATTTGTTGTTTTGGTTTGCAAACAAGTAAGGGGTACAGTCATGTCCTGCTGCCACAATAGTGTTTTCCGATGTAAAGATCATCGACATGAGGGGCAAAGTCGATGTCTTGATGGTAACAGGAGCAGGACCCCAAGCAGGTGAAGCAAGCGACAGACTAGAGTCGTGTCCTGATGATTATAGAAAGAGTTGTGAGACATTTGCGGGTATGACGGATATCTTTCGTTTTTGCCCTCTCAACAAGTCTTACCGACCCATCCAATAAAGTTGCCACTAGGAGCAAAGGCAACACCATGTACCCAACCTCCAGGCCCGTTAGAGTATTCAGCGCAGACAGTACCAAATGGAAGCTTTTCACCCCATACAGGACTGGAAGCTCTACATATCATCAAGGCTGAGTACATGGAGTGTAACAAACAAATCAAATGGGTGACTTACTTGGTGTCTGTACCCTTGATGAAGGCAGAAAAGACTCGTGCCTAGATGACGTGGTGATGAGATGAAATCACACGAGCCGAACAAGGCCCTTCGCTATACACAACATTAGCATATGATTTGGTACACACCGTCATATCCGCCGACCCAGAAACAAGCAGAATGTTTTCAGGATGCCAGTCCAAGGACAAGACAGTAGATCGAATAGGTTTCTTGATGTGTTTTGAAACCCACCAGTCATTGTCTTCTTCAAAGTAGCATACCGAGATGCATCTAGCGCCACTAGCGACGGCAAACTTGTTTTCGAATGGCGACCAACGTACAAAGGTAGCAGCTCGGTTGATACGAAGCAAGACCAGAGTAGGTTTCCACAAGGAGCCGTCCCAAGTCCAGACATAGGCGTTACGATCTTGTGAGCAGGTGACGATACGGTTTGAGTTTGGAGCCCAGTCGATTGAGGTGACTAGTTTGTCGTGCTATGGTAACTGTGTGAGCGTTGCGAGTTGTGGACGGTTGATTGGTCGAAAGACGGCAACCACGACGAATTGCAGATGAATCAAGACTTTGATGAATTCTAGTGTATACACTTGTAAGAAATGGATACCTCATTCAGGACATGGGCCACAGTGAAGGTAGAACCCGATTTCTTGTAAATGTGGACCTCATGATTGTTTGGACTGATGGCGACCACTGATGAGAGAGATTGAGGGTTGAGAAGAAAGAGAACAGACAATAAATCAATGCGACAAGATAACAGATCATAAGAAGACAACAATAACAATCACATACTCGAGCGGTCCTTGTTCCAAGCATGGCAAGTAATCGGAACTCCATAGAGCAGCTGGTGCAGGTCAGGAGAACTCATTGTCTAGCTACTAGAACGCAGTATTATTGTGATGACTGACGCTGCAGGACTATGGGCAGTCTACTACAGCAGGTGGTGTGTGAGTTCGTCGTCTCAAAGATTAAAGGCTGTTGAGGCAACTCCTGGCGGTGAAAGTGGAGACAAGACGTGCCAATAATAGCCTAGTATTCGCAGAATCACGATAGGACGCGTCGCTATTTCTTCCCTAGCGTGTACAGTCCCTGGATTCCTTCGATAAAAGTCTCATTAAAAGCAAACTGTATGAGGTTTTTGTCGAGGATACTAGTCACTTCGCCACGATACAAATTGTCTCCTATAACAAATATTAGTACAATGAGTGACTTTGAAGGACTGTCTGCTCAAATATCCGGGCTGGAAAATCAGGTCAAACATTTAAAGACACTCTTGACAACCTCATCACCAGATGCATCAAGTATTTCGCAAACTTTCTTTTTTTGTACGTTTCGCCAACGATCCTAACAGTCATCATCCCTTTAGAAGCAACAACACCATCAACAGCTGCATCATCAAAAGAGCTCGACGCTGTAAAGCTCGAAAATGAGAAACTCAAGATGAGAATACGGTATGCATTCTTCTCTTTCACTCTCTGGTCTGATCCCAATTAACAATTCCATTTATTAGAGTGCTGCTACGAACTGTCGACGAAATTGAAAACAAAAAACACTAGGAGCTCATAGTACAATGACCTTGTTTCATTCTGTATACATACATATTGCAAAATAGAGGACCTTCACCTTCTGAACGAGATGCGGAGAGCATGATCTCCTGTTATCTATTCAAATCAGGAAATCCTTAGTTAAATGGAAGGTAGCAAATGTAACAGTTGCGCTTACCTTGTGACCTTGTAGCTGTGCAAGAGCGATCGAAGATAAATGCTCATTATCATATTCCACAAATGCTAAGTTTGATTGTAAGAGTGTTTAAAGGGTTGAATTCCACTGTTGTTTACACCCACATACCAACATTCTTTCCCGACACCAATCGAACTTCCAGAAAGCCATCAAACCTAGTTTAATCATTAGCAACCTCAACCAGAGTTTGCAATAAAAACCAATTTAACGTACTGCTTGAACAGGGCAACAAGAGCAGCTTCCGTGGTATCCGGCGATAAATTCTCCACAAACAAGACTTTGCTGGGGGAAGATAAGTCTGGCTTCCAAAAGGCTGGTGTATATGATTTGGCGGGTTCGGATGCTGGTTTTGGTTTCTTTGGTTCTCGTGCCCGTATTTCTAAATAGACAAAAGATTTCAACACGAATTCACATGTTTTTGTGTTAGCAACGAAGAATACCCTTTTCAGCAGCTCTCTTCTTGACGTTCTCTTCCAAACTTCCATCCAATTTAGCTATAGCATCACTCTTGGATCTCGCATATTGAATGTCCTAGGAAAAAGCACCTTCAGTTATCTCGTTGAGAAAACAAAGCAAAGCAACACCACTCTAGACCATACCATCGGTTTACCATATAACGGAAATCCTTGCACTTCTCTCAATGCCTTTGACGCAGAGTCGACTTCCTTGAACACAATGAATGCCTGTCCTCTTTTCGAGAGTGATTTCCCAGCTTGAATGTCGAGCACCTCGCCATAATCTTGAAATAGAGCTCGTAGCGCCTTCTTCAGAGCTAGATGATAAGCAGAAAAGTAAGTTGTACATCACTTGGTTTGCATGTTCAGTTGCTTGATGTTTGGCCAAACTGTGAATTTGAGGTACCTTCCAGGTTGACCTTTTCATTCAGATTGTGTACATATAAAGTTTGGCAAGGTTCAGTAGGAGGAGGCACTAATGGAGCCTTGGGCATGCGCAGATTTCCTATAACCATCGGGGCAGCCATCTTTGAGAAAACCAATGTTTTGTGCTTTTGGCCAACGAAATACGCTCAGCGCGCACAAGCTCAGCTACCTTTTTGACGGAATTGTGTGGCATGCAAACGGTTTATATATAATGCGAGGGAAATACTAAATTCTCAAATGCTGTCCTACATCCTCTAATTATTATTCAACAGATTTCGCGTTCAACATATCGTCCACAATGGCGCTCGAAGTCGCGTCTCTCAAGGCTTCCTTAATGGCATTCTGCATTTCAAACGAGAGTATTAGCCCAAACTCACCACAAACGATTGTTTGCAAAAAAAAACGCGAACAGATTAAGAAGAAGACGACACAAACACATGCTCAAACACAACTCACCTCATCAATAGCTTCTGACGCTACAGCTGGCATCTTGGCGGCAAAGAATGATTCCAGATACCGTTCATCATTGCAAAGAGATGTAAAGCGTTGTCGAAGAGCTGCTGGCGTCAATGGTGACAAAAACGATCCATTAGCCGATGTAGCAGAAGTGGGCGTTGGAGTCAATTGCGACTGACTGGATACCAGCAGCTGTTGCTGTTGATGCCCAGGTGTCCCTAGTCCAGAAGTAGTTGGTGTGGAACGTGATATTGGACCCACGGGATTATTCGTCAAATATAGTCGATTATTGACCCAATAAAAGCCTTGTCCCGGTTCTCGTATTTGTATAAAGGCAATCCCTGTTCGATGGACATACTGAGTATACCGATACGTACGATTATAATCCGCATTCACTGATCCAGGTGGGAATCGATCTACAGCTTCCATATCCAATACAAATCCTTCCGATTTCACAAGCTCATGCTCAAAATATAGATATGGATCCCTCTTTGCCAGAGTCAGCTTCTCTATTACCGATGCACTAGATGGAGGTTGCACAGCCAGATGGATGGGTACCACTGACAGGAAGGGATTTTCGTCAGAGAAGGGCATAGCTTGCTCAACTGGTGCTTCTACAAGCTTGAGACCACACTTGTCTGCTACGCGACCCCATGATACCAACAAGTCTTCAATAAGACGAGCAGTACACAAGAGCCAGTGAAGCTGAAAGTGATAACACGTATTATGACAGTATATAGTATCGTAATGAAGTGTAGCAACTTCTTGTCGGTCTGATCGATTCATCGGGTCTAGATCGATTATTAGAGTTTTGGACAATTCAAAGGCTCGTTTTCCAGGCTGTTGATGCTGTTGTCTTTGCAAATGCTCCCATAAACTACCAGCTGTTACCAAATTACTAGTCGATCCTGCTACGCTAGGCTGAGTACCTGTTGGTGGTGGTGTGGGATTTATAGATACGGCAGACATAGGCGCTAATTTACCATCGATTGTTTTACTATCGCTGGTTGCGGCATTCGGTGACGTGACTCCATCCATTGTTTCTGACTTGGATGATCCAAACCATCCTCCTCCACCTCCAGTTGTTTTGGTCGAGATAGATGGAACTGCATTGCCAACAGCTACTACTTTTTCTGGGACTGGCGATTGTCGATCTTTACCACCAGTATGGCTGCTGCTGTTGGTTGAACTGCTGTAGTCCTTTGTCAACCAATAAAAGTAATGACCATCCAAGAACTTGTGACTCTTCTTCACGTGTTCAAAGAGCCCTCGTTCAAGCAAGACATTTCCAAATGCTAGAGCATCTTCATGAGACTCAATATCGGTAAAGGATCGTATCATCCATTGCAAACATTCTGATCCCAGAAAGACTCGGTGATATAATTTAAACTGCCAGCGACGATCTTTAAATGGTACACCATTGGCTGATTGCATTGCAGTAGCAATAGCATGCAGTGACGACGACTTTGATAATCTACCATCATCGGCATCTCCAGTAGCAGCTATTCCAGAAGGCGACTTTTCAGTTACAGAAGTACGGCGATGCATGACGGTGGAGGATGTGCGAGGAGTGAGCATTCCACTGCCCAAGACGTCGACCGATTCTGAAGTTGATCCAGCTTTTAGCATTTCGTCACGAACATAGGACGAGATATTTACATCTACACGAATAATGTTTACAGGTTGTGACACCACCTTTTTACTACCATCTTGTTCAGATGGATTGAGGCGTCTTGCTCGTGCAAAACAGAGTTCCTCAAATCTTTTAAAGCCTTCAATACGTTTCTCTTCTTCTGTTAATGTTTCGTCCATTGGATAACTCAATACATTATTCGGTGCTGGCATTGTATCAGCTGGAATCAAGATGAAGCGAGTTCGCCAAAATCTTAACGACTCTGTCATCTCATCTTGATACCCAGCAACATATTGATCTAGATAATTCCAATTATAAGTAGAGAATTGTGGGTATGAAAACTTGAGAGTTTTTGAGTAATACGAGTCCAGTAGCTTTGGCCATATAGCACAGGCATACTTCAATGGAGTTTTTGAGTAGGCTATTTTACGGACATATCGTTTTACTTCTATATTACGTCCAGTGGCATCGTATCGTAAGAGGTGCAGCTGATCACCCAAAGACAAGTATGGTGAACGGGTTTGCATCTTGGTACCCATAGCTGGTGGCTCATTTATATCAAACGACGTGGCCAGCGGCATCTTTTGATATGCTTCAACAGCTGGCATAGCAATGAGCTGAAATCCTTGAGCCAATCTTTGTGAAATCAATTCCATTAACAATGCTTCCATCCGTTTTTCTTCAGTAGAGCCTGCTTTATGAGACCAAAACACATCATCCGGTGATGTTGTATGGTTGTAGTCCTGATATAGTTCACTGAGCTCCTTTTGAGGTGGGAAATAATCCGTTGTTAGTGGCAGACAAGCGGGGGTGCACAAACCCTTCCAATTCGGCATCGCGTCATTGCGAGATGGGTCCATCGACTTGGCAAATACATGCTGCCATCGACGTACATTACTTGATGCCTTTATAATATTATTGGAGGGATTGCAAGGATTTATATAATTTTGACGTATTGGTTGTCGTAAATTCAGAATTCTGTTGGGACTGCGTGATGTACTTGTAGTGGATCCAAGGATGTTGCTACCCAGTAATGGTGATGAGTCGAGGGCACGATTGGATCCTGAGGATTGATTTGTTTGATGATCACTACCACGTCTGAGATTGATTGGATCAGACGTTGGACCACCATATCGTCGTTCGTCATCAGATTCAATGTCTTCTAAGTCTATTCTAGTTGGGCCACCGTATCGAGCATCTTCGTAATCGATGGCAACTGGTCTAGCTCGGGGAGATGTCTTGGAATCATACCTTCTCCGCTAACGAAAAAAAGAGGACGGGTCGATGGTATGATCTCACACAACAATTCAGATTCGACATGCACGCACCTTTGAATAATCATCTGATCCAGCTGAAAATAAACTACTCAAAGCTGTTGCTGACTTGCTTGGTCGAACACTACCACTAGTCGGTGTGTTGCTTCGAAGTCTTGCCAACAAGGCTTCGCCCTCCTTGCGAGTGAGCGTGTCGACCTCGTCAGAGGAGCTGTTTTGGTGCCGAAACATTACATCAGCATCCAAACTACGCACAGTGTCAGTCATCTTGTAAGACGAATAGGCAGCGCCCAATGAAGGAGGTGGAGCAACCGTTCGAATTGGAGCAATTTCTAACAGGAAACTAGCGTGTGAGCTCAATAAATCAAAAACGGGATTCAGAGAGGGGCGAAAGACTTGCTAACCCACCTGGACTCAAGGGAGTCCGTAGTCCTGATGAGCTTTCTCCTGTATTCATGGATACAGCCCGTGTACGCCAATGTATTGCCTTGTCCATCTCTCCAACAAATATTCGATCATCATATCTCTCGTACAAGAAAGCAGTGTCATCAATAGTGACTCTGTTAGGTTTGCTATCTACATTATCACCATCATCGTCACTACTGGAGGTTTCATCACCAATTCCTTCATTCCAATCTAATCTTTTCACCATGATGATAGATCCCATCATCTCAGTACCACCCATCATTTGCAACTCATACATCTTCGCACGGAGAACAAACCCCGGATTCTGGTCAACACTGGTCGATGTTGCTCGATTCCAAAAGCTGATATCTACCCAATGCGGTACACTATATACAGGTTTATATGGAGATGGATTGGAGTCTTCATCGTCACAAAACAGAGGGTCCCAGACATCACCACGTTTATCAAGATCCATTCCAGAGGATTTCATCGTGCTAATGGTACTTCCATAGCGGCGATCACTATGTAAACTATGTGGCTCATCCTCTGTATTACTTTTCGAGTGACTAGGTCTACCGAATGGTGCCACGTCCTTTGATGGGAATTGGAAGAGCGGTACCGTGTATAATGGGGGTTTTGACAAGCATACCAAGTCCATCCCAATACCATTCTCAACCATGCGCTGGGTAGTAAGCCTGAGCATTTGCTTATCCACTTCAAAGAATCCAGGTCCTGGCGTTACGACAACTATTGCCAGACCTGTTCGAACCAAATCTCGATCAATATAATGTTTATCGAATGGATTTAGGGCCAGATTGATGGCTTCTAGAATATTGCCCTTTGAAGCACTAGACAAGACTCCAGACAAGATTGCATCGTCACCGTCTCCATGCTGCAATACCGTTTTTTGAAATCTTACAAATTCCATTTTCAATGGTATGAGAACTTGGGTCCAGTCAGTACGGGTTTCCCAATCCACTACTACTCTATAGTAATCACGATACGGTCGACTATTCGAGTCATAACTTATCGGCAGTGTCGATGTCTCATTACTAGCGGTTGAGCTCTTGTCTCCAGTAGCCGCTTCTATGCCATCTTTGCTATAAAATACTCGAGCAAAGAGCACTATTGACACGACGTGGTTGACTCCAATGTCCTTCCATCGTCCAAAGAGATCTGGTAAAAAGCCATGTAGACATTTTTCTGAATACAATTCACCATCTTCATCGAAATCCCACATGCCCTTTCCCATCTGTATAAACAGAAAATATTTGGCAGATTCTGATCGGAAGATGGCTTTAGTATCATCAGTAATATAAGCACATTGTACCTTTAGAGAATAAAGAGTCAGAATGTAATTTGGCTAACCCACAATTTGGCCCAAGGACACGCCGCCTTCAGATACAAGAAGAGGTTGTACGTACTGAATGGCCTTTGCTAAGAGAGATTTCTTTCACTTGAGCTCTCACACCATTCGCTGACGAGAGTTTCTTCCCAACATAGACTGCCGTGTTGTTTAATGATAGTTTGACACGCCACATTTCACTCCTGCCAATATACTGATCTCTAAATGTCAATTCCACGTATTCAGCAGTGTAATCAGCAGGATTGATCTAAGAATCATTGTTTGGTCAGAGTCGGTTTTGCAAGGCAGCCGGAATCACGACCTACCTTGCGAACACAGACATCTGTCCGAGCCTGGAGTTCAAAACAAGCAGCGGCATGTTGAGCAATAGATATCTACCGTACATACGTGTTAAGGGACGGTGATTCAAAACATTGATGAAACACAAACCTGAAGCTTGTCTGACTTTGCAACCAAGTCACGATCAACTGATGCGACGTTCAATATGAGTCGCTTTGTAGGATCAATTGGCTTGTAGCCTGAGAATGGGTCTGTTCCAGGTCGAGCTGCCAATCTCTCCATACCTACATTAGAATCACGGTCACAAAAATGTTTTTGATCAAGCAATAAACAATCAGGAATAAAGTCACATAGTCAAATAGACAGCATGTACTTACTAGATACAGAATCGGATGAAGGATGAAATATCTCGAGCACATCTCCTACCTTCACATTAGGAAAGTGGTCGGGATTGATTACGAGCTCTAGCTTGGAAAGCCGTTCATCATGGACCCATAGATTGTATAGAGGCTTGCGCTTGAGCATCGTTACAAGCTCTCGAGTAAGGCCGTTTTCATGCGGTTTCTTGTATTGTGTGTGTGTTTGACTCAGGAATTGATTTGAAGGGACAGAAGGAGGCGATAAACTATTGCTGACGAACAAACTTGCGAAGCCTGAAATTCGTGAACACGTCTCTGATCACTACGAAGCGAACAATTCGCGATCTGACGGCTTAGAACGATATTTCTATGAGTATTCGAGATGCAATATCCTGTACTTCTATTGTTCATGATAGTTTATACTATGGCAAGCAATGGAAGCTACATTTTCATATGTTTTTATGTTGAGCGGAGCTTGGCCTTCCATCTAGGAGTGATAACCATTGAGTTTGGTTTTCTTACTGTCTTCCAACCACGCTTCATCTTGCCCCAAGGACTTCCGCGTCCCGCACCACTTCCCATACCATCGTAGGGACTCATAGCCTTTAATCTCACTGAAGGCCTCCAACCGCGATGCCTTCTGCTACCAGCTTTACCCCATATTCTTTGATTATGATTGGCATTACACACTACACCGATTGTAGCGACAGCAGTAGCTGGTACCATGCGTACTTCCTTCGAAGACACACGTACATGAGCCATTCCTTCGTCAGTGACTTGCAGTAACTGGCCAGACGTTCCTGCTGATCTACACATTTTTGCTGGCCCAATAGTGGTAAGAGATATGCAATGCACTATTGTACCTGCAGGAATATCCTTGAGTAGTAGACAGTTACCGTCCCGTATCATGCGTGCCTTTGATATAGGTTCCTGGCCCGCTGGAGTTTCAGGGATGCCACCACGCCATGATTCTACCATTGCACCAGGTTGCAAGCCATCAGGTCTAATTATATACGAGAATTCGTTTGTAGATAGACACCGTAGTAGAGCTAGATCTGCGGATCTGTTTGGATCGTATTCGAGCCTGACTACTTCGTGTGGCCCAGGGACGTTACGTACAAAGTCTACTATTCTGACACGTCGTTTATGGCCGCCACCACGATGCCTGATGGTGACACGTCCATGATTGTTTCTACCACCAGTAGACCTTTTACCAAAAGAGAGACGTTTGATGGCACTACCTCGATGCAGATGGAAGCGGACTGGATGGCGTCTGTTTCTAGTACCAGGGGTGACATCCTTGTATACCTTCATGTCGCCCACGACCTTCCAGAATTTGTTTTCCATTACAGGTTGATATGGACCTTTGCGTTTCTTTGCGGCAGCAAAGACTGGGTCGGCAGCCATCTTTTTCAGCACCTTTTGCATTGGTTTGGATTGTTTCTTTCTATATGTTTTATGGCGTATGGAGGGAGTGGATATAATTAGAGAAGGCATGCATGGATATATACGTGATGATGACAGCGGTGATGGTAGTATTATGCTTGGATGTTGGTTGATGGTGCTGTGAGTGTGATGAAGCTGATTCCTTGCAGCCAGAGAGCCCAACCATGGTATAATAGCTGGTTTTAACCTCGTTCTGATGTCCGTAGCGACGACCCTCGCGAGATGAGTAGACGCTGCCATCGTTTGGCTTCCACTACTGGAGCTTTGCGTTTGGAAAAATATCGAGCAAAAGGAGACCAGTGAGGAATGGAACTGGCTCCACTGACCAGAGCGTGATTTCGCTCAATCTATAGGTTTACGAGCGTCGATATCTATTCCTTCTTAAAAGGAAGGCGAATAACGCGTCAGCGACGAGTAACTCGAGACTCCAAAACATTGCTCCAAAACAAGGATGCCTCCCAAGAAGAAAGCACGAGCTGATGACCCAATAGTTGTGGATCCCTCAGATGATGCCGAAATTCTAGAAGAAGCTCCTGCGTTGTTTCACGGCCTAGGCTTCCATATCACATCCAGCGTCGACGCTAACAAGGAGCTCAAGGACCAGATTACTGAAGCTGGTGGCAAAGTATTCGCTTCAGTCACTCAAAAGGTATCGTACCTCACCATTCTCCATATATATGCATCATGACATTTAAGGCAAAACATCGCCAACAACGTTACAAAAGCTACACCCACCATCATCAAACATAAACTCTAGACAAATTATTTGGTCTTGACACCCGATGATCTAGCTGCTCCCCTTAAAGCTCAAATAAAGAAGGCTCACGAGAGAACTGATGTCAAACTCGTCAACTCCGGATTTATCACAGACTCGATCAAGGAAGGCAAACTCTTGGATCCAAATGACTTTACTGTCACTGCTGATGCTCAAACTACTTCTGCTACCGCTGATGCAAGTTCATCTGCGCCACCAGACGTCAAGGGCAAAGGTCGCAAACGAAAAGCAGAAGCCCAACCAGAACCTGAAGAAGAGGAAGAATCGCAACCCAAACTTGTAAAACATATCAAGAAGGGAAAAGCTGTCGTCGACGCTGAAGTGCCTAATGCTGCCAATTATCATGTATACGAAGGTATGTTGCGAATGATCATGTCGCAACGGTGACTTGCCGTTTCTCGTCGCATTTGTAAATACAATTCTAGACCACTCCGCTATCACCTATTCACCGCTGCACAATAACCTGCTAACCCGAGTCTCTTTCCCAGGAAATGGTATTGTTTACGATGTCATGCTCAATCAGACTGAAATATCAAAGAACAATAACAAGTTCTATGTCATTCAAGTCCTCAAGTCTGATTCTGCAGTAAGGGATACTGCTCTTGTCGATCTATCTCGCGTTGCTGCACTGGTCAGCCATCCTCACATACCTTCGCCTACATAGAACGAGTATGTCACATTCACGAGGTGGGGAAGAGTCGGTTACACTGGTCAGCAAGCTCTCGACAAGTGTGGAGCGAACGTCCAGGCCGCCATCGCGTCTTTCGAGAAGAAATTCCGAGACAAGACCAGGAATGATTGGGGTGATCGAGACAACTTTGAAAAGGTAAAATACGCTTTAAAACTCCAGAGGCACCGCCAGCTTTCCAACACATGCATCCGCTGTATCTCAGGTTGCTGGTAAATACCATCTGATCCAACGCGATTTTGGTGATGAAGATGAGGAGGACGAAGATGCCGCAACGGGAAGTGGTGCTGCTGCTGCGCCATCTCTACCTCCTCCACCAACAACCCTCGAGAAGCCCGTATATGATCTCATGTCATTAATCTTTGATACTGAGATGTTCAACAAGCAGATGGCTGAGATTGGTTATGACGGTCAGTATTCAACAATGTATAGGTTTGGTTGTTTTGCTAACTTGATTTGGTTTGTAGCCAAGAAGATGCCTCTTGGAAAGCTCACCAAGGGCATGATCCGACAAGGCTACGACGTGCTTCAGGAACTCTCTGAAGAAATCAACAAGAAAAAACCCAACGCGAATACACTGCAACAACTCTCATCTACCTTTTACACCGTCATCCCTCATGAATTTGGCTTTAGCGTACCCCCAGTTATACGTACTCCCCAAGACTTGAAAGTAATTTCACGTTGTGTTTCTGGCATAATTATGTTCCTTGAATACTCACTTCCTCGACCAAAAACCAGAAAAAACTGGAAATGGTTGAAGCACTTGGAGATATTCAAATCGCCACGACGATCTTAAAGAGCCATGCTGGAGAAATCACTGCCAATCCAATGGATTTGAACTATAGTTCTCTGGAAACCACGATCAAGGCTGTGGACATATCGTCCGATACATTCAAACTTGTTGTCAATTACGTCAAAAATACCCATGGTGCTACTCACTCTGGTTATGCTCTTGACGTGGCTGATGTCTTTGAAGTGACGAAGCCTATGGAGAAAGAAAGATTCAAAGACTTGCATAACAAGCAGTTGTTATGGCATGGTTCGAGACTCACAAATTGGGCTGGGTTCGTAAATTGTGCATGGTCCCTTCCAAGATTGTGACGCCAAAATTTCTCACCCCATCATATCATAATCAGGATTCTGTCACAATCATTACGTATCGCGCCTCCTGAAGCGCCATCAACCGGTTATATGTTTGGGAAGGGATGTGAGTGCAGCTGCTTTCGGGGCTTTCACATTTACCATGGTTTTGTGTACTGAAATGGTTTCAATCTCACGCCAGGTTACTTTGCGGATTGTGTCTCAAAGTCTGCAAATTACTGTTTTACGTCGCCTCAGAACAATACTGGTTTGCTTTTGCTCTGTGAGGTTGGACTAGGAGACGAGCTGGAACTGTTTGATGTAGGCTACGCAAATTCGCTTGCGGTGACCGTGAAAGCACCCAAACTGTTAAAAAAAACTCGCTGCTCTAGGCTGATTATCATGCTGATCGAAAACTTGGCAAGGCCAAGCACTCAACGAAAGGTGTTGGGCGAGTTCATCCTGATCCTTCAGCAGCTGTGGTCCTCCCTGATGGCGTGAAGGTTCCTTGTGGTAAAGCAATCGAAAACAAGTCTCATCCTGATGAAAGAATGGCTTTACAATACAACGAATTCATTGTCTATGATGTGGCTCAAGTCAAGATGAGGAAAGCTATCTCAAACGGTCGAAAGGAGCTCAATATTAACCTTTAGCTTTTCCACAATCTACAGGTACTTGATTCGAATGAAGTTCAATTATTCCAAGTGAAGGTAAAGAAAGTGCAACATTCGAAGTTGTTGAGCGCAAACTTATATGATAGATTATGTACAACAAAAGTTTCTGTCTGTCAAAAATATATATGAAGCAAACCATTTATAATAGCCAAGGCTCGTCTCCGTGCTGTTTGCCTCTGTCATCACTGTAACTGCCTCTTGAAGTATGAGAGGCTATCTCCTGGTGGTTGCTTCCTTGCGAGCAGCATCTTGAAGCAGAGCAGTGTCGACAGCAGCTTTTGGAAGAGAGACATACCGGACGACCGAGCCACGAATAAAGCAGTTCTTTATTGACGCCTGTAGTGAAATTGAAACAGTATTAGTGACAATGGAGTGCACTTAAACAGTAATGTTGCTATGTGCAAAGTTTGTGATGTGTGCATACCAGATGAGGATATCTCTTTTCGTCCACGACTTTGATATCATCTAGCTTGATATTTAAGAATTGGTCGACAGATACAAGCGTGCCTTGAATGGAAAGATCATTCTTGAGTTCGATTGTCACTGTTTGGCCGACGAGCGTTTTGAAGAAGGAGTAGAAGAGCTAGTAGGAATAGTTAGATTCATGCTTATAATGCGATGAATTTTAAAAGGAAAACTGGTTACCATTCCTTCTCTTTGGCCAGCAAGTTTCTTGATTAATGTCAAGCTACAAAGTGGAGTGAAACTAAAAGGACACTAAAACGCGTCACGTATTATAAATCGTGAGCTGTGAGGAATATGCTTTTATTATTGAGTGATCTTTAAATACTTTTGGCTTGAAAGGTATAGGAAAGCCATCTACTTATTGCTTACGTGACAGATTTCATAAGACTTATGTGAGCAGCAGACATCCTAACAAAACACCAACTTTTTAAAGAAAGGGAAGGGAGTCATGGTAAGTGATTAGTTGCAAGATGACTTGTCGGTTTCCGAGTGAAATCCCTCTCTCCGTCTGCCCGATTGATATATGGACTTGAATGGATGGATGTGACAAACCCCTTATTGCCAAACATCAAGTCGAAGCATTTGACGAATTCATGGCCCCAAGACAAACAAGCAGCACTCAATTCGCATTTCTATAATCCTACATATGCCAACAATCTTCTTCAATTTAGGGTCGAGTTCGTACCAAAACCGTCAAAAAGGCATCACGAGTAGTCATTGAAAAGTACTATCCTCGTTTGACTCTGGACTTCCAGACCAACAAAAAGATCTGCGATGAAGTCGCCATCATCGCCTCAAAACGTTTGAGAAATAAAATAGCAGGATTCACCACCCACTTGATGAAACGTATTGCTCGAGGTCCCGTCCGTGGTATCTCCTTCAAACTTCAAGAAGAAGAACGTGAAAGGAAGGATAACTATGTGCCTGAAGTCTCTGCTTTGGCTGTAGACACCATCGAAATCGACCAAGACACCTCGGTAAGCTTACTGGGATTTTATTAGCTTGATGTGGTGTCGTGTATATGTGTGCTTTTGCTACAAGACAGAGAGTGCTACAAGAACCCAGATACTTTCGATAATTGCCAGTAGCTGTGACACGCATATACTCGACATACTAGTGCTGGACCACCCACCAGCATTATTACAATTATCTCGTCCTCCTCAACCACTAACACTCTCATCTCACCTAGGCCCTATTGAAGGCATTGAACTTTGAAGGCATCCAAGGTGTCAACGTGGTTGCACCAGGATCTCAAATGGAAGCCAGAAGGGAATTCGTTCCTGGACAACGACGAGAACCCCGCCCACCACGTCAAGCATAGATAGTTAGGCCATTGTATAAAAAATAAATCCGTCTTGCAAAATTAGTTGGATTAGTGTAATCCGGTTCTGGCTTGGTGCTGGAACGATTGTTTGCCAACACAGCAACATGCAACGTTATAAGGTGAAGGCATGATTATAACGAAGCTCTCTTGATTTCAGAAAATATGTATAATTCGCGAATTGAGATCAGCTTGCGGATGACCCGACGTGCTGTTGATGCTCCTGTTTCTTTGAGCATTTAAACAAGGTCTTAAGTTGGTCAAGCCAGTTGAGACGATGTCTGTGCTGCTCGAAACTAGTCTAGGCGATATAGTAATTGATCTGGACGTAAAGAGAGCTCCCAAAGCATGTCTGAATTTCGTGAAATTGTGCAAGAGCAAATATTACAATTTCAGTCTCTTCCATTCAGTGCAGAAGGGATTTCTAGCTCAGGCTGGTGATCCAACTGCTACTGGAAAAGGAGGTGAATCTGTATGGGGGTATGTGTGCTATCCCATTACTGCGATCAAGTTCATCAAAAACATCAAACTAAGTCTTGTCATCTCTCGTCGAAATAGGGTGATTGATGGTCCTGCAAAACGATATTTCGCTCCAGAAATACATCCAAAACTCAAGCATAAGAACCGTGGTACGGTTTCTATTGCTACGGCTGCAACAGAGTCTGGTTTGCCTGTCGCGGGTTCACAGTTCTTTATAACGCTATCGAATGAACCACTGGACTATCTGGATGGTAAACATGCTGTATTTGGATCTGTTGCTGAAGGATTTGACGTGCTGGACAAGCTGGATGAAGCCTTGGTTGATGATCAGAATCGCCCATTTCGTGACATACGGTAAGCATTGGTTTTATTCAACATGTGAGAGAGTCAAACTAATTTTGGTCATGTTTGTCACTAGGATAAAGCATACAATCATTCTTGAAGATCCATTTGATGATCCATCTGGCCTCAATGTACCTGAAAAGTCGCCCGAACCTAGTGAAGCCATATTGAAATCAACACGTATCGCTGAGGACGAAGAACTCTTCCCAGATATCGATCCTGAAGAGCTAGAAAAGGATAGGAGAAGGAAGGAAGCCGCAGCAAGAACTCTTACCTTGGAAATGGTGGGAGATTTACCATTTGCTGAAGTCAAGCCACCAGAAAACGTCTTGTTTGTGTGTAAATTAAATCCTGTTACTCGTGATGAAGACTTGGAAACGATCTTTTCTAGGTTTGGTCCAATTGTCAGGTAAGTGAGTGAGAGTGCTCGTTACTGTTCGCTTTTTTGATGATGACCCAAAATGGTTTGTTGTTTTAGTTGTGAAATCATACGAGATAAAAAGACTGGCGAGTCACTTTGTTATGCCTTTGTCGAGTTTGAAGAAAAACCAAATTGTGAAGAGGCCTACTTTAAAATGGACAATGTGCTGATTGATGACCGACGTATTCACGTCGACTTTTCACAAAGTGTTTCCAAGCTCCATGCTGACTTCATGTGTAAGTTCCATGAGCTTTACAACCTGGTTTAGTCTGCAGAGCATTTTAATTACCGACATCGTTTGTTTAGTGGGCAAACGACGTGGACTGGAAGATGGAGAAGGCAATGCTGGATTGGAACGCAAACGCCAATATCGAGACCAGCAACACAAGGACAATTACGATCTTGTGTTTGAACACGATGGCGAGCTTGCCGAAGAGAAATCACGCAAGTCTAGGAAGCTTGAAGGGCGCACTGTTGAGAGTTCACGAGGAGATAGAAAAGAATATCGTGATGATGGACGTCGCGTACAGTCGATAGATTCGAGAGACAAGGGATCTAGCTCTGAACGGTATGATGATAGAAGACGCAATGACACACGGCGAAGTGATCGTGATGATGACAGGCGTCGAGATGATCGTGATGATAGGAGGCGAGATAAGTATGATGATAGACGTCGTAGATGAGGCTAAATATGTACATAAGATCAAAATATTTTGTCAAAACTCTCCAAAAGGCAGGATAGTCGTCGTGGTTGGGATTGCAAGGTCGCGTGCAGCAGATACTGGATTGCTTATGTGGAATTTTTGACGAATGAAAGTACGCCAAGACTTACTGTTTGACCCGATGCTCATGGTTTCACCACTTCCTGCAAACACAGCCTTCCTTCGTTTGTCCGATTTCTTATTGGCAGCAAAAAGCTAGCAACGAATATGGGTGATGTTGAGAAAGGCAAGGGGATCGTTGAGCTCCATTCCCATGATTCATCGGGTCCTTTCAAGTTCAAGCCAAGGTGCGTGTCTGGGTTTCGAAACGTGCCGGTTTCTTAAAAGTTTCATGATCTCGATGGCAACCAAGATCTAACTTGTCATATTTACCCTAGTGAGCTAAAGGACCTATTTGATCCCAAATCACTTGATCATCTGACTAGAATAGGAGGCTTACAAGTAGGACCAAACATTTCGCTTGTCTTATTCTTGTTGAGACCCTGCTTTTGTAAAGCCTAACAACACTCAACCATAAGGGCCTCGTTGATGGTCTAAAAACAGACGTGAATAAAGGTCTATGCAATGTACCAGACTCGCTTTTCTCATCCACAGCCGTGTCGCCGGCACAACAAACAGACAACCATCCTAAATCGGATACGAATGAACCGACTGCTTCGACCGCATCGCGTAGACCATTGAAGCGCTTGACCTCACAGTCTTCCTTTGCATTGGGAACTGTCGAATCCACTCCTCTAGTTTCTGACAACAAAATGGGTCGGCAGCAAACCTCGAATGGGGATGCTAGTCACCAAGTCGTGGCTATAGAGGACATCAATGAGATACATGCCGCTCGGATATCTGTGTACGGTACTAATGTACTGCCTGCTGTCAAGAGCAAGAGCATTTTGGAGCTGATGTGGTTGGCACTGCATGACAAGACTTTGGTATGTTTACTGTTTTCGCTTTAGCAAGTTTGACAGTGTCGGGAAGCAAAGCGCATGCCATGAAACTTGTCTCACCACAGATACTGTTTCTAAACCATCAACACATCGCTTGATACAGATACTGCTTTCATGTGCTGCTTTGGTGTCATTGGCTGTAGGACTATACGAAGACTTTAAACCTCCAACCTCTACCGCTCCAGAAGACAATCAGAAGATACATTGGATTGAGGTATTGTAATTATTAAATATTTGAATTATTAGGATTGTTAATTATTTGAATTATTAGGGATTCAGGTATTATTAAATATGGAAGTGATTTTTTTGTTATTATAATCTCTGAAACTTCCAATTTCCTTCAACTAGTATCTTAATGGCTGTCATGATTGTTGTCCTAGCATCATCTATCAATGATTACCAAAAAGAAAAACAATTCCAGGCCTTAAATGCCAAAAAGGAAGATCGACAAGTCAAAGTCATTCGTGATGGTTCTACTCAGCTACTGTCTGTATATCAAGTACTAGTAGGTGATGTCTTGGAACTACAGCCAGGAGATGTCATTGCTGCTGATGGTGTTTTGATAAATGGCATGAATCTCAAGTGTGACGAATCAGCAGCAACTGGTGAATCAGACACTATCAAAAAGACGCATGAACGTGATCCCTTCTTGTTGAGTGGTAGTAAAGTAACAGAAGGTGTTGGTAAATACGTAGTTGCGGCAGTTGGTGTCCACTCCTTTAACGGGAAGACCATGATGGGTAAATTTCTATTTGAACCAAAAAAGAGCCAAGAGTGACCCTGGCATGTCTCATCTAACTTCCAACTCTGCTTTAATAGCATTGCGTCAGCCTTCTCAAGTAACACCTCTGCAAGTAAAACTCGACAAGCTGGCAGAGAACATTGCAAAGATCGGAGCTTCGATCGGTATTGCCCTTTTCTTGGCTCTCATACTCAAATACGTAGTTAGCGTCTTGAACGGTCCAGGATTTGGAAACGACGCTGCTCAAGAGTCTGGTGCTGAAATCATTGCTAGGTTGACCAATATTTTGATTTCGGCAATCACGCTAGTAGTAGTTGCCGTGCCAGAAGGATTGCCATTAGCTGTAACTCTTGCCTTGGCCTATGCTACTACGGTAATTTGAATACTTTCCAAAAAGTCGTTATTTTCGGTTTTGACTGAAGCTTGTTAAAATAGCGTATGCTCAAAGACAACAATTTGGTACGAGTGTTGGCAGCTTGTGAAACCATGGGCAATGCCACCACTATCTGCTCCGACAAGACTGGAACATTAACTCAAAATAAGATGAAGGTCGTCCAAGGAACCGTAGGGAAATATATTCATTTCGAGTCTGAAGAAGATGTCTCGAAACTTCCAGCACGACTACGTAATATCAAAAGTGCAGCTTCAAACGAAGCAAGACAAGCTGGTAGTCCACTTGATGGTGCTCAATTACTAGATCTTCTAGTAGAGGGCAACGCACTCAATTCCTCTGCCTTTGAAGAATTGAACAAGACTACAGGGGAAGTAGAAGTCATTGGATCCAAAACCGAAGTAGCATTGCTAGGATGGATTGGTGCTATGGGTTATCCCTTCTCCGAACGTAGAGTGCAAAAGGATACCACTGTAGTCCAAGTCTATCCCTTCTCATCAGAACGTAAATCCATGTCTACGCTCGTCAAAGTATCTGCACCTGGTGCTCCCACGTTATATCGAATGCATGTGAAAGGGGCGTCCGAGATAGTATTAGGTTATTGTAACAAGGTGGTCGCTTTACCGCCCGATAGACAGCTTAAAGACCGAAGACGGCAGATTCCCGAAACTCCGTGTATTGCAAATCTTGATAGTCGAGGCTTACGAGAGCTTAATGATTTAATTGGGTCGTACGCAGAGCAATCTCTTCGAACAATATGTCTGGCATATCGAGAATGGTCTAAAGAAGCAATCACCATTTGGCTTGCTGGTCCAATTAGAGATAAAGTTAGAGCAGCGAGGAAGGCAGAGGCCGAGGAAGAGAAACGACGTAAAGCCAGTGAGCAGATGGGAGAATTGATACTCGACGAACGTAGCGACGAAATCCGTCGTACTGATACTCTTGATACGAATGCAAGCTCAGAGTCTCCAACTACTCCGACCATGGGTGACGAACTAACTGACTCGGATATACTGATGCATCCCATTGCACTGGCTGAACTCGCAGGTCAAGATCTGACTTGCGCTGCTATTGTCGGTATAGAAGATCCACTTCGTCCAGGAGTTGCATCTGCTGTTCTAGCATGTCAGCGTGCTGGTGTAGTAGTCCGTATGGTTACTGGCGATAACGTCTTGACTGCTCGAGCCATTGCCGCCAAGTGTGGTATCTTGACTCGAACTGGCAAAGTCATGGAAGGATCGGCCTTTAGAAAACTCTCTGAAGCTGAAATGGATGCTATAATACCAACTTTATGTGTCTTGGCTAGATCATCTCCTACTGATAAACAGACCCTAGTAGCACGCCTTAAAGCTCGAGGTGATGTAGTTGCTGTAACTGGTGATGGTACAAACGATGGTCCAGCACTTAAAATGGCTGATGTTGGTTTCTCTATGGGTATTGCTGGAACTGAAGTAGCTAAAGAGGCTAGTTCCATCATTCTTATGGATGATAACTTTGAGTCAATTGTAAAGGCTATCATGTGGGGTCGTGCTGTCAATGATTCTGTCAAAAAGTTTTTGCAGTTTCAATTGACTGTCAATATAACGGCGGTAGTGCTGGCTGTAGTCAGTAGTTTGGCTGATTCAACCGAGTCTTCAGCATTAACGGCAGTCCAATTGCTTTGGGTTAGTTGAACGCAGTGACTTTCTTTTGCTCTGGATCTCAACCAAATCTCGTTGTTAGGTCAATTTGATTATGGACACCTTGGCAGCGTTGGCTCTAGCTACTGAAAGCCCTACTCAAGCTATTCTAGAACGTCCTCCAGAAGGTCGTAACTCGCCTCTCATCAACACTCAAATGTGGAAAATGATTCTGGGCCAGGCCGTCTTCCAAATTGTTATTGGATTGAGCATCCTCTTTGCTGGTGCTCATATCTTCCGCTTGCCAGATTTGGCTGCTGCTGGTGGTATCCTTGTTGTAGATGTGAACAGTCCTCAAGCCGCCCAGGACCAAAAAGTAGTACTTCGAACCATCTTTTTCAACGTTTTTGTGCTTTTGCAGTTATTCAACCAAATCAAGTACATATTGCTTTGAATTTTGTGTTGCATGAATCTTTATCTAACAGTTACTCGTTACACCCAATAGTGCCCGTCGTATTGATAAAAACATTAACGTGTTTGAAGGCATATTCAGCAATCCCTACTTTTACTGCATTTGGATATTCATCGCCGTATTCCAAGTCATAATAGTACAGTTTGGCACATTCGTCTTTAACGTTACAGGGCTCAATGGACCTTATTGGGCATCGTGTATTCTGGTCGGTCTGCTGTCATTGCCGGTAGGGCTTGTATTGAGACTCCTTCCCGATGAGATATTACCATGGGTGTGGTGGCGAGGCTCTCATCAGACGCTGCCTATCGCAAACGAACCTCGGGCAGTGTCTGTTGGTGGCAGAACTTCGGTATCTATACACTCCGACGTTAGTAGTCCGCGGGCGGTGCTTCATGGAAAGAGTGCAAGCACTTTCTCGAGTGGAGTTGGTGATCTTGATAGTGCTGCTGCTCGTGAAAATTGGCAACAGACTCTGGAAAAGGTTCCCGAACTTAAAATCTTTACGTCGATACGTGGCAGTGGTGAGACACATGTGAAGTTATTGCTTTAGTGGAAGACAGTGTTAACCATTGTTTAACACAGGTCGTATTTATTCGGAACGAGCTCCAGCATCTCGAGATGGACGGCCGCCGAGTCTCAGCACCATGGACGGAACAACCACCAACACTGCCAAAAGACCTGCATCTTCATACAAGCTGAGTAAACGTGCAGCGACCATGCCACCGGTCCGTACTGGAGGATCTAGTGCTGTCCTGGCTGGTATTGGTATAGAATTAGCAGGAACAGGCTTCCGTCCCTCAGGAAATAACAAGAGTGCTGCGCAACCAGCGTCGCAACGTGGTAGTACTGGTGGCTCCTCTTCTCGCCTCGTATCACCAAAATCGCCTGTGAAAGTAGCAACAAAACAAGTAGATGAAGAGGAAGGTGATGTGAGTGTTGGGAGTAGTGATGAACAATTAGCAAAGGGGAAAGGATTTACTAAGCCCCAGTAAAAAATACGATTTCCCATGAGCATGTAGTATGATATCGTCCATTTACATATATTAGTATGAAACAATAAAAACATTCAATTCAATCCAAAGTAGTATTGTATAGATAGTCTTGGCAAGCCTTTCCCACAAAGAGTAAGGTACATAGCACAAATGAGCCAGTTCAAATGATATTGAGTGATATTGCAAGTTTTAAGCACAAACGAGAGGTAACAAATCATTACGCCTAAAAATACACAACTTATTCAGAGCTTGAGGCTGTCGAGACTAGCGTTGAGATCTTCTGTGCGCTTGGCCAGGATCTCACCGATTTCAGGTCTGGATTTTCCGCTCTTCATCAATTCTTCAAAAGTGGCCAACATTTCAAGGTCAATTGGAACTGGTTGTCTACAGGTTTGTGGAGAGTATCAGCAGAGCTCAACAATTAGGATTGTGTAGCTTTGAGACGTACCCCATCCAGGTTGCGAGAACGCTATGTTCATGTACAGGATCGTCTGTGTGAGGATGAATCAACACACTAAGATGAGTTTGAGCAGTTATTGATATGCTTGTAACAAGAAGTTTGAAACAAAGTAATAGCGTACCTGTGTTCACCACGATTGACAACCATCCACGAGAAGACGACTCCAGTTTCCAAAGGTGAGAATGTCTGGAAGTTGGGTATAGATGAGTAATTCGCTGCTGGAGTAGAGACAACAGTCTTATGCAAGGAAACATGCTTACGTTAATCTCAAACATGCCGACAGTATGTGGACCAACGGGCTTGGAGTGGATCATATAGACTCTATGATTTTTTTTGTGTGAGTCAAAGTGAGAATTGTGTTGCAGATTTGATGATGCTGGTTCTGGCAAAGATCTTCGATCTCAAGCGACCCTCCGAGGTAACTCTCAAAGAGCTGAACTCAAAAACTTGGAAGAAAACTTCAGTTACAACTCAACAAACATATACCTGATTTCAGGAAATTCGCGTCGAAAATCGTCGTGGAGCTTGATGATTGATTTTACTGATTTTGCATTGTTTTGCCAGAAATATACATGGAAATCCTAACGAGAAGGACGTAGTAGGTTGGCACAGATTATCATTGAATGCAGCAATGTAGCTCTTGTTCACAGCACTTACGAATCCGTTGCCTTGAGGCATGTTGCGGATAGGAGGAGGAAACTTTTCATAAAAGGGAGATCGTTCAACACCGTCAGCTCGTGGTGGATTGATTAGATCGCCATGGTCTGTCTTTTTATATGGCAAGGTCATTGTAACCAAGGTCATTGTAACTTGTTCTTCCTGTACAGGCTGCGATGGCTACTGGGTAGAGGCGGGAAATTGCTATGACTTTGATGGTAAAGATGGCTGTCTCTGAGAGTGCTTCTTCTGTCTGTTTGTGAGAATGCTACGTGTGAAGTTGGACAAGAGTGAACCGGACGCGAGGTTCGGGATTTGAAATGTCACAAGAAGTGGGAAGCTGCTGCAATAAAAAGATTAGATCATTATGAGCAATGTGGCATAAATCCTGCATTTCAGGCTTGTTCTCGAATTTGCGAAAAATCGTGCGTGTTTTGCGTCCTTTTGCGAGTTGACTGATCACAAAGCAAGTCACACTTTTGCTTGGTGAACGATCGCAAATTCCGTCTCTATCTTGTAATTGGACGGAAAGTATCCAAGCATCAATTAGAATTTGGCGCGTCGAACTGCTATTGACTTTGCCATTACCAAATGAGCTCCTCTCACCTTCCTGTCCACAGATGCGAATCGCAGGCTAGAAAGACAACAGGATTTATAACGAGTCGTAGCAAATACGTACGAATACACGAGTAAATGTTCAATACATAGTAAAATGTCTCAAACCTAGATATAATTTACATGTCTGGTCTCTTTGATAGAGACTCCCTCTCTACTCCCTACCAACTATTTGGGGTCTATGAATGCAGAAGAGCTGCTTTTCGGTGTAGATTAAATCGCTTTAATATACATTTTTTGCTTCGTGAAAAAAACCAAAAAAGCACAAGATCGACAGTGCCAGGACTTGAACCTGGGCACGTAAACGTATTTGATTTCTAATCAAACGCCTTAGACCGCTCGGCCACACTGTCATAATTGATTGATAAGGTACTTCCTTCAAATGTTATGATCACACTGTGACAAAGGGTCACCATCTCATATTGCAAAAAAAGCAATGCAATATCTCCTATAATCCCAATAGAATGCATGAGCAAAAAAAAGCAATATCTCCTTTCACATTACTCTGTAACCACTCGGGCACTTCGACCGTAAGAAAGTTTGAAATTTCGAGACTCCTAAACGGTTTGCTAGCCTCACCTAATTTTTTTAAGACTTCATATCAAAACCAGGGCACTATCCTATTAAAACAATAGTTTTAGGTATGTGCTGATGAATTCAGTATTCGTTCCTTATAGTTCTGCATTCAGGGAACGAAGTAAATACATTCCAACAACAATAATGTTGAAACCTCGTTTTACAATCATTTCGAGACCCATGCCTTCAATTCCCAATCTCTGGCCGGCTATATACAAGGTGAACGTTCGGATGGTGTATTGCTGCGTCAGTATCTTTGCTGCGGTGGTGTATTGCTGCTCGATAATTTGTTGCAGGGGTTCTTCAGGATTTAAAGGTCCATAGTTTCTCAAATAGTGGATTCGCTGCCGATTTAGGCTTCAAAAGCACAAACTACAGCTGATCTGAGCTAGCTAATAATAGTTGCGTGAGATTGTGTCCTCGTTATCACCACGAAATGTTGTAATGCTCCTCCAACAGGAGAGGAGAAGTTCTAGTGCAATAACAATGAAGTCCCAAGAGTCAATAATCCAATCAATTAGCATCAAATGGTGTCGAGTCGTCCTTTTCTGTTGGCAAGAATGTGGCAAATTGAAATATCGAGGTGCGTATCCGTGAATCACCGCTCCATCCCTTCGACCGTGGCAAGCATCGTGCTGCAAGCCTTAACAGAATGAGACCATGTGCTTTTGAGTGTAGTAAATGTGATCTAGATGTTTAATGCAGCTCTTCATCAGCACCAGCACATTTTCCATCCATTGAGTTCAATTGATTAATCAAGACAACTCCTTGTCACTTAGCACTTCCAGCAGGTTTCTTAATCCATACAGAACCAGGAGTTTTCTCGAACTCGTTAGAAAAACAGTCCATGTTCAAAGAGTTAAAGCAAGTCCCTGGGCTGGAGCTCCTTGTTCTAAATCTACAGCTCTTGAAATTTCTCTTGAGATTCTGGGGTATCAAATTCTTACGTAATGAGGCCGTCGTGGGTTGGGAAGTGGACTCTGAAGCGGTTTGTTCTTGGAATTATGAAAAGTAGGACTTTTCCAAGAAATCATGGAGCCAGTGTACGTCTGCCAACGGAAGTCGTATTCAGGGCCACTCTGAAGTAATCACCTATGAGATACTGGTATGGAATTAGTGGCTGGGAAGGTCAAGTCGGTTGTTAGCGTATTTTCACACAACCAGGCACTCTAAGAATCGATACGCAATATAAAGTGGCATAGATTCAGCACTTTCCTACTTTGGGTGACTGTCGAACTAGTCCCATTTCCTAAATGCGGCAAACAAAGAAAAGCCGTCCATTGCGTGTGATGCTCCATGATGAGGTTGATGAAGATGAGACTTCAGTTTGAAAATTCGACATGATCACAGCAGCTCTGATATTTCATTGGATAGCCAACATAAATGGACCATTTAATTCCTGAATCACGAAAAAACTGGATTGTTAAAAACTTGTTACAAAATTTGTTGAATTACAATTTGAAGAAAGCATGAACGACCACGTTTGCACCTTAGCCCCCATCTTCATAATCGAGATCTTACAGTGACCCGCTTACGGTTGAAGAATTCAGATTTGTCGTCAAAGGTTGATAAGAAGGATTGGGTGGTTTCTTGAGTATGGTCACTCATCGAGTTCAGGTGAGCTTGATGGATTCCTATTGTCAACGACGAGTGCGATAAAATAATAGGAATCACCTACGAACCTACGCCACGGTCCTCGTTGCGGTTTTTGAGGGAGTACTTGCGAGGCATTCAACAGTCTCGTTGTAACGTGAACAAGTAAGCATGTCAGAGTGGCCGAGTGGGTAAGTGAAGACGAATCTTTATCAGAAAAGGTTTGCTTCACTCGAAGTGCTTCATCCGTTGGAAGTCATAAGGAACGTATACAAGAGACGTGTTTGCATTCTTAACCATAGCAAAGACATGATAGTCCTAAGACGAGTTCACTGGTAAGCGACTGGTGCAGGAGTCTTGTCGACAAAGTTGCGTAAAAGATCTATCCAAGAAACAAGAAACAAATCACTAAGACGACGCGACCAAAAGGGAGCCTATAAAGACAAGAAACGAGTTGGCACCGTCACATGCGCGAGGCTGGCACAGTTTGCAGTAGCGCACTTACAGATTTAGAATCATTTAGAGGCATTTGGCACGAAAACAGCAAAGACGTGATTGGATGTATGTCGGCAGTAGCTTCTCGACAATCAACTTCCCCTCCACGTAATTTCCTTACAGTGGCAAGCAGTATAGTGCAGTTGTGCTCACAACAGCAGTACGAGCGACGTGGTGATTGTCGTCCAAGAACCAGTTGTGGATCTCACAAATGTCGATCCACTTGATTTATTCTCAATTAATCAAGTAAGCCTTAGTCGCCGTTGTCTTGTTTCAGTGTATCTCATTACTGCGAAGCTCGACCATGAAACTTGACCAAAAAAGGCGTGTTATCCGAAACCGTCTATTGATACTTCGTCATCATCATTTCCATCATCGGAAATCATCAATATTTGTCCCCTCTCTAGATTTGCTGACTTGATCATCTGTCGAAGTGACCTGGCAACCACCATCTCTACAACAAACGTGGGCGGAAGTCGAAAAAAATCGTGAACTGCAGGATTTGAACCTACGCGGGAAATCCCACATGATAGCGAAATGATTCGAGTCATGCTCCTTAACTAATTATAAGTCCTGTTAGTGAACCCGAAACAGTGATGGACCACTCAATTGACTTGACTCACCCACTCGGACAAGTTCACATGTTTTCCAAGCGAAACCAAACTTCCTACAAATACCACGTATCCTCCCCCAAACGTAAAAAAAAATTGCGGAACGAGTTTAAGGATCTCTTTAAGGAACGATGGTGTGTCAGTCGCGGCCCACTGGTAGTAAATATAGTAGGGGAACAAGTATGGGTTGCACTGGATTCGGCGGGTGCCGTGGTTGGTCACAACTAAGTTGAGGGACTGACGCAAACGTAATTCCAGTAACGTATGGGGAGTAATTAGCAACTTCAGTGGTTCTTAAGTGTTTTACATATATTTGCGGGACTATAATCCCAATAAAATGCATGAGCCAGAAAAAAAAGATAGATTTTAGGGCGCCTTAGGCAGCATGTACGTAGCATTTAAGATCACATTTCGTAATATATAGTCTTCGCTCAAAAACAGGGGAAAACAGCACAACCTTAATTTCTGTTACAGACATCGGCTTCGATGATCACGAGGGCTCTATCTCGCATAAGATGTGCATGATTAGTGTGGGAAGGAAATGATCTATATTGTATGCAATTGTTTCTAAATATATGCTGTGTAGTGGGAGCGCTTTGATAACTTTCATATAAGTCATGAGCTGCTCAAAACCACGGGAAGAAAGGAAGCACCTATCGTCTCCAATAATCGTAGAAGCTGTCACCAAACACTTTCATGTTTTCGCTCAACATGTCCCATCTGCATATAGAAAATTACGATTAAATACGTGAAAATGGACACGATTACAAATGTAAACCACTCCTTACCTGGTCATATGTTTGGTTTCTCCTCGTCTGTTAGAGTCTCGTTGTTGGTAATCAGCACGTAACCAGTCCTCGGCGACGGTTAGCAAGGGCGAGTTCCATATGGCATCTGGTCGTACTGATTGGCGAGCTGCCTCCAGTTCCGGGAAGACGGTTGCATCACCCACTGCACGGAAGTGCACCATTTCACCATTGTTCATATGACAAACATGAGTTGGCCAGTTTCCTTGTAGTGAATAGAAGGTCAGATCAACAGGATATCTTATTCGATACTTTTACGAATTCGCATACCTAGACCGTCGTAGATGTGGGTTGCATACAGAATTGTGCAGCCTCGTTCTTCAGTTTCTTTTTTCAGCCATTTCAGCAGTTCTGAACGAACCAAAACGTCCAAATCAACAGTGACTTCATCCAATAATAATAACGTCCACGGAGCCATTAGGCCCAAGACTATCTGCACTCGTCGCCTTTGTCCATCCGAGACCTCATTCATCTTCCATCCTAAGAGTTTAAAATTGAGAACAAACCACGGCTTCAAACCCATTCAAAAGTGCGCAAGATGTGCCAACCTGGATCTACATCAAGAATGTCCAGTAGCTTTGCGCAACGTTCATGATGTACTTCGGCATTGAGAGATTTCAGCAGCCTAGACACAGGCACCTCGCCTTTGACAACAGGATTTGCAGCCCATTCAGTTCCCAAGTATGTGACTCCCTAAATAAAGGAAGATATTTAGCGGTCATGGATGGTCCAAGCAGGCCAAAATTCCGGAAAATATTCGTGTTTGAGGTACAAAAACTTGACTCATCGAAGTTATACTAGCTCTGGTAAGCAAATAACTTACAGGAGGAGCATCGAAAAAGCATCGGTGACCCAAAATGAAGGCTTCCCCTACGTTAGTATTGAAAAACGTCACAAATCAGGGAAGGCCACACGACTTCCATTTCTAGAGATACCAACCTCTCGTCAACCTCTTTCCGGCCAACACTTTGAGGAGTGTGGACTTTCCAGCACCATTGTGACCTTGAAAGAGAGAAGATGAGATCGGGGTCGTTGGGTAGGTGTGTCTAAGTGTGGCTAGGTGTGGCATCTCCACCAGCAGATTCGGAAGAGGATTTCAGCTTCGATGAGACGACAATAAGTGATTCGTACCAACAAGGAGACATCTTGAACCATAAGGCAACTCCAACGAGAAGTCTTTCAAAATCATTGGCGATTCTTCGATGCCAAATGAAAAGTTGAGTTTGCGGACTTCAATGGCCAAATCCGATCGTAGAGCACCATCTATCAAGTGGATCAAGTAAGTACAATGATGAATGCAGTCACGGGCAGTCTTGGAACTGTGGATCAAGAGGTAGATCAAGATGTTTTCACGATACACACCTATAGGTTCTTTTGGTGGATGGACCAGAGGCTTGAGCAGGCTCATTTTATTCATGATTTGAGCGGTGATTAGACTGGTACCGGTTGATTGAGTCTTGCCTGTGCTGAGTTTGAAGTGTTGGAGAAAATGAAAGATTTACACATCTGCAGAGCAAACGAATCGCTGAATATTTACGTGTTATAACGCGTTAAAGTCTCGTCCTATGCTGTTCCGGCTGCGAATATGGCCGATAACGCAGTTCGAATGTGCTGTGGTTGTCGATAAGAAGCTCTTCGAATTCTCACCCAATTTCCAAAAAGCACGACTTTTAAGGCTCCCAGCTTGACAATGTTGCAGGAATCAAACGACAACAACGTGATTGATTCCGATAGCTCAGATCATAGATGTAAGTGTCCTTATTCACAACCTCGGAGCTAGTCTTGTCTGTCAAACTTACACACGTTTGACTTGTTTCCTGATTCACTGTCTTTATTGAATCTGTTCTGAATATTTCGTCAACTAATTCGATTTATTCTAATTTAGATGCTCACAGTACACGTATAATTTCAGCTGAGGAAAGGGAGTTTGTTGTTGAGCTGCCAGAGCGTCATCCACATAGAACACAGCTTGCTCGACTTTATCAAATCACGAGTCCAGGGCCTCCAAGACTCAATATATTGGTACCAAGAACTCGTCGTATAGAGGTCCCTTCTTCTGATGATGCTCAATCAACTACCACTGCTCCTGCTACTGCTCTACGTAACAGCGCGACTCAACGACCACTACAACATCAACAGCCTTCATCTGAATGGTCTGCTGAAAGTAGATACAATCCGTCCCTGCCCAGCTCTATGCCTATTCACTCATCCTATTCTGTGAATGGTCCAAACACTGGTTTGGCTGGTCGTATGCACCTCAACAACAACAGTCGTCAAACAAATGGATTCCAAGAGTCATCTCCTTCATTACCAAATGACCGAAATCAACAGACATCTCCTATAAGACCAGCAAATATAGATTCCAGCAATAGCTATAGCAACAATAGTCGTCCTCGTATACCCGCAGCACCAATCGCTCAAACACATCTGCCACAACCACCTACTGCTAGTGGTGCTAGTAGGCCTGTGACAGCTGCTGTAGCTACCTCAGCATCAAGTTGGAGTGCCGCTTATAGTAGAGAGGAACCAACATCATCGCCCTCGTCATATAGGGAGTCTGCCTTGAATACAGACCCTTGGAGTAGAGATACATCGTATAGAGAAACGTATGAAGTCGCACCACAACAACAAGACGAAAAATATCAGTGGGGAGTGCCTCCTCCGTCAAAAACTATTAATAGCCCTGCACCAACACCTCCATCATCCTCGTTGAGATCTGGTACTCGACATGCGCCTGCACCAAACGCATGGGGACGTACTTCTGCTCAAAATAGACGTACAACTCCATATGTACGTAATCCATATGCCCATCTAGGTCGCTCAGATGCTTTTGCTATGCGAGGAGTCGCATCTTCCAACCCGCCATCCTCAGTAACAGATCAAGAATCAGAGGCTGGTGATGAAGCAGAACAAAAATCTGGTTGGATGAGGAGCGACGAAATTCCTCGTCCAGAAGATCTGCGATCTGATTTGACAATATTGAAGGACGTCAAACCAGTCACCAGTTATTTGGAAGAACTAGACAGATCAGGCACAGTAGATGAAGCAGAAATGTTACAAAAGGCAAAATGGTCGGTCGAAGGCAAAAACCCAATTCCACAAACATCATTGCCTCCAACCACTCAGCAGCGTCGCAGTTTAACTCGATCTGGTAGATTGGCGACTGCTTATGCTTATGACCAACCCTTTGAATCGTCTGTCGGGCCATCAGGTATGATTCAAGTCGACACGCGGTATATGAATAGTATTAAAGTGCTAATTGGTGTCTATAGGGCTTCCATTCTTTAGAATGAATAGACGAGAGATGACTACAACCACCACTACTACCGCTACTACCGAAGTCGTCGAAACCACTACTCTTGTTGACGAAGATGGTCAAACTGTAAATACCGATGACGCTACCGCGATTGGCCATGATGACACTACCATTGTTAACCATGACGGTGCTTCTAGAGCTGATAATGTACAAACAGCACAGCACCACCAGCACTATGAAAACAATTATGAGAATACTGGCGAAGCTTCCAATCGTCCAGAACATCAAGGAGGCTCTGAGTATAGTGGTGCTGGTGGATCTCAACAACCATATAATGTTGGAAATGGTACTGGTGATGATATCACGAATGAAGCCTCTCGTAGCAGCCCAGGTATCTCAAGTCCAGAGTTACGTACTACACGGCCAGAAACTCCATACTCTCGAGATATGACATCCAATCGTGAAGCCTCTGTAAATGCTCGACCTGCCTCGCCAGGACCATCATCTGTTACATCAAGCACTCAGCGTACAACTGTCAACTTCCGCATTGATAATATGCGAGCTAATGCTGGACGAGACGTCTTTCGTGAAACATTACGAGGTTTGGGAGCAACTCGAACTCATGTCTTTGCGTCTCGAGGGTTTGGGGTTGCAGGAGTACCGTCTCGAGCTGTCGCTGAATTCGAACGTCGTATGGCTGAAGGTGTGTTTATAGGAGGTAATCGTTTGACGTATCGATTGGCTCGAGCAGATGAGATTCCATCTGTTGGCAATCGTGGTACACCTGCAACTACAGCTACAGCAGCTCCTGTTGCGACAAATGTATCTGGAATTGTTGTATCATCACCAGCTTCTCCATATAGTGGTAGTAGTAGTACCGCAACAACCATAACCTCATTACATCCACTACCAACGGCAAGCAAACCAAAGTCAAACTGGTCGATAGATTATGAGGATTGAGATGTAATTAAGATGATGCTATATATAAATGGATAAGATCATGCTGTTACATAGATACTTTGGTAGTGGTGATGAGTGTAGCAAGTGTATAAAATACAAAAATATGTACAGATCTAGCTTGTATATAACACAATAGTATATTCTGATTCACTGATCAAGAATAAATCGGACCAGAATCCCTCTTTTACTATCCGTTGTCGGATTTGGGTGTCTTTGGCTGTTGCTGGTTTTGGGATGTCTGAATGCTGTCACTATCGTGAAATCCCAAGTTTTTCATTTCATCAGGAGCCATTAGACCACTAGTATATAGGAAGTGATTTCAGTTCGTGAAGCAAACCCCAGAGATTCGACGAATGCAAGAGCTTTCTTCAACCAAGCCTCTCCAATCATCCAAACAAAGGTGAATGTTCTTACTGATCCATGCGACATTGCAAGTAAGCCTTTGAGAACTCTTTACACTTTGAATGCTTGCCTTCAGCTTGCTTGATGCATTCCATAAATGTTTTTGCAGCTGCTTTGCAGTCGCCTAGTAGAAGGGGATTGGTCAAGAACAACAAGCATTCAAATGTTTTTCAAGATGAACTACCATCCAAGTCCAATGGGAAGCTTCCTCTTTCAGGAGGTGACGGTTTTGAAAACCTCTGAAAACTAGCAAAACAGTGATGTTTGAATGGCTGAAATTGGAGTTGAAATCAGGGGATTGGATCGATTGAATGCTTACTTGGATCCTATACTCATCAGCCAAGTTTTGAGAATGCACTTGAAAAGTAACTGGTAAGTGTGAGAAAGCTGAGTTTGAAAATTGGATGAAGAAGGTAACGTTGCATGGACGAAGGTAGCATTGGACACAGAGAGTTTACAGCTAGCGGAATGGCGGCTTTTATCTTAAATATCTACTTGCTACTATGTGGAGAACTATAAGGAACTGTGCTCTTTTTCTTTGTTGTGATGCGAAGTTGCTCACTCGCTATTTGTAGCAAGCGAGAACGTGATGGATGATTCACACGCTTTTACGTGACTTTTGATTGACATATCTGATTGCTCACTCTAATAAGGCAGATTGATTCATTCATTGTCGCTCCACCGTGATTGATGTGCTTGAAATAATCGCTGCTTGCTTTAAACTGGAACGAAAAACCACAGACGAGCAGGAGTTCATTCATTATTTGGTGCACAGTAGGCAGGACATACGTTACATAGCGCACATAGCATCAGAACTAGATAGCAATCAAGACATCATCAGATGGCTGCTGGACGTGCTACTGTGGTGAGTAGCACCCAAGAAGACATTCGCGGATTTGTGAGTCTGTTTTGCATAGATCTGCTGCCCCTACATCGGAATGACGGCCATATTCCCATGCACCATGCTCCTACTAACATCATCTATACTCACTCCCACTCATCATTCATAGGGTGAAAACTATGAAAAGGTTGAAAAAATCGGGGAAGGAACATATGGTGTCGTGTACAAGGCAAAGGACAGAACGACCGGAACCATCGTCGCATTGAAGAAAATCAGATTGGATACTGAAGATGAGGGTGTCCCTTCCACTGCCATTCGTGAAATATCCCTCCTCAAGGAACTCAACCATCCAAATGTCGTCAGGTATGTACAATACATGTGATTGAAGGCCTATTCATAATTATCTTGATCATTTGCAATCGTTTCCATTGATTTAATCGTTTTGCCATACTTATTCATCGTCTTGCTGATGATGATGCTACAACTGGGGTTTGGTTGTGCCTCAAGTGACTTAAACTCGCTAAGTCACAGGTTGATTGATTTATTAACACTAGACTACTCGATATCGTCCACAATGATGAAAAATTGTACCTCATTTTCGAATTCTTGGATTTGGACTTGAAGAAATACATGGATACGACTGCGCCATACGGATTGTCTGCAAACCTCGTCAAGGTATGATAAAAGTGATGATACAATGATGATCCAATGATCAGATGACGATGAGAATGATCAAACAACCCACATGCGCTGATGTTCTCTCTATCTTTACTAGAGCTACATGTATCAACTCTTGAAGGGCTTGCACTACTGCCACTCTCGACGAATCCTACACAGAGACTTGAAACCACAGAACTGTAACTCAACATCAATGATCATTCTCATCTCTCTAATGCTAACAATCTTATCCCCTGACCTTCAATAGTACTCATTGATCAACACGGTGCACTCAAACTAGCAGACTTTGGTTTGGCTAGAGCCTTTGGTATCCCACTAAGAACCTACACTCATGAAGTCGTCACACTATGGTATCGAGCTCCAGAAATCCTATTGGGAGGCAAACACTACTCAACTTGTGTCGATATGTGGAGCGTCGGTTGCATCTTTGCTGAAATGTGTCTCCGACATCCTCTCTTCCCTGGTGACTCTGAAATTGATGAGATCTTCCGTATCTTCAGGTATGTGAATGGAGAAATGAACATGATATACAGGAGTTAACTTGTTGGCTAGGATAAATCATGGCTTCCACGTGTATCACAAAAAATCATAAAATTTTTACCATTAACTAACAAACAAAACACACACACAGGACTCTGGGTACTCCAAACGAATCTACTTGGAGTGGCATCTCTGCTCTGCCAGACTACAAACCTTCATTCCCGGTTTGGGGTGCTCAAGACTTGGGAAAAGTGGTGCACAATCTCGATGCTGACGGTCTGGATTTGTTAAAGGTGAATATCCCATGCTATCCAATTATTACTGGGGTCTTTCGCCATAAGATCATTCCGCCCTGACATCATTTTTTAGCGAATGCTTGTGTATGAGCCAGGTCGTCGAATCTCTGCCAAACAGGCATTGGCTCACCCATATTTCGGAGGAATGGATCAAATGTAGCTGGGTCTACGCAAAACTACTAACCTACAAAGACCACTTTATACTCCATGTTCATATTTAATAACTCAAAGTAAAGGGACGTTTATTATTTCCCCCACTTAATGTACACTACTAAAAACAGAAAGGTATTACACAAAGAACTCGACAATTGGTTTGTGAACAAGATACAATTCTCAAATCCGTGAGATGTCTTGTTTTTCCAAGTGTGTTTTATTTGACTGTTTGAGCATATGACTATAATACTATTGTTCAACTGACGAAACAAATTGCGTGAGACTCGAAAGTCTACTGAATTTGGTCAAACAAGGTCCATGCTGTTAAAATCGTCTTCCAAGTTTGCGAGCTCATCCTGTAAAGCGTCCATATCATCGTCGTCGTCTTGAGCATGAGCTGGAGTTGTCGTTTTTGGAGTAGCCATTTGAGACGATCGACTTTGAGTATTGGCAGAATTTGCTTTCGTGCTTGCTGGTGTTTGTGGAGAATCCACAGATTGTCTGACAGGAGAATCAACAGATTGTCTCACAAAAGCTGACGTGGTTGGGTCTTCTTCGGCTTCTTGATCGACTGCACCCGAAACTGGCCTACCATCCCTAACAACTCCTTGTTCTACGTCAACCTGAGCCCCTTGAGTCAAAACCCCAAGTGAAACCGCATCCTTCAACAACCAAAACTTTATATTCTTCGGTATCAACGTCTTGACCTTCATCGGCGATTTCAGTAACGAGCCCTTTGGCAATGGAGTAGTCCCAATCGCGTCTTTGATTGATGCGACAATGATAGGATCGACTGATGCTGGAAGTAGCGCCGATTCGTGTTTGGGCGAGAGGATTCTGTGTGTGTATGAGAGCGCGTCAGTGGAGAGGGGCTGCCAGTGGCGTGGGACGTGGTCTGGTTGTGTGTCGGATAGTTTGCTGGGAGGGTGAGAGGGGCGTGTGTAGCGGGTGGAGGAGAGGCTGAGTGCGCTTGCAGCTTGAGATTCGTCGGCTTGAGACATTGACGGTTCGTCTTGTAATGGAGCCGTTTCGTCCTCACTTGCACCATCATGCTGAGAGGTTTCAGAGCCAACTGACTCACCGGGCGATACAGGATCCGGGAACATCATGTCCGTATCAAGCGTTCCACCATTCGCAGAATCGGGCGTCACGGATCTAGACCGTCGACGCAGCATGGCGATAGCTGCCCATGCAATAGAGTTACGACTTGCGAGAGAACTTGCACGTGCGACGAAGGGGGTTGATGGTTTTGTAGATGGGATTGTGAGTGATCCCGAACTGTCATTTTGGTTGGTTTCAATCAGTCCGCGTGATGAGGTGCGAGGGACTGAGAGTGTTGTACTTTGTGATGTCGAGTTAGTTGTTGTTGATGTAGCGTTCGTATCTGTCGTATCAGGTCTCGTTATGGATAGTGATGGTGTAGACGCAGTTATGGGTCTTGTAGGTCCTAGCGAAAGCATGGATGACGATTCATTTGATGATTCACCGCCATCAGCAGATAATGGTCGCTCCTTGTGTGATTTGACCCAGTTTCGTTGTATGGACGTGGGCCGGCTATCTTTTCGTAATAACGCAGATCCACGTCTTTTCCAGGATTCTTTGCCTGGCACCTGCATCGATTCTTCAGACTCTGTGCGTACCGATTTAGCAGATTGGCTGGCAGCTAGACTTGGTCTTGACGATCCTATCATGATCCCTCTCCGCGATCCACGTAGCGCGTCTCGTAATGCTTGTTCAGCCTTCAACTCTTCAGCCGATTGTGCCTTTTCGGCATCATCTGTCTCCGATGCGTCAGACTCGTCAGGTGTTCTCGGTGAGGTATGGTATTCATCATCGTGAGAGTACTGGTCTTGAAAAGCGATCGTCTTGTGTGGTTTAGCACTACTACTAATCTCGTTACTCTTTGCAGCACTCATTATCCCCGACCCTCTACGAATCTCAGCATCAAACTTCCCCTTCATGGTCCACCGATACCGTCTCGCCGTCTCAACCATAGACTCCCTAACACGGATCCGCTCTACCGCTTGTCTTCGCACTCGAGTCATCTGCACAAGCACTCTGTGATTGAATTCATCTTGCGTCATGCCTTCATGACCTAGCGGCGAGCCAGCAGCGATTTGATCAAGTGGTGCGTTGTCATGTTGAAACGAAATTTTGTTATCTAGGTCCATGACTTCGTATTTTCGCATGAATTGTTCGGCAGCGGCTTCGGATCCGAAAATATTTAGGGCTGCTTGGTTGATGTTGTGAGGGATGGGGACTGATGAACGACGGCGCGATGCACGGCGAGAAGTTGTTGCAGGCTGTGCTTCTAGCGGTCTGATAAATGACACCCGGGCCGGATCACTTTGGTGGTGAGGTACAAACGTGTCTTGTGGCGGATGGTGATCTTGTGCACTTGCAAGTTGTGGTAATGGATCCACTCCCTTCAAACCTTTAAAATGCACGGTGAATTCCTCTGGCTGTGACTCTGTGCGTACCACGGATTGTCGTAGGTTGCTGCCGAGAGATTGTAGCTGTTGTGTGGTTGAAGTTGAGCGACTTGGTACATGGCTATCCGCAATGACGTGCTCTATACGGTCTTCTGGTGCTTTATCAACTTGGATTTGTGTCTCGTCTTGTTTCGAGAATAGTGCTTCAATCTTCCGTTTACGCTGTTGGTGAAAAAGTAGATATATTTAGAGACAGTTCATAATCATTGTATCAAAAGTCGTCACACGAACCTGTAGGAAATTATTCATTTTTTTAGCCCGTTCGTGCTCCTTCCTCTCCTCCATCAAAGCTGTTGCTTCAATTCCTTGTTTGGCAATCAATTTGCGTTGATGAGCGATTTTTTCATTCCAAAAAGCCAGTTTCGAGTCTCGATTATTTCGATTCGTCTCGACCATATACGCCTCGAGTGAATTTGCGAGAGATTCCAGGCGTGCATTTTCTGCTTTTGTCCTTCGTGTCATTTTTGTCCTGCCTCGTGTCGCCGCAAATTGTTAAAGGTCTATAAATTCAAACAATGAGTCAAGACAATAAAGGTAAATCATGATAATTGAAGCCAAGCATGTTCTCCAGTGCGTACCCTAACTGACCTTTTGTAGAAGAGACAGCTCTCCCTCCCTCTTCCGCAGACGAAAAGATGAACAAGTTGAGGCAGCTTCCCAAGACGATTGAAGTTAGTGTTCTTGCTCGGTATTTTTATAAAAGATTATGCATGAAATTGAGCACTTTTGGCTACAAATTGGTGCCTGAATAATATCTCTGCTCCGTTTCATTCACCCCATTCACGCATTTAGGAATACTTGGCAAACTCTCGCGCAACAGACCCAGCCAACATTGAAAAGAACAATGCTCCAGCACGAGTATATTTAGAGGACTCTGTACTTCCTCTTCTCATTGAAGGACTGAAGGCTTTAAACAGGGAACGGTGAGCGTTTTATGCACTTCAATCTCTTGGACGTCGCATTAAGCAATGCTTCATATAGGCCGCCGAATCCGTCAGAATGGCTGGGCATGTATCTCGTCCGCAATTCAAGAGCTGACTAGATAAATACAATTCCGATACAACCTATACCAAGTAATAGTTTTGGCAAATGTAATGTATTTTTGTTTTCAAGAGCAAAATATACAAGACAAGACAGCTTATTGCTTCAAGTTAGCAATGGTGACTTCAACCTCGACACCAGGTTCAATTGCAATGGAAGTCTATTTATGCAAAAACAGGTGTCAAATATGTTGTTAGTGACCAACCCAATTTACGCCAAACGATGTAAAGGCACTTACGATTTGCTTGACTACATCAGAAGGCGAGTGCAAGTCAATGACACGTTTATGAATCTTCATTTCGTATCTGTCCCACTAATTTGAGGATATAATATGAGTTACGCAGTTACGGGGAAATCTGTATATGTATGGCAAGCCAAATAATTCAACTTACAGTCTAAAGAGATGAATGTGTGAGTATTGTGAAGGATGTCTTAATAGAAGCTTGATAATTGCGTTACCTTTGAACCTTCACCACAAGGAGTCTTTCGAGTAGTGATGCGCAAAACCTTTGTAGGCATGCGAACAGGGCCCTTGACTTTGAGTTGCTTGTCCTTTGACTTTTGGATCAAGTCGGCACAGACTAGGCGTGTGTAATGGTTGTGAGAATATTGAACGTTTTTCAGAGATGCAAGCTGATTCATCCATCGTCCAAGTTGGCAATGACTGATATCAATATCAGTCAATATCTACACAACAGCCCAATACTGTCGGGTACATACCCTTTTCCAAGTTCTTTACATTTCTGCTCAACAATGTGATTCGAATGCGATGAATCTTTGTCTCTGGGGTTTCTTCGTAGCCAGCCTTCTTTTGTGGAGGGACGTATGCCATGATGCTTTTAAGTGGATGGATATAATATCAGAGTGTCAGGATGTATGAGTAGCTTCAAACGTCACCGAGATGTCGTTGCTAGTTTAAGCTTCGATATTGCTAGTAGAGAAGGGAAGAGTGTGAATTTATGTTGGACGTGAATAATAGTATTGCGTATTCCCTATGCAGTACTTGCCTGAGTGAGCGTTGTGAAGTCTTCACTTTGTTGAAAAAGAACAAACAGTGTGGTGTGGCTTGTACTATATAGCTCACCCAAAATAATGCAGCAGTCAAACGCCATCAACAAGGAGTTTCTACGCGTAGGCAACTAGAACATATTGTTTTCGGATATATTTGAGGTTATTCATCGCATTTCTGTCAAGTCAGCCTTGAGTAAAACACGTTGCCCAGACTCAGGTGCTGGATAGTGTCGCCTTTCTCAAGCATCGATAACGATCTAGATCCAGGAATGATTTATGATTGATATAGCTAACGTGCAGCTAAACAACCTCTCAGCTGCTCTCAACTGTCAGAACTGGCCGTAGTGCAAACAACACCACAGGTTGTGCACTCCAGAGACCAAGATGCAGAAAAAGAAGCAGTTTCCTGGCAGGACGTGGCGTGAAAATTCATGGCAATATGATCAATATCATGCTCGAAGAGTAGCTAATGTTGTAATGGATACTTACACCAAGCTACCTGCGAAAGGCAAACCACGCACCTCGATTGATCCAAACGACCCAAATCCAAAATTCGAATGGACTGTGCTCTCTGCTATTGTCATCAGATTCGGTCCCATCTACTATGTCGCTGGTCTAGGGTGTGCATCCTACCCACATCCACCACGTTTGGAATCAATCATTTACATCCAATGCTCTGCCATAGATCCGGTACTGGAGTCCTGCCAAAGTCATCTTACTCCAAGAATGGTGAACTCGTACATGATAGCCATGCAGAAGTCCTCGCTCGTAGAGCATTCGTCAGGTACGTTTGCTCCGTGTTTGTTTGAACGAACTTGACAGTCAATTTCACGTGGTGGACTGCAGTCACTACCAATCAAAAGCATACAACTCTAACTCATTTATATTCTCTGCTTAGATACATGTACAGGGAAATGAAACTTGCCTTGAAGAATGAATCAAAGATACTCAAACTTGCTCCTCTTGGCTCTCCATACACATTCGTGATGCATCGCTGGATCTCTCTTCATCTCTACTCTTCTCAGGCTCCTTGTAAGTTATGTGCTCTACCCCTTGTTATAGTTCTTGAAAGAAACTTGGTTGGCACTCATTCTGCCTCATTGAAAAGGTGGCGATTGCTCAACAGTATCCTTGGATCAAGCTCAGTCTGACGAAGCTCGTACTCTGAATGAACAGAAAAGGGCAGATCATAAAGTCAAAACCAAGGGGAAGCAACCCGCTACGGTCGATGAAACCGTATCAGAACTCAACAAGCCTGACGCCATGGGATACGAACGATCATATAGTGATGACAACTCATCATCATCAACCACCATAAAGCCAGATTTGAATGCAAAAAATGTGGACAACGCTCAAAACCATGACACGTCATCAACTGACGATACAACTGCACCTCTCGCTCGCGGTAAGCTTAACAACCTAGTACAAATTGAATGACTCTGTACTCATGACTCGTATTTTAGGTCGTATGGATTATCAACTATTGGGTGCTTTACGAACAAAGCCTGGAAGGAACGATGCGTCGCCAACAGAAAGCCTCTCTTGCAGTGACAAAATTGCTCGATGGAATGTATTAGGTTTGAACGGTGCCATTCAAAGTAGTCTTGTTGCTCCGATGTATCTCTCCTCCATCATCATCGGTGACTTGTTCCACCCACAATCTCTTCAACGTGCCATATTCGATCGTGTACAAGGAATCACAGGTCTTCCATCATTCTACTTTGTACACCAACCAAGCTTCTTCCATACAGAAGTTGAATTCCCGTACTCTCGTAACACGGTGGAATCAAATGCAGCAAAGACACCTGGTGCATCGATCAAACCATCACCAAATGCTGTAGCATATTATCCTCAAATCAATTACGTCAAACACATCTTTTTTTCTACTCCAATTGTTGATGAGATTGTCCAGGGCAGGAAGATGGGCACGCCCAAACCCGATAGAACTACCTATAGAATCAAACCTGAATTCTCCCCATTTGTTTCTCGTCTTCACATGCTCAAGGCTCTACACGAATTGTTGGATGCTTTGCCAGATTGGGTGGGTTCTGATCATTGTATCTTACGGTAAGCTTTGTTGGCAAAATTGGAGTAATTGTGAGAAGTTTGCCAAATTTGCCGCCTCTTGATTGCAGAAGAAAAGAGTTTATACTGTCCAATGTCATTGGCTAACATATACCTTTAACGCATTTTTAGCCGCCTAACACCTCAAACTACGTATTTGGACTTGAAGCTCGTAAAATCGGATTACAAAAGCGCTAGGTCTTGTTTGATTCAACAAAAGTTCCCAAGTTGGCTGGTGTCTGATCGTGAACTCTATCGATTCTACAAGAATGGTGATCGACCAACGGTCATTCCCAACTCTGAAAATGGTGATAGTACTGCTTTGAATGACACAACTGGTGGTGAAGATTCCTTGATCAAGGATGACTTATTCGATGCTGAATGGGAAGAGGCACTACAAGAGAAGAAGGCGGATCCCAGCTGCGTGGATCAGATGGAAATGTAAATACGGAGATTGTGTACAGGACGAGAGAGAGAGGGTGGAGGAGGTTGAATGTAGAAAAGGACTTATATTATTAACAGGTTATTTGAAACGACAAGATTTGTAAAGAATCTATACCATAGATCCCTCAACAACCATTGTGAACGATATTCAAAGAATATAAAACATGTGTACATGGAACACGGTTGCAATGGACTTAGGACGCGATCTGGAGGATTCTGCGCGTTGTTGAGCCATATATAGGTCAATTATCAGTGAGAATACACGAGCTTCTGCCCTTTTACATGTCAAATCTTTCCAGCTAGTCTAAACGATTTTTGAAATCCCGACCAGTCATCAGGAGCGAGTCACGCAATACATACGCTAAAGAAGCCTACAGGATTTCTGGATCCAAGGATGCTCCAGATCGAAGAGCTAGCACTAAGGCGGCCCAAGATAACGCAATGTTCTCCGTTAGGGACATCCATCCCATCAAATACTCCTCATGGCAAGTCGTTAAATTTCAGTTTTTTTTTTCGCAATGAGAGTTTGCCACTACGATGCACAGTATCAGGAACAGACTTTTCATTTCCCGGCAACTTTGTGCATTCATGTTGTCGGAGCTGATCAGCAAGCTTAGCTCTCTGTATCTGTAAATCTATCTGACATTTGAGAGAAAAAGCCTTTGATTGTTATCAAACCCTTCAAACAAGCTTGACATGGACGACCTAGCTTGATACACTCGATCGTACATGTATTCTAAGCCTATTTCTTCGTACTTTTAGCGGTCTCGGTAGCGCTACCAACTTGGAAGGACAATGTGCTATATGAAGAAGGAGATCCTGTTCTTCACGGACAGCTCAAGAGTGGTTATCCACGTTTCGTATACCATCGTCAAATCAAACAAGTAAGTTGACAAGTCTCTCTTTACAATACGTGGTGCCAGATTACTCACTAGTTTTTTTGCTGCTCTGCCAAACAGCTGATAACACTCTGTGAAAAGCGCTTTGCCAAACCCGAGGAAACATGTCTCGTCTTCCCATGTCGACGAGCCGCTGAAGAATGTCGTGAATTTATAAACCGTCGAGCTAGTGCAGACTCGCCGTCATCACCCACCACTCAACGAATCCGACTAGCAGAACTCGATCTCCTCATGGCCGACGACTCACATCCCCTATCTGGAATCCCAGCACGATTACATATAGTCCTATACTCTCGCACATACGCATCACTAGCCAAACAGTTCTGGCAGCATTCAGGTGAAGGCATCTCGTCCCGATTTGCTCAACACGCGTTACGTGTGCTGGAAGACTCGGAAGCTGCTGCACAGCAAGGACCTGGTGTGCGTGGATCCGGAACAAACCCGAGATATAGGCTAGGTGCTTATCGAGTCGATGCACAAGTCGCGGCTGCTCAAACGGCTGATGATGTGGCAAGTGCTAGGGATGAGGAATTGTTTGTAGAGGAACGATTTGGGAGGAATTTGGAAGTGCGAGATGCGGATAATGCTAAAGGGTTGTTGCGGAAACGCATTGCGGGTATTGTTGGAGATCTAGTGGTTGAATCCGAGTCTGATGATGCAAAGACGGATAAAAATCTTGATGAAAGCCACGAGAGGAAGTCGTTACGAGGTGTTACTGAAGACGATGTTTTCTTGTTCCCAACGGGTATGAGTACTATATATAATGCTCATCGACTCGTTATGAAGATCAGGCCAAACCTCAAAAGTGTACAATTTGGGTAATTGACTTGCAAATTCTTTTCCGAAAACTTCATATCATGTTTCGCCACGGTGATGGCTAATGATATTTCTCATCAAAAAGTTTCCCTTATCTGGATACGTTAAAGATACAAGAAAAGATTGGTCCAGGAGTCCACTTCCTAGGTTTTGGATCACCCGCCGACTACCAACAACTCGAAACACTCGCTAAAACAGAATCCATCTCAGCCTTATTTTGTGAATTCCCATCAAACCCATTACTCGGCTCTGCTGACTTGACCCGCATCCGCGCATTGGCAAATCAATACGGATTTCTTATCATAGTCGACGAGACAATCGGGAATTTTGTAAATGTGGATGTACTGCAGCATGCTGATGTCGTCGTGTCAAGTTTGACAAAGGTGTTTAGTGGGGATTCGAATGTTATGGGTGGAAGGTACGACCAAAAAATCTATGTGCCGCACTTAGGATGTCAGACGGTTTACGTAACGAATTGTTCGATTTTCTAGTTTGGTATTGAATCCTAAAGGGAGATACTATGCCCAACTCAAAGACTTGCTCAAGACGGAATACTCGGACTCGTTATGGGTAGAAGATGCTGTATTTTTGGAACGCAACTCTAGGACATTCCAGCATCGTATCCATATCATTAATCAAAGTGCTGAAGCTCTGGCTGGTTTCTTGGTCAATCATCCAAAGGGTAAGCCCACTCAATGTGACAGAGCCGACAAGAAAACTTTCATAAATAGGGTCATTTTTAACACTTTTCCGCATTATAGTCATGAACGTATTCTACCCCAAATACATAACAACCGAAAACTATAACGCCTGTAAACTACCTGCAGGCGGATATGGCGGCCTCCTCTCCATCGTCTTACACCCACAATACTCGCACGTTGCATTTTACGATGATCTCCACTGTGCAAAAGGGCCATCGCTCGGTACCAACTTTACCCTTGCAAGCCCATACACCATACTTGCACACTACGGTGAATTAGACTGGGCTGAAGAGTATGGTGTATCTCGAAATCTGGTGCGAGTCAGTGTGGGGTTGGAAGAAGAGAATGATTTATTGCAGATCTTTAGAAGTGCGCTTGATAAGGCGTGAAGTCTTAAAAGCATACCCATTGAAACCGTAAACTGCTACGCGCAATCAATTTTATATACATAGATAGAATTTTTCTTTGGGCAAAATAAATACATATATTTACAGATTTGTCTGCATACCTAGTTCACGGTACCGCTTGAGATTTGGATATTAGTTCTTTCTCTACTATTGTAAGCAGCTGCTGATAACCACGACTACGTTGAGAAATAAAGTGTCAAAAGCGAAAATAAATAACTGGCAACTATTACCATCGAATGGAGGTCCACTCCAATGACGTTTAATATCCTGATAAATACCTATTCGTGTTCATCAATGCACCCCGCCACTTATTCCTCAACCCAGCAGCCGGCCCATCCTCCTCCGACAGAGCCTCCAGCAGCGTCCCAACATCCATCGCAAACGATGCCAGAATAATACACCATTCCCAGCATTCCGCTTCCCTGGTTGTTCTGATCATGGCCTGCAGCTCTTCGTCTTCATCGGTATGTGTATTGGGATCTGTGACTAGATCGGAGACTTGAGATGAAGGGAGCGTGTTTGCTCGCTTACGTGGTGCCTTTACCGATGATGGGGATGTTGAGGGGTGTGCAGAGGCGGGACCGTTGGGAGAATTGTCGTCAAAGAGACTTGATACTGAGGATGCTGATGTGGTTTCTGCGAAGGGTGTGAAGCTTCCTTTTCGCGTTGGGGAAGAAGTGGTGCGATCTCCTGCTAGGATTGCAGCTTCGGCTAGTGAAAAGAAAGGCAGCATGTTAATGATGAAGAATGGAAAGTAGAAAGTCGCAATTTTGACATCTTACTTGGAAGAGGCCGTTCGAACTGTTCATGTAAAGACATGAGTGCTCCATGCCAATCATCAAACATCGCAGATCGATTCCTACGGAAAAAAGGAATTGGTCGAAAGATGACAACAATGCTACAACTCGTACGAGGTGATTTACCTCTCACGTTTCAGCCATTTTATCAGAGGGAACGAGAGCTGCGAAGCAAATCGACCTAATGCTCGCACTCTTTGTTTGGCCATGAGCTTGCGAGCATGCTTACTTATGAGGATTTCGATATAAAACTATGAAGAGAACAACATCAGCTTGCAACAAAAAAACTCCAGAGTCTTCCACCAAATTGGCTTGAGCATACCAAATCAGTTCCATCATGCATGGACATTGAAATCTGAGCCTCCAGATGCTTGTGGTCTTCCGCCAACGAGTCGCCTTTCGAAGTTACTCCGTTTGTTGTTGATGGAGAGATATGATGTTTCTCATCAGCTGAGCGTGGCATTCCTAGAATGTTTCAAATTGAGCGGACAGTCGTGATTGATTTTGCAAAAGCGTTGTCGCTCACCATCAATTGACGACAAGAAACGAACCAGCTCCTTGCCAGTCTACGAGCAAAAGCATAAGAACCAGTTTCGGTCCTTTTTTTGCAAACTCGATATAAGTCAAACCTCAAAGTCTTCCATCTCAAAAGCCTTCTCCAGCAACTGAATTGCAAGTTTTCCACTAACAGCAGCAGGTTCCAGCGTTTGGATGATAATAAGATAGCTTGTGGCAGTATCCAGAGCACCGCTTTGTAAACATTGCTAAAGAGAAAAAATCGAAGGGGTAAGCTTACACAAAAAACCGAAATAAAAGAACGCTTTATCCTGACGTCTTACAGAGAACAGTTCCTTCGCATCTCCAACAATCGAGAAGAAATATTCCCACAAGGCAACTTCCGTCTTGCGTGCACATCGAACAATGACATCAAGGTGATGTGGGAATGCTTCCAAAAATCGTGCAATACATGGCAGAAGAGCACCTGAGAAGAGATGAGTACTTTACATAGTACACTCGGCCTTGTCGTTTTGTTAAGCATACCTTGAGAGAAACCAGCAAAAGTCTCTGCTTCTTCCTCCAACACCTGATGTAGTAGCATTTCGAGAGAATGTCCAAAATATTGTAAATGACGAAATCCTGCTGCAAATGCGACTGCTTCCTCCTCCATCCTAATATACCAAAAAACAGGTTGTCAGTCTACTAGTATTAATCTGAAGACGATGCTTACCCTCTGGATAAAACATATCTGATGATGTGATGCAAATACAAATGAGTCTATACAAATCCGGTGTTAGTCTGTTGTTTCTTGTGGTTACGACCCACGAAACCACGAGAGCTATTGCCATACTTTGGTTTCCAACTTGTAAAATGTACACTGCACCGAATTCCGTAAGGCCATTCTTTGTTCGATGCCCATGATAATGGCACGGTGCATCATGACCGCTATAACAAAGGGCAAACACAATAATATTAGCAACAGCCTCTCCATCTCTTTCACCGAGGGCTTTCCTTACTCAATGGATAAAAATCAAGTTCCATTCTGATATCTTCATTCCAATTCTTTGTGGGAGGCCATGCTTCAGGTAGCATCGTGTCATCCGTAATAATATTAGCCCATATCTACATAAACAAGTCAGAAATACATCATGTTTTAGTGAAAAACTACACCTGCTTTTTTTGTTCACTACCTTAACTCCAGCGCCATCAAAAGCCCATAACGAATGATGCATTCCAGCTGCCCTCTCCAAGGGCTTTGACACGAAGAAATGTTCAATATGGTTGGCCAAAACCATATGCTCCCAATCATGTTTTGGCGACTCTTTTAGCACGCTCAATTCCCCACTCTTTAATATCAAAATGGGACTTGTTTTTATTGTTTCCAGAGTAGCTTCTCTGAATGGGGGTATCCATGCGACAGATTGGACAGACCAGGGATTAGAGATGATATCAACAAAATTTATCTGTTGATGGAGGTGGAAGGATGGTCTACCGACTTTGCGAAGAAAAAGTGGACGTGAGATGAATCATTCAGAACCTTGATACAATACACGCAATGAATGACAACATTACCTGATCCAGTGACAATACTATAATGTCTCAACACACTGTCGGCAGAATAAATGAGAATATGAGAGTCTAACGATGACAGAGTAATAGCTTCACTAATAAGGTGGTGCGACAGCAACGCTTGCGATGTATCAAGATTGGCATCACGCGAAAACAGCCGTAGCTAATTTGGCAAAGTCGGCGTATCAGATGAATATTGCTTGTGGGGGAATTTTGGATGTAAATTACCTCGTGGTCACCGGAATCATTGTTGACACAGGCAGCAATTAAAAGACTTTTAAACCAAACCATACCACCACGAATCGAGAAACTTTGTTCCTAACAACCAAAAAGCGATTTTAGCCCGTCAATATACGTTGAAGTGAGACGACGCACCTGTTGCTCATTGCCAAACAGTTTCCACCGACTGGATGCCTTATCATAATGTGCTAAGCCGAATGTACCAGCAACGGCAATATAATGCCCTGTCGAGTTGATTGCAGCAAACTGAGAAAAGTAATCATGTCAGCAAAAAAATTCCCCACGATAGAATTGCAAAAGTGATCAAAACTCAATTGCATTACCCGTATTGGCCAATTCGAGGTTATATAAGATTGAGGTGCCTAAGAAAATATTCATACAAAAATTAATCCTTCTTTTTGTTTGGGTTAAGGCAACATCTCACTTGAACAGTATCCCATTGTATCAGGTCTAAATCTGTAACATTAAATTCCGAATTATTTCCCTCATACAGGAGCAGCCTATCTTCACCAATGAGAAACACATTCCGACTATTATCCTGCAGTTCCAGACAGAGGAAAACAATCATATGAGTTTGCAGATCCATGTTTGAGATCATTCTCAAACGCATCTTACAGGGTTGCTGTTGGTGGTCAGGGGTGTTTTCAGCAATGGTATCACGTATATATCGTTGCGTGAACCTAAAGTAGCAGAATCTGTGAGTATAAAGGTCAATATTGCATACCTTGGAAAGTGTTTACCTGACATTAACCCGGGACCAGGAAGAACGTATAAATCAAAGTCACCCGTTCCCCAAAACTAGAAGGCGTCGTGGGAAGTAAATTGGAAGAACTAAAAGCTGTGAGGACATTGTGAAAACAAAGTACCAGGTCTTGCACCCCATGGAAGTAATCTTCTAATTGACCAGCGGACCCGTTTGCACTATAAACCAGACATGTTCAGAGGTTTGGCAAAATATAAGTAGAAACTATCCAAATGCATGTCTTACGGTGTCTGTATACTCGTGTCCTCCGAAATGGTACTCATCAGCAGCCTTCCAAATACCGACCATATAGCCATCCCACCAAATTTCCACCCAGCTGCCAGCGCGTAACCATCTTCCGACCAATCCATTGATGTCACTGGCCCAACAGTATGATGCAGATACGACGAAACGGTCTTTGGAAGCTCTAGACGATGTGACGTCCGAAGACTTTGGCGATCCTCTGTTATGGAATATACATATATCGTTCCGCTAAAAAAAGAATCGTCATTGACGAAAATCGAATCCTTCATTGCAAACTTGGCTGACTTACTCGGCCGCTCCCACAGCAACCAACGAGAATCTGGCATTAAAAGATATACATGTTGCACTAGATGCTGCGCTATCCTGGTTGTATATACAGACACCAGTCCAGGAATAAGAGGACGTCTCTGCATCAGTCGGCACAAGGATACGTTGTGCTACAAACGCACGGCCTTTGCCTGTAATCCAGCCAAACATGTCTCGGCCTGGATACAGCACAATCTGGATGACCACTATTTTATTTTTGTGTTGCATTAGGTGTGAGCTGTTAAAATGGCATCAAAGCATTGATTTTTTTTAACCACCTTCTTGCGCTTGCCCCTGAAAGTCCAGATTAGCAAGCACAACAGACGCCTCAAGCTTGACTTCCCCATTCCACGTCAGTGATAAGAGAGATGGAGAATCACGAGTACATACGAGAAGATCGTTTTGTAAACCCACACCACTACAAAATTTAAAGGTGTCAGCACGCGTTCGATGACCCCCCGAATCCGAAATAGCATTTACCACTGCACACTGGTATCTATTTCAAGTGCCATTCTAAATCGGAGTGAGAGGTCGTCTAGTTTATGTCCTTCACCGGGTCCTGTCATGTAGTGGTGCGAAGAAGCAAAGTCGTAATCGAGCATCGTGTCTGAACCTTCAACCACGTCATAAAAATGAAGAAATCCACTGGTTGTCTAGAATACAAAAGAAGTGTCAAGACACGTTGGCCCTCTTGTAAAAGTGACGAACAGAGTTTCACCAGTACGACTAGACCGGTAGCATCTGGCTTCCACATAATATCCGAGTTCTCTCCGTCCTCATTAAGGGTAGCCTCGCCTCTTTGCACCTGCGACAAGACCACATTTGGCTAAAGTGACAAGTGATTTAATGTTTTGATGCCTTGTCCAAACACGGGCAAGTGATTATAAAACGAGGCAAAGTAGATCGGGACACATTACAAATATTCCAAAATTATAGTTAACTTACGCGACTCGACCATAATTGAATTGTGTTTGCTGTAATCGTGGCAAACAATTCGTGTCCTGGACATTTGCGCAGAGCAAGCACGGAGAGACTGTCTACACTGCTACCGATCGTGCTGCCATCCACGGGACCACTGAGAACTTTGGCACTCCCACTAACAAAGAACATTGCATCTCTTTCGCCAAAGTGCGTGTTTTTGCGTTGAGCCGCAACGAGGACAAGGTCCGGTACAAGCTCGCGACATCACCCATACTTTGTTCAAATATAGTATCAGCAAATCTATTCTAAACGATTCTAAACTACTTTTTACGCGCTACAAAATTTACAAGCAGATTTCCAACAGTTTCAGCCCAGCAATGATTCAAAGCAGTCCTTTGAAGTATGTTTCCTGAATACCTAATACCACATCTTTACGGGCGAGATCCTTGATCTTTGAAGAATAATCCGGCAAGTCGACGCCAGACATTCCCAAATTTCGGCGAAGGAATTCAGTAATAACGACCGATTGCATGTCCAGAGCCCGACATGGATCAGCGGATATAGAGCGTCCCATATACTTGAGCAAAACATGTGGCACGAGCGATGGCATATCGCTGGCGTCCTAAAACAGATATGCCACGTGTCGTTATTGTTCTAATGTCAGACTATATCACAAAGCTACACGAGTGTATGCCTACCTGATGTCCAGTTCCTCGTAATGTAACAAAGGTATTGTTTGGATTTCCACCAGACAAAACATGCTGCAGACTTTGAAGATTCTCAGGCCAATGGAAGGTTTCCGAATTGACTGAGAGCATTGGGACAGTGATGGATGGGGTAGGCTCGATAGCATAACACCAACTATCTAGCAGCACGCCGCATTTGAAGTTGTTGGTTTGTTGTAGAACTGTTATAGCCGTTGCAGCCTGATGTAGTTTTTTTGTGTTAATGGGGCATTGTAGTTTAAATAGCAAGGCTAAAAGTACATACTCCAAAAGAGTGACCCATCATGACCATATTATCGAGTGAGAGTTTGTTTTGGAAACCCTTTTGCTCGAAGGTTGAAATCTTTCGAGTCATTTTATTCTCAACAGGAGTCCCAGCGTTTAAATTGTGCAGCATCTCCAAGACATACTTTACATCTTGAGACTGTCAAGATAGGGAGATCGTAAGACGAGGGGTGTGTTTCAATTGCTTTTGTTGATTATCCTTACTCTTTCTTCAACTTGCTTTCGTCGAAAGGCCAGCAGTTCATCGTCATTCCCAACGGGCCTCTGATACAAAATTGGCTTCTCGTCGCTGCCCACATATGCACAAGCACTTCCATCCTTGTGCTCGAGTGCCACGACCACAAACCCTCGAGAAGCGAGATCACCGCACAACGATGAATACATGCTTCGATTACCAGCCAGCCCATGTGAGAAGATCACGACAGGAAGCTTTACCGAGTCTCCGCTGTTGCAAAACAGATTTGCAACTGGAGCATCTCGAGCAACTGGGGAGTTGAAAGTCCACAGATATTGGTATATTGGGAAGGAGGCGAATTTCGAGAGTTTAAGGAAGTGGCCGCTATGCAAAATTTCAGATTGAGGTTAGCTCCTGATCGAAAACTGCACCATGGTTGAGCTTAAGCTCCAAAATGAGATTTGAGTAAGCAATGTGAGATTCTCCGGGGCCTTACAGGCCGAATGCATGATAACGAGACGGTAGCCAAGCGATCCCTGGATGATCTCCTTCCGATGTGGCAGGATAATACCACCTATGTTGTCGCAAAGTCAGTAAAACTCCATTCGAGCTTGCTTTTGATGAAGCACCTGTACCTCGTCAAGACGTGCTCATTTTCAATATCGGTTACTGATACTGGGTGCTTTCCGTGATATTTGAACGGCAGTCTAGGCCAAACGTGTATTAGACTCATTCCCTATTGCTTTTCGTAAAAGTGGAGATTCTCTTAATTGGAAGTTGGAAGGTGTGTCTTTTGCAAATCGTGCAGCTTACCAGCACGAACAACGACCGACACGACAAGATCACATCGTTTCCTCGTGATTATGTGTATGTTGACTGCTTTTTCTGGATGCGGTGTCCGATCAAGTAGTAAAAAACAAACAACCGCGCCAACTTACCTTCATTCATCTGCCAACCAACATAACAAGCTGTCCTAGGACAAGATTGGAAGGACTACATAACTGTATGACATCTCAACTACAACATCCATGCGCTGAACTAACCGGATCTACTTCTTTCATCTAGGTCCCGGCATCTTCAATTCTTGAAATCCCAACACAAATGCAACCACCCTTAAAGAAACGATTCACGGCCTTCCTATGGCTGCTCATCTCGCTAGATGGCATATTCGCACAGTACACATGCCGCCTAGTAGTAAACAATGAAAATGCGGCAACACCCACTCCTGTGTATTCTGTGATATCAGCAGATGGTGCTGGTAGTACAGCTACAGTCTATCCTCCTGTGCCAATAAATATGACACCGTCTATTGCTCCAACTGATACAGCAATAACAGGAACCTCACCAACTGATACATTAATAACTGCACCTTCACCAACCTATGTGGTTTCGTCTCCAACAGAAGGCAGTCCAGTAACCGGAATGGCCATCTCTCCGACGATACAACCAGCTGGCTTCATGGGCGTATCTCCTACAATGGTGCAACCTACCATAATGTCTGGCGAGCAATCTCCCACAATCGCCACAAATCCAATCAATACCGCACTAGCAGTACCAACAGGTCAAGCAATTGCAAGTGATGGATCCTCTGCTACTATTAATGGAATCGCGCCTACGAGTCTTTCTGGAGGCGAAATGGCATCACCTACTGCCACCATCTTGAATGCTGCAACGGCAATCAATGCTATAACTGGAATCATGGCATCACCAACAGGGATGGTCCAAGTAGGCTCTCCGTCTCCAATGGAAACCGGAGCGCCAGCTGGCACTCCAACGTCTCCAGCTAGTGGAGTGGTCATAACCACCATTCCCAACCAAATATCTACAAATGGAACGAATTCGACAGTAGCTGGTAGTACATCAGGTACAAGTGGCACCACATCAAACAGCTCCTCGTCACTTCCAGCTTCTACGATCGCAGCCATCACGATTGGCAGTGTCGCAACACTAGGATCTATAGTGCTTGTATCCTACTTTGCAACTGGCCGAACAATCCTTGGCCGACGATCAGGAGCAGCGACTGGAAGTGCCTCTGCACTAGGATCAAGAAGTGCTGGTGGCTCTGGTGGACCAGGAATCAATCGATCGCGCCAATACCCTTGGACAAGCAGTCAACTCCCTCAAGCAAGATCCGTTATGGCTACAGGCGCCGTCGCCGCCGGTGCAGTAGGTGTAGCAGGTATCGCAGCAGCAACCGCAGCCGCCTCCGCTCGTCGAAACGCTCCATCGCCTCTACTCTACAACATGCGACGTCCCGAAACGATGCAAAGTATCTCGCCAATCGGAGCCGGTGCTGGAACCATCCACGGAATCCTCAAACCTGAATCAGCAATCACCGAACTGCCCTCACGAACCCGCTCGTACTCTGACTTGTACTCTCAAGCATCTCAAGACGGACCAGCAATGCCATTATCGCAGAGCGCGTCGGATGTAGCACTTAACAATAGTTCTGCACAGGATCCAATTGAGTGGGCCAATGCACGTGGTGGATCAAGTCGAGAGCCGGGAGACTTGAGTTTGAATAGAAACATGCCGAGCTGGATTGGTAGCCCGGCTTGGCAGCAAAATGTTGGTAGTTCTGGGAGACTGGGTGGTGGTGATCAGCAAGACAATGATGAGCTTCGCAAGTTGTGGGTGGAAAATCAAGTCTAGATCGAGGGTGTTACTGTAGAAGTTGGGTTTAGTTAATGTTGAGCTGTTATTAAGTGATTTTAGCAGTAGTTGGATGATGATATTTTGCATTCCTGTTTCGCTGTGAGCTGTACTTCTAGTAAATATTTGCAATATTCACGTAGAAAACTCGTAGATCTGCTGAGTTCGTGTGAGTTTGTGTTGTTGCATCATTGCGCGGAAGTTATAGAATTCACATTAGGGAAGCGTCAAAGCTGAAACGTGTGCATTAGCAATAGTGTAGAAGCCACGTACATAAAATAATGGATCACGAAATGAGCTCTCCAAACCATTCTCAAGAAGCATTCGAACAAGATTCACAACAAGAATCAAATCATCATCTGCAGCAGGAGCCAGTAGACCCACCTATAAATCAACAAGGACAAACCAGCTTTGCTGAAATGCCATCTCAACGTGCATCATCCATATCTTCGTCTCCCTCACGTCGACCGCAACAACAAACAGAACATCAACAACAACATTTACAGCAACAAGACGATGACACATTCGACCAAGATATCGAAATGGACGAAGGAATAAACCAGCAGCGAAATACGTCTGGAGGGCCTATGCGTGGTGGGCGCAAGACTAGAGGAACTCCTGCTGCCGATACAACTTGGAACGAGTACTCGCCTGATAGAGACAGGTACTACTCGAAACAAGTTCAGTATGATCAATTATAGTATCAATTTACATTTATATTTTATCATAGGTCTTCGAGGAGGCCGACCAGGAAAGAGTCTGCTGAAAAGGGCTCTATTGCCTGGCCTGTGAATACTGTCAAGCGAATCATGAGGACTGATCCTGATATGGGCAATATTAGTGCTGATGCTGCGTATGCCATTGCTCAGGCTGGGGTATGTTGTTACGTGTTGTTGAAATTATTTGATTTTTGAGGGTGATTCCGACTTCCATGTCAGCTAGCTTCAGTATGATTTTGTTATTCACATGTATCCCTTTGTTGCATCTAGGAGGTCTTTTTACAATACTTGTGCGAACAGGCTTTGGAATGTGCTCGATCAACTGGTTCCTTCAAAAGACATATTGCCTACAAGGACTTTGGTAAATTACAGTACAATACAATCTTCTTTACACATTTAATGATGGCTAATATTTTTATCTATGTAGCTATGGCCGTACGAAAAGTGGACAACTTGGCCTTCCTAGAAGGTATCATTGAACGGCTCAACCAAATACGCTGTTCACATTTGTTTCCTCAACGCCATTCTCCTCTCAACACTTAGATACTATCCCTCATACTCTGACACTTCAAAAAGCAAAAGAAAAGAAAAAGGAACTCGAAGACCGATTAAACGGCATCATAGTCCCCTCCACCGACCAACAAGAAGAATCAGCAGCAGCTCCAGACGAAACTCAAACTTGAACAAAAAGCCATTTGCAATATATATGCTTGTACAGCAGTTACATATAAACGATTCTCTTTTCTTTGTATGACCAAAAAAAATTCCAAAGCTTCCTATGCTTTCTTCTTGCTAGCAGCCTTGCCAAGATATTTACGTCTCTGTCCAATCATATGCGTATACATGACATAAAATCCAGGTGGATAGATGGCAATGATACCCATCAACAAGTAGTACAGGTAGTCATTGCTTGCGTACGCTCGAGCAGCTGGCAGCGCGTTGTAGATCTCCATGGCTTCAGAGCCGGCACCCATGGGGTACAAGATGTAGAAGAATGTGTACCTGTAATTGATAAATCGTCAAGTTGAAATTTAGGTGTAACTTTTGTTTGGTGAAGGAAGCATACCTAGCCCATAACAACACAGCTGGATTCAACCCCATCAAATTAAACCCATAGTAAACATATCGAGTCACTTCGGTGATTGCCCATGCAGTGACCATTGTAGAGTATGCCCAATGTTCTCGAACCTTTTTAAGAATTCAAATTTCAGCTGCAAACAACCATGTCAAAACGTATGGTCACAACCACACCTCTGTAACGTTAAAACTATTCATAATCCCCCAAACCAGCAGCAGTCTCGACGCAACCTGAATAGCAGTTGTTGAAACGGGTGTCTTGACGAGTCCTAATACCAAACAATGTCAACAACGTCACAACGAAACAACCAAAGTTCCAATAGTACCAAGCAGAGCATGAACAATTTCCAGCGAAGCAGCAGTCTGCACCCAGCGCACCACATCTCCCGAATCATAATAAGCGCGTTGGTAGGACTGGTTTGTGATGATTGATTTGGCGAGTAGTGCAAATGAGTAGGCCCATCCGGCTGCAGATGCGAAATTATAGGCTATGAGATAGCCGGTAACTAGAGCAGCTATGTAATTTTTGGGAATAAATATATGTTAGGATGGTTTTTGATATTTGTGACATTGTTCAAACAAGGGCATTTCTAATGTTCGAGACGAGTTCAACCCAATTTCAAGTAAACGGGACCATACGTGTACTCACATGGCTTACGCTCCCCTCTGCTCTTTCCAGATGGCTTCGACATTGTAACTTCTCTTTTACTAGTGTTTTGGTGTTCTTGGTGTGGTCGAACCGTCGAACTAGACAACCCCAATTTGCAAAAGTTGAAGAAATCTATTTATTCGAATCTACAGTGTCATGACGTTATGAATGTTTGCCCGTGATTTGAATTGATTTCGTGTCAAGCAAAACAATCTCGTTTTCAAAAACGTCCTTGACTTTGGTTGCTTTTTTAATAGGGTGATTATATATGTGCTTTCAATTACTAGCTATATCGAGATCTTCTATGTGCAAAACCGTGCTCCTTCTCTTTTACCCATCAAGCCAACTTCAATCCTCAACAACCAGTCACTAGCTTTCCAATACATTCTGTTTCCTTTTGAGGATAGCTTCTTCTTCTCATCCATCCAATGATGACCAACTCTATTCTTTTATAAATTACCAAACTTTTATTTCTCAACAAAGAGGAAATCCAGTTGCATATCCTGATCCAGACGAGCTCGTCGGCCAGAATTGATACTTGGGTGCCATGGCTGATGCAGTTGAACCAAAGGCCGATGCAGTTGAACGTGAGGTTGATGCAGTTGATGGTGTGTAGATGTTATTGCTTGTGCCTATGTTTGTGTGGTTGTGTTGTTGAGTATTAAATATTGGGTATGTGGTTGTGTGATTTCGTGGAATGTGTTTCAAGGTTGTTGAGGAGCTATGGATACTATTCGATGCTGTCATTGCTCCAGTCCCTCCAGATGGAATGGAACTGTGTCGAGGTTTTAGAGCTGGAATGACTTTGGTAGTATCGATTCCGGCAGTGGTAGCTGGTACACAATTTGAGCCTCCTTGTCGGATTGGCGAAAATCTAATGGGAAATGTCAGGTGGAGTGAGAACCCGAAACAAAAGAGGACAACGAATACGATCTTACCGTGGTGCGGGTATACCCTTGGTTGCGATTGCTGGAGGACATTCTGGTTGTTGGACTTTGATGGGTGGATAGTACACTGGAGAAGGTAGGGTATATTGTTGGAGGTGCATTACAGCAGGAGATGATGGCGATCCTGACGATCCTGGTGATGCATCTAGAGTAGGCCTTGATGCGTGACGGCGTTGATATCGACGTTGTTGTTGTCTATGTAATTCGATATGGATACGATCTGACCATTGATAATACTCATACTCCGTCATATGAAGCTTGTACCCAAGAGAATTCAGGAATTCAATCTCCATAATATTGAGCTCTGCACTCTCGATTCCAGTCACTAGGAGGTTGAGTCGTTGAGAATGGTCAGTACTGTATGTTTTGTCCTTTTTGGTTCCTTTTCCGCCAAACAATTGCTTAAAACTACCACATCTGACACCAAGTCTTCTTTCCCCCCCCCCCCCCTCCAGATACCACTGTATCCGCATCATTTTACACTCAAGCAGGAGCATCTTTGTAAGAATTTACCTTGAGACCAACATCGGAGCAATAAGCGATGATCATCCATTACCTATAGATCGCAAAGACATCAAGTCAACATTTTGTTCACCATATCCAACCAACACATACAAGACAAGACAACAAAGTCAAATCAAATTTACTTATGTTTACCTTGTTGGCAAGCATGAGAGCAGTAGCAAATAATCGAAATTCGGCACCCTGAGCTGCACGAACATTTGGATTGTTTCGTCGAAGACGTTCCAAAAACCACAAGGCCACGAGTACAATGGGTCCAGTCACTCCAGTTCGCATCAAGACATCGGTACAAAAGTTTCGGAAGCTGGCACGAGCTTGAGTCCCTCCAGCCTTGTTGGCAAGTAGAGATGGTGGCTGCCAGGAGACTTGTATAAAGGTGGTACTCAAATCCGCGATCTTGAGGATGAAAATGATGTTAGATGATGAAGATATGATCACGAAAGTCAACACGGAAAATGAAAACAAATGATCGCTGACTTGGCGAATGTCATTGCCAAGTCAGCAATGGTGTTGAAATGATGCGAAATTCAGTGTAATCATCAATAAAATGATCTCGGATGATGATTCCATATGTAATTTTCAGTTTCACTATCATCGAGTGATCGAGCTTCACTTGTCAACGGTAAGACAAGGATGAAACAATTGATGTGGCAGTACACTTACTTGACTGATTGCAGAAGCATCCAAGGGATCAACACTAGTCAAATCGACTTCTGGCTCTTGGCCCATCATCGAATCATCTCGCGGGATGTTGGGACTGTTATATGACATTTGATAGACACTTGGCTGAGAGCTCGGAATGGTGGTATTCATAAAGGTGTTTCCATGATTTGGCCTCTGACTATAGCCCATCATCATTCGATTCCTGTCGTTATTTACTTTTTGCTGTGTTGGTGATGAAGTTGGATTTTGCCACGATGTTTGATGATGATCCCCCAACTCGACCGTGTTCGTCAAGAATCAATCAAAATGGGAGACTATTGTATGCTCGATCAACAGTCGGAATAGACCTCTAATGAAGGAGATCGACATGTTAGAGAGCTTGTTTCGGCCGCAAGCCTAGTTTGACACATTTACCTTCCAAAACAAATCTTTCGCCCAAAGAGGCTGTTTCAAGTGCGTTTCTGATCAGATGCACTAGATACAAATATCCTACAAGTTGATGATCTTTTTCCTTGTTCTGTTTCTCGACCTTGTTTCTGAAATTGGTCGGTGTTGGAAGCTGAGGTTAACTGGTGTCTGAGAATAACAGAAACGTTTCAAATCAGCTGACACAATTGGGAGGGAATTTCCGCAGATGAATGCAGTCACTATGAGGACTCTCCGATCATATGACGCGAAAGAATACGCGAACCTGTCAATCTCGGTCTCACAGAAACAAAAGTAAAAACACCCGCAATCAACATATAATGTATATAAGTAACTTAATGGATATGCAAAATTTTACAAGTTAGTTGTATGTGCGAAACGAGTCGATCAAACCAGCCTCTATTTTTGAATGTTGAGCGAATATCCACCCTTTTCATCTTGTTTCATTTGGAAGTTGTCAGTAGACATGCCAAACATTCCGAGAAATTGGTTACCGAGCTCCTTCAGTTTACCTGAAACGTGAGCTGTTTAGTTTGATGTACCGGCGGTTTGTTGCGCATTAAATATGTCAATTTTACCACATACCCATCATTTCTTCCTTTTCTTCCTCCATTCGCAATTCAATTCGTTTCGGCAACGTGTTGATGGCTTTGGAAGCCTCCTTGTTGCTTGGATCCAATAGCAAAACCTTCTTGTAATCTAAATATATTCATGTGTGAGAAATCGAGCATCAAACGACATTCACATGTCAAGACACCAACCTTCCAAAGCCGAAGTCAACGCGCTGGCCCTTCCAATCTTATCATTAGCTGATGCTCGACGTCGTAGTGCTTGAAGATACACAGGATTCAATTCGATAGCTAGCAAATCAAGGTTGAGAAAAGTGCAGCGGATAAAAAACTTTCGAAACAACGACTTTATGCACACCTTTTGTACAGGATGATACTGTTTTCTCCCATTCTTGCTGTAAATGGAATAAGAACGATGAGTAAAACAATACTAAACTTACGAAGAGTTGTTGAAATACAAACCTTCAAAAAGTGGCAGGCAGCGATGTTGGAATGAAAGACGGCTCTCTCTGATTTGAAGCGAAGTGGACATATATCTAATGCATTCTGATACCTAATATCACAGAAAAGACAGTTTCAAAGCAATCCGAGTGATGTTGTTCCCTTTGCAAACTACGTTTCAGCCATGTTGCTACCTTCCAATGGCTTCCTCGTATTCTTGCTTCTTGAAATGAACATTTCCTGATTCCTTTTCATCAAGGGATCGACCCTTCAAAGTCTATGATAACGGGAATCGTGTAAGAAGCAGAGCTTCCGATATGAAACTACTTGCATCGCTCTCACAGCTAATTCTTCTTCAGTCAACTCCAGTTCAGCCTCTATTTGCGACAATTCTGCCTCTTCACTAGGACCTGAATAGGCTTTCCGTGTCTTGATTTCCGTTATTGGTGGAATTGACCAAGGGTCTTTCCTATCGTTATTTGACGTTGAAATGTTCGGACTTGTGGCAGAGGAAGAAGCAGCAAGTTGGGGTTCTGGTATAGATTCAGCTTCAGATTTCTCATATATGAAAGTATCGTCCGTATCTTCTTTGGCCGAATGGAAGGATTCGTCGTCAGAATCGGGAAAGCCAAAATCTATCAAATAGCTGATGAGCCCAAAGCTTGAAGACTCAAACAATCTCAAAGAAGTAGTTACGAGAACTAGACCCAGCCGACTGTTGTAATGACTCGTTGACCGGATCCGTTGGCCCCAACATGATTTGCTGTAAAACGGAAGGTGTGATTTCGAGAGTTGGAAGTTTGGAAGTAAAGGACAATGAACTCGCATTGAAATTGTATTGCATTCGCCGTTTGAGATGTGATCTGTGATCTTCTTTATAGTAATCACGTGAGTCTACAGGAAACCGAGCAGAAATATCATCACCAGAAACATACGCACACACAGCACATATACAAACACGAAATCTACTTTCTTGGCAAGAACATATTTACACAGAGTATTTCTCTTCTACTACTCAGGAATACCAAAGAAGATACCTTCTTCAACAGTCCATTTCGTATCAGCAGAGGCCGTTGACGCGCCAGCTATAGCAAATTCAGAGTCAAACACTGTGATACAATCGATTCAGATCAAATCCAACAATTCCGGCTCACCAATTTCGAGTTGTCCAGGTATTGGATGTCTAAACTGATGACTTTTAGAGCAAGACAAGTACTTGCTTGTCACGACGTGTTCTAAGAATAAGCAATACAGGTTCAATATGAGTCAAGTGGGATCTTAGAGAGACCATGCAATCAGTCACAAGCATCAACTTACGTAGCCTGACTTCCTTTTCACGCTTCCACATCTTTTCAGATCCGAGACACACTACCTTCCAGTTGTCTCCAGTGTCTGAGAGCGTATCAGAATAGCAACTGACCTCTTGCTGATTCGAGAGTGGGCTCGTATGAAGGTGTGAATGAAGGAACCTTTTGGTCTCTAGATGCTTTAGTCGAACAGTTCCACCACACTCTATGGGCACTCCTCTCCTGCATTGCTTGTCACCAAAAGCTTCGTAAACGACAAAGTACGAGTTTGGATCGTCACTAAGTAGATTGTGCGAGTTAAGTCTCGCATCTAATACGATATTCGGCAATAGATGATAGCAATCGACAAAGATGGTGAATTGTTACCCATTTGGGAAGCCCGTGACAGAGTTCTGACCAGATCCACTTCCATAAGCAATACTGTGCGAATGCAACTATATTTCGATGTGTGAGGAGTGTAACTCGTTTGGGAAACATCATGAAGATCAAATAAATGTACCCGATAGCCACTAACAGAAAGAAGAGTGTGAGAATTGGATAAATTGGAGTGTGCTAGTATATGAGGAACCTACGAAGATCCATGCTTTAATTTGATGCTACTTCCACACGAGATATTGGAAAACTCTGAACAGATGGCACAGTTAGCTTGGGACAGTTGAATTCAGTTCCAACTCGCATACCTTCTTCAATTATATAATCCTCTGCAGCGTAAGACAATGCGAGCATGCCCAGCAAGGTAAATAGTAGTAGTTTCATGGTTGGAGCTGTGGAATCAAGTTTGAAGTTTGCTTTCAAGTTTGAAGACATGCAACGCGACAAGGAGCAAGGAGCGAGTATTCAGTTTCGTTTTGCGTTTTGCACGAGCGAATCACGTAATATACGCAGAGATGCTTTGAGAAGTCCCTTCCAAACCGTTTGAGATTTTCGCTTCCAAAAGTTGTGTTTTTGCTCAACAGGACAGAAAGCCCGGTTTCAAAAGGTCAAGATGGTGAGTTATGGCTGCAATCAAGCTTTTTACTTGAATGATGCGGCGTTCACGACTAGATGCTTTGTTGATGAAGTCGAAATTGGGCTGTTTTGCTGCATTCTTGCTCGCAATCATTCTTAAACGAGGAACTCTGAGTCTCATACTATCCCTATACGCTTATAGAGACCATCGCTCGTTCTTCGTTCAGGCGGAGGCAATTACCCATATCCAAAGTGGGTTTGGTCGGTAAGTGTAGCTTGTCATCGACTTCAACATCAAACATTTGTGTATTGACATTTTTTACCTACTAGTGGTATGGTGGATGGTGGCCAACACCACAAAACTATGTATCAAACACTATCGTCACTGGTCTTGGAATCGCTACTATTGTGGGATTCGGATGGAAGTTCAGTGCTGACAGAGAAGTGTGTTTGGAATCGTCCCCTTAATCTCGTATACGTTGCCTGACTGATACTGTCATGTTGTAGCTGAGGCATCGATACCCAGACAGATGGATACCTAGCATGATTTGGGCAAAGGAATTCCATGTACGTTCAAAGATTCAGCAACTAATCCCGAAGACTTTATCGCGAATTGCTGACACTCTCCTACTCTACAGGATCCAGCATCAGTCGCAATGTGGAAGGAGCAATTGGCCAAAGAAGGAAGAGAGTGGATCGAACCAACACCATCTTGGTGGCCATTTAAGGCAAAGGAAGCTTCACCGACACCATCTCACTGATTAGAATTTCAAAATACAAATCATTATTAAAAGAACGCGTGTTATGAACGTGTAGAATCTTTATGGGCTACTCGGCACCAGTGCCTGTTGACGTGGGGTGTGTTGCTTCTTCATTCATAGTACTAACTAACGTAACAATTCACAGCGATGGCAGCCGATGACGACTATCACGATCTGTTAGAGAGCATTCTCGGGTCATTGAACTTGGGAAGACAGCGTGAGCCAAGTAAGAGCTTTTCTCCAATAATCACGATTGCAACTACAAAGCTTCTAACATCTTTCATAGCTCTCTTTCAGGGCAGAGTTGAACGGCGACGACGAAACATCATTTGAGATCGAATTCTTAAAAGATGCCAACACTGTTTCAAAGACATGGCCAACATCACTGCCTTCCAACATTCTGGATGTGAATATAGCCATCATTTCGAGTGAAGACGAGAGTTGAGATATGTTTTGGAAGATCACCAAATGAAGATTCGCATTCCCTTGTGCTCTGTCAAACAAATGGCCAACGAACTACACGGGCTACTGATTCTCGGACAACAACGTTTCATTCAAGACGCATTGAGCTTGTTCATTGACTCGTTAACAGTAAATCAATCACAAAACGTTCGACTCATTAACAGTAGACTCGACGAGTACACTCTGAACTGAATTGCTGATGAAGCAGCACGATATTGTGGTATGTGAAACGGTTGGTGTGGTAAAGACCGCATGAGAATACTGACCCGCCTCTTCTCGGTATTCTTTACTCGAAATCATCTCAGGCTTCATAGTCATGGCTGGTGAATGTAAACGAAACCCGCCAAAAGAAAACCAGGAAGCACAACCTGCGTTTATCGAATTGAGAAGTCGATACCATGCAAAGGTGCACTCCAGTCTTGGTGTAAGAATATTGGGGCTAAACGATATAGTGTCTGATGAACTGTGGCAGAAATTTTTTTTTGGTACGAAGTCTCGTATTCGACAAGATACAGTCCGTTGCATGAGATTGATGAATGAACCACGTCAAAGAGTGATATTCCAATCAAAGCATTGACGTTGAGAGTTCGAAGGATTTCGTTTTGTTGGTTGGCCGACAATGTCATGTGCCTTTTCGCACGAAGTGTGGTCTAGACAAAGAAATTAGTGTATATTATGTATGTGTTGTATGTTTTGCTTTCTGTCTTAGGTGCAGATCTTATAGGGGTAGGAGATTCTGTGTATTTTTTGCTTCCATTGGTAGTTGTATATCATGTAGTAGCACATATGCAGATTTCAATAAAACAGTCAATTCCTCACAAACAAGCACAAATTCATAGTTCACTACTATATGAATATTTTTATTCGTCAAATTCTATCCCAATCCAACTATACCAAACTACAATTTTTGGGCAGGAGACACAGTAACAGCAGTCCTAGGGAACGAGACAACAGTCTCAACTCCCGATTTTTCATCTTTACGACGAATGGACACATGGTAAGCCGACGTGGCAACCAAGGTGCCCACAATAGGTGTTGGTACTTGATCATTAACAGTTATAGCCAGCAAATCTCCAGCTTTACGAGACGATGGATCTTTAGGATCAATCGATACGGCAGTTGAAGATGGCGTTGACTTGGCAATAGCCATAGCCTCAGCTTCTGTGATTACAGGACCCCAGACTGGCTTGATGGTAGACTGGAGACGGTCGTACCATGCAAAGATTTGTGGGTAGTTTTCCTTGTTGAAGATCTCTACGATTGTGGCGGTTTTCATGCTGGAGAGCCACCAGATGTTCATGGCTATGTATGCATACGTAATTTGAATGTTTTTTTCTTTGCAACACTTGGAGAGAAACGCAGCATACCACAGTGGATATCAGCCAACCCAGGACCAGTAGTATCCAAAATCCATGCACGTCCATCACTCAATTGAGTTTCCAACCAGCCAAGACACAGTCTCAATTGATCTTTAGCTCCAGGTACGGCTTTCACCATGACAGAAGGATCGATTTTGGCTCCTAAACCAAACCGTAAGCGCCACACCCTCTCTGCAACCTCAATCGCCATTCCATACCTCGAAGACCTTCACGGTCATCCAAAAACGACTGAGGCAACTGAGTCCAAGGCATCAACAAAACAATGGTTGAAAAGAAGTTGGAGTCTGTGTATCGAGATACCATCCAGGACAATCCGATATCGACTTTGCCGGTTTCGCGGTGGGGAGGGAAAAGACTGGGAGTTGGGTAGCGCTTTTCCAATTCCATCAAGATCATCGCTAAAAAATTGCATGTAAGGAATGCCCCAAAATGACATGAACATCAGGCCAGTTAACACACCAGTGTCACAGAACATGTCTGATCCGATTTGAAGTACCTATTTTAAACCTTATAAGCAATCGAAAACATGTGAATCAAGCAACAGTTCCTTCAACGTACTGGAATACGTCTGTATCCACCGGTCAAGGACATGGTAACTTCACGGGTGTTTCCCATAACAATGTTGCTGACTTGGCATGATCTCCATGCGAGCTTCTTCAAGTTCAGTGCCAAAACCTAGATGCGACAATGTTGGCAAAGATGTTGGGCAAGCACGAAGCGACAAACCACATACAATCTTCTCGCCATAAGGAGATCCTTGGTAGTGATGCTAGAGTAGAAGGGCAAGAATAGTAAGAATCAGTCCAAATCACAACGAACAAGGTAAAACGGATGCAGATGGCAACTCCGCAACAGGCACTTCACGCAAACCGGAAAAACAAGACAATGTCCCATGCAATCGCTCACTTACGAGGATGATTTCCGAGGCAGTCATGGTTGTAGAAGAGACTTGGAAGCGTTTTATACGGTAGAACGAGTGTGGGGAGTTGGATATTCAAAAACGGTTTTGGCGAACAACAGTTTTGGCGAGCGTGACACAAGAAAAAAGGAGTGGGGACCAATGAAAAGCAACGAAAGGTCAATACAATGGGGGATTCGTTTATGCTTTATATTTCTTTATGATTTATAGACTCTATAATCTGCCTTCCTCCATACTACGTTGTACTCCTCGTTTTTTTTCTGTCAAACATCCAACACTGTTTTTCTCTCGCCAAAAGATCAATACCCAACCTCCTCAACCCAAACACGAGCGTTCTCAAACATCCTAGCCCAACCACCAACATCACTACCAGCCCAAGAATATCTTCCTACACCCCACGTGTTTTCAATATTTCTTACAACACGTTCCGGATGCGGCATCATGGCAACTACACGTCCAGAAGCAGCCACTACACCTGCAATACCAAGTGGCGATCCATTAGGGTTCATTGGATACTGTTCTGCTGATGCTGGTGATCCGTAATTGGTGACATATCGGACACATATACCATGCTGAGTTACAGTGCTAGTCATATCCTTGGGGGAGTTGAATGATACACGTCCTTCACCATGTGCCACTGCTACTGGAATACGGGATCCATTCATACCACGTAATAATGGAGATGTGGTTGGTAGTACTTCTAGTGTGCATACTCGAGCCTCGAATTGTTCAGAAGCGTTACGAAGGAATCGTGGCCAGTGTTCAGCACCTGGAATTATTTCTTTTAGGCCACTCAACATCTGACATCCATTACATACTCCTAGTGTGAATGCATTGGTTCGGTTGAAGAAATCGGTAAACTCCTTTCTGGCATGTGGATTCAGTAGAATTGATTTAGCCCATCCTGATCCTGCACCCAAGACATCACCATATGAGAAGCCACCAGGACATGCTAGACCAGAGAAATTAGATAGTGATACTTTTCCAGTCAATATATCAGTCATGTGGACGTCTACTACGTTGAAGCCAACTCTATAAAAGCATCGAGCCATTTCGACATGACCGTTTACACCTTGTTCTCGTAAGACGGCTACTGATGGACGACGAGCAACTGGTGTCTTTAATAATGAGAAACAAACGTTGGTGCTCGGCTCAAAGGTCAATACTGGTGAGATACCAGGATCTTGAGCATCCAACAGACCATTGAATTCGGAATCAGCAGATGCTGGGTTATCTCTCAAGTGCTAATAGTAGTTTAATCGGTGAGTACGTAAAAATAAAAAATGAAGTTGAATTTGGGATAAATTGACGAGATTCCAAAAGAGAAAAGCAGAAAACGACCAGTAGAGAGATCTAGAACATACCTGCATATGGTATGACGTTTCTGCCCAAGCACGATGATATTCAACCTGGCTATTCTTTATCAATGTCTGAGCACCCAACTTGACTTCAATAAAATCACTACCACCACGTTCAGAGACATGACCCAATACATGCAGATGTTTGATTGGGAAGCCAGCAGTCTCAAATATTTTTTTTACATGAGCAAGTTCTGATTCCTTGACTTGCAATACAGCTCCTAATTCTTCATTAAACAAGGCAGCTGCAATATCGTCATGTGATGCTTTCGGTTTTACGAGACTGGCTATATCAATGACTGCTCCAGCATGACCAGCGAAGCACATTTCAGCAACCGTGATAAACAAACCACCGTCTGATCGATCATGGTATGCTAATACGGCACCATTTTCATGGTCAACACCTGTTGAAGACCTTATTGTTTTCATGGCACTCCAGAATGCTTTAAAAGCATCAACATCTACGACATCTGGAGCGGCATCACCGAGCTGATTATATACTTGACCAAAACATGAGGCACCAGTACGTTGATGACCAAGACCCAAATCGACGAATAACAATACAGTTGGGCCAACATTTGTACGTAACTCTGGAGTCAGAGTCCTTCGAGCATCCGATACTGGTCCATAAGCGGTAATGATCAATGATAATGGAGCTGTGACTTGTTTATCTTCACCACCATCCTTCCATTTGGTCTTCATAGACATGGAGTCTTTACCGACTGGAATGCTTATACCTAATTTGGGACATAAATCCATACCGATAGCTTGGACTGCTTCATATAACGCTGATCCTTCACCAGGATGATCAGCAGCAGACATCCAATTGGCACTTAATCTTATATCTGCCAGGTTCTCCACATGAGCTGAAGCCATGTTGGTCAAAGATTCAGCAACAGCCATACGACCTGACGCCGCTGGGCTGAGTAAAGCTAATGGTGGTCGTTCTCCCAACGACATTGCTTCAGCGTGATATCCTTCAAAGTCGGCCAAAGTAACAGATACATCAGCTACAGGTACTTGCCATGGTCCGACCATTTGATCTCTGGCAATTAAACCTGTTACGGTACGGTCACCAATGGTAATTAAAAAGGATTTTGAAGCTACGGTGGGTAATCGGAGTAAACGGTATACGGCATCTTCTAGACTCGATTCAGTGGGTAAGGAAATAGGAGTACGTTCTGGATGGAGAGTTTGGGCAATACGGTGCATTTTCGGTGGTTTGCCAAATAGAGTTTCCATGGGTAGATCGATTGGCGTGCCTTTGAGTAAACTATCTACTAGACGAAGACGGTGTTCTGCAGTAGCTGTACCAACAACAGCATATGGGCATCTCTCACGACGAGCAATAGCAGCAAATGTTTCTACATTTTCTGGAGCTACAGCAGCGACATATCGTTCTTGAGATTCATTACACCAGATTTCCATAGGACTCATTGATGGGTCATCGCATGGAATGTCTCGAAGATAGAATTCAGCGCCCAGGTCTGAATCATGTACGAGTTCAGGTAGAGCGTTTGATAACCCTCCTGCACCTACATCGTGTACTGATATAATAGGATTTGCATCTCCCAAAGCTGTGCAAGCATTAATGACCTGGAGGAGAATAAGTTGATTAGAACGACATTCGTCGAATTGGAGGGATTTTTTTTTTGCGCAAGGCAAGAAAAACTTGGACACCTCACCTGCTGACAACGACGTTCAATTTCTGGATTTTCACGTTGGACTGAAGCAAAATCCAGATCAGCAGAACTCGTACCAGAAGTCATGGATGACGCAGCACCACCACCCAAACCAATCAACATGGAAGGACCTCCCAGTACTATAAGTTTAGCACCAACCGTAATTTTCTTCTTCATAATATGACCTTCACGGACTACACCTACACCACCAGCAAGCATGATAGGTTTATGGAATCCACGCCATTCGGTGGACGGTTTACCATCAGCAGTAATCGAAGGTACATTGAGCAAATACGATCTAAAGTAACCAGTGATAGCAGGACGACCAAATTCATTATTGAAAGCAGCACCTCCTAATGGTCCTTTGGTCATGATTTCCAAGGCTGATGCGATGTGAGCAGGTCGACCTGGATCATTGGCTTCCCAAGGCTGAGTAAAGCCAGGAATGAGGAGATTGCTGACTGTAAATCCAGTCAATCCAGCTCTAGGTACAGATCCTTGACCTACAGCACCTTCATCACGGATTTCACCACCAGATCCAGTGGAAGCACCAGGGAATGGAGACACAGCTGTTGGATGATTATGGGTTTCTACTTTGGCTAATACATGTAGAGCTTCTTGGTTTGTCAAGTATGCATAGTGCTGAGTTGGATCAGCAGCGAATCGTTCACCCATGGGGCCAGTCAATACAGAAGCATTGTCAGAGTATGCAGAGAGGACGCGTGAAGGGTTGAGTTTATACGTGTTTCGAATCATGTCAAAGAGAGACAAGTCCTTGTCAACACCATCTATAGTCCAGGAGCCTCTAAATATTTTATGACGACAATGCTCCGAGTTGACTTGAGCAAACATCATGAGTTCGGCGTCAGTTGGGTTTCGAGCCAGACCTGGTTCTGCTTTTGTACCCATGAACGCAAGAATGAGGTATTCGATTTCATCTTCTGCTAAAGCTAGACCCCAGTCCTTGTTGGCTTTTGACAGCGTCTAGGTTTGGCAGTAAATGTCAGTCTGTTGCACGTGGGTGTATATTTTTTGCAAACGACACCGAGAGAAAAGAAGGTCGTGCACCAAAACTACAGTGCTTTGTATATCTAAATTTGTAATAGCTTACCTTGGCACCAGCTTCAGGTGTCTTGGCAGACATGATGTCAACACTTTTGAGTGGTGACGGTGTACCCTTCTTAAAGATAGAGTCCGAATCTGGCAGCCCTCTAACTACCACCTGCGTCATACGGTCGTGTAACAGATCAGCGATGGAGGTCAACTCATCAGCGGTCAAAGTACTCTTGTCAGTGGTATAGACGAGATATGCCAAAGCACGTTCGATTCTCTTTACGACGTCGCCCAAGCCACACGTTCTAGATATATCGGTAGCCTTTGAAGACCAAGGCGAGATGGTTCCAGGACGTGGTACTACTAGTATAGTGTCGACACCTGTAAGTTTTGCAGCTGTGCTAGTTCCGTTGGCAGTAGCACCGCGACCCGATGCCGAGCGAGTCAGACGAGCTCGCTTAGCAGGAGATTCGAGACTGGTTGTGGTTTTGGGGACTATCGGAGTTGTTAGAGGAGGTGCATCACCATACCTCAATAAAGCCTGCAATGTCGTTTCGATTTGACGAGCTTCAGTCGAGTCAGCATCAGCAGGGTATGCATCAGTGGTGGATACGAAGTGGATGTAGGCAGCTTCGACATTGGATATACGTGGTACTCTAGTCTTGAGTTCAGTCAATAGCAGCTCTTTTCTAAAATTGGACAGAGCTCCGTTTCCTTCATAGATAAGCATAGTTGAATGGGCAAGGAGAAGTGAAGATCTACAATTGATTAGAGTTTAATTCTGATTCGCGTATTTTTCTGAAACAGTTTGATATTGAAAAAACAATTTGACTACAACTCACCTTTTTTTCACGTTTGCAAGAAGTTTGCTAGTCGGCTTTGACATAATCAAACTCAGCTGGGAAACTTATGGGCAAGCAAAGTTTATGCCTTGTAACGACATTGAATTCCGTTCTGTATGACTGGAATAGTTGTTCTGTCTCTCACCAAGCTGACTTTTCGTAAACAGACACGGACGCCAAGTGTTTTTGCTCAAAGTTTCCAATCAATCGCTCTAGTTCTTGATTGATGCACGCGTAATTTGACATTACAGAGGTCGTTTCGCGCGATTTTGCTGTTTGACAACCTTCTGCGGACATCCTCTCATCAATCAATCAACCCAAAAATCCAAACGTTTCCAGATCATGTATTTACCAGCGCCGGCCACTTCAAAGATATGGAATAAAGGGAGTGCCCGACCGTTGCTGACTCCATATACAGTAGCTCGTGGCATCATTGTTGTGGTGCTGCTAATCACCTTGCTCATATTTGGACTGTCAACGTTTCTAAATGCTGGAGACTCGCCGCCTGCCCACGACATAGAGAAACCAGCTCAAATAGGTTACAGTGATTCCGACATTGACAGTCTCCATAAGTCATTGGCGGAGATTCTCAAACAAAAGTACGTCGAGATCAACAAATCACTCGTTACTATGGAAGTCAGATCAAACACCATTTCCTGTGACAACCCTCAGTTAAGCTAACCAGTAAAATCACATCTTTATCTATAGAGATTCCGCTGCTAAACTGAAACAGATCGTGCCACTATTTAAACAACTACGATCCATGGCTGTATACACGAGTGGAACTGAATTCAACATTTCCGACTTCAGGGAAATGGGAAGACGTGTCCTGACACATAAATTATTATTCGAACTATACCACGATGAACATACTCTCAAACCCAAACTGGAAAAACTAGCCGAATGGGCTGAAGTCCCGGCCCTCCTCAAAAGCATGGAAGTCGACCTCTTTCCTTGGATGTTTGCCACAAAGAGATTCACTAGTGCAAAGCAATTACGAGATAGTTATAGTGGACGAGGCATTGTCATGACTACTGGTCTGTGGCACTTTAGATTTGCTCATCATGCTGTCTTGGCATTGAGAACTCTGATAAAGACTGATTTGCCCATCGAGTTGTATTACGCTGGACGTCACGACTTGCATGAGGAACAAGTAAGCATCGTTTACTTCCATATACAAGGAACAAGACGCCAATACGCTTACACTCCATAGATCAAGATCTTGTCGAATATACCCAATGTAAAGGTGATTGATGTCACAAAGATTCTAGGAGATGACGGTGGATTAGGAGGTTGGGCTGTTAAACCATACTCTATGCTCGCCTCATCCTTCAAGGAAATGATCTTTCTAGATGCCGATGCTCTGGTAAATGTTTGACTACACGAACAATTATTTGATCGCCATTCACCTTTTTTTGGTTTCACGCCGTCCAACAATATTTTTTTACTAGTTCCTCAAAGACCCGAGAGCTCTATACGACTATGAGAGATATGAAGACAGGGGCGCCGTCTTCTTCCATGATCGTACTGTAAAAGGATGGGACAAGAACCTAAAGACGTGGTTTGCAACTCTAGTCAGTGAGCCATCTGATACATATAAACAAAGCCGCATCTTCCAAGAACTATCCATCCATGAACAGGATTCTGGAGTGGTGTTGCTTGACAAGGTGCGGGCCTTCCATGGATTGTTGACTGTATGTAAAATGAATGGACATAAGGAACATACGGAAGTTTACAAGCATATGCATGGTAGGCGATTGTGTCAAGTGCTGGTGCTTGAATCTGCATTTTTTTTTGTTACGCACCAACTCACCCTCGCAAATTCTTTCAGGCGATAAGGAAACATTTTGGATTTCATTTGAAATGGTACGAGTACCGTATGCATTCAACCCCTTCCATGGAGGTGCAGTAGGCTATCTAGCACCAGACGGTGCAGTATGTGGTGGTCTGTTCCATCCGGACGAACAAGGCCAACCACTATGGTTTAACGGTGGTGTTTTGGTAAACAAGTATCATTCTCTACACAACACACTTAATTTCACGCATGCTGGTGTTGATGCCGCGGGTCGTGGTGTGTCTTGGAGATGGGAGACGCCCACTACTCCATTCTGTCTAGAGATTGATGCTAATGTGAAAACGGATGAGAGGAGGGAGGTTATAGAGCTGAGTCCGGCACAAAAGGCTCTGACGCTGCAGTATGTCGAGTTGTGGAAGCAATGCTGTAAGTGCGAAAAATACGAAAAATGTATCTCGATGTACAAAGCAACGGCATTAATCTATTTTTGTAGGTGACTATGAGTAGATGGACATTGCCAACTGGTTTTCTCATCGTGTACAATCTAGTAAATATACAACATTCACGTTTTGCACGGGAGTATGTGGGATCATCTTGGCCAACGATTGATCTATATCGAAAGGCCTTCATAACTATGTATTTATAGAGGTCTTCGTCGCCAAAAGACGTGGAAGTGAGGCACAGATGGCACTGTACGCTTGGCTGTCAGAGAAGATTGACGATGAGAGACTGTTGGTTGTTCGCAAACAAGGTGCTGAGTACAAACCAGGTGGGTTCTCAAAGAACAAGAAATCACACCCTTTAGCCGTCAGCTCTCGATCAAGAATTTCCTTTGCTTCGTGCCGTGTTAGGGGTTTCAGTGACCACAGCAGATAATGGAAGATGCCTTCGACAGTTGCATAAGGAAAGTCCTAACGTCAATTGTGTCAAGGATCCTGAGACACGGACCAACTCGTTCAATGAATTCTCACTCACATTAGGACGAAACGAAGGTGGTGGCGGAGGAGTATCAGCAGGAGGATGTATAACTCGCTTCTTTCCAGTTCCAGGATTGATCTCGAGAGGCCATCCCAAGACATTGTGCTGAATGTAGTCACCAACAGAGTCGAATTCCTTGTCGAGAATATCAGCTCGCCAGGATATGTAACTGTCTACGCGAACAAACACGACGTTGTAAGCACGGATTATGATCAAAGCGAAGACAGGCTCAAAACTAGAGGGTACAGAGCTGAACGAAATCGTATCAAAGTTCGAGAGTTGTGCACAACGCACGGTTGGCGTACCTCGGACTTGAGGAAACCTGCTGAATCGTTCGTGAGAATCAGGCAATGTAGACACCACTTCTTGTAACTCTTGCCAATTTAATGGATGCGAAAATGTATTCCAAAAGTCCGACGAGAATTTGGCTGGCTCCTTGCTCTTTGCATCCTCTGCACTCATCGTAAAGCCTTGTTGTTGAAGTTTTCCGAAAATGCAGAAGCTACGTGCAGAAAAGAGCATGAACCCAACCGCAAAATAAAATTCCATATCGTGTTTTCTCCAGTTTTAACGCGTATCAAGTCCATAAAACACGATTTTGGTGGCGCTTTTATGGGTCTGCCGATGGCATGGCACGAAACTCAACCAAAAAAATCAGCACTCTACGTCCCAAGGCCGATACCCCTCATATATACATAGCATAGCAAGGATAGACATGGCTTCCAAACCATCACGGCATTTTGCATGTACGCACTCCTCCCCAACTTGGAACCTTGCTCCTCTGCATCATTCAACTTTTCAGAAACAGAAAACTCAACACCCCATCTTTAATCCTAGTACGAACGCATGAAGGAGTGCTAGTCACTGATTTAGACAACAATTTTAGCAATGTCCAAGAACTCAGCAGGTGATTATCCTGGCGGCTTTTGTCGTTGCTTGATGCGAGGGAAGGAAATCTGAACATCTGGGGATGTCAACAAAAAGAAAAGTCAAACATCAGACTCGAGTTGTGCGGGATTGATGGACGAGTCTTTTGCATTTATGGGGCATCAGAGTGATTGGTTTGGAGAGGATGTGTTTAAGGGAGCTAGAGATCCGCTGAGGCACTTCGTGGCTCGCTGTTTTGCCTTGTTTGAACAAGAGTGTCGGTCTGCCCTTATTTGCTTGAGCTGGACATCCACGGATGCGTCATTAGTCATTCGACGATATCATTATGGGAAATACTCTCTTAAGCAAAATGCTCATCACCCTTCTGTCGTGTCTTGTTAGGAATGAGCAACTGCGAACTTTTCAGTATTCCCCTGAAGGCTCTATGATCGCATATTTACTGCCGACCTGGTAAGTGCCCATCTTGGTGTCTCTGTGGTGGTTATTGACATTGCCCTAGACTCTTATACCATTTTTTGTGCTCATTAGCATCCGCATTCAATCTGTATCAACATTGCAAGTCATTGTAGAATTACCTATAAATAATGCATTGGAAATTGAATTCTCACCAAAGGGTACATATATATCAACATGGGAGAGAATGGGTAAGAAAGGACGCTCGTTGTTGAAGTCTCAGAAACGAATATCAGAACCAACACGCTCCTATTTTAGTTCGAACAGAGGACGGCGAAACTCAACACAAAAACCTCATCATATGGGAATCTGCAACTGGCAAACAGATTGCGTCATTTCCTCAGAAGGCTCAGACAGGATGGTATATTCCAGGATTTGGTTACGTTTTTTGGTACTTAGATACTCACGCCACCCTCTGCTTTCAGGAATATTCAATGGACTGAAACAGAGTCTTTCTTCGTGAGACTCGTCTCGAACGAAGTCCACGTATATTCTCCAACAAACGCAATGACGCTCGCTGAAAAGATACGGCTCGAGAATCTATCGGCCTTTTCCATCTCACCGGGCAAACGAGCCATATTAGCTACATTTGTACCAGAAAAGAAAGGTGCTCCTGCTACTGTACAGTTGTGGGAAGTCGGTCTGGGTTTGGGCTCGAATCAAAAACCTTTGTCTACAAAGAGCTTTTTTAGAGCAGACACTTGTACATTTTACTGGAATCGACTAGGTAGAGCGGGAATGAAGTGATTTTATTGTTTATGTAGACATTTTCCTTTCTTTTTTTTTGCGTGTACTAAATTACTGTCTTCAACAGGAACGAATGTTATCGTATTCACACACACGGATGTAGATGCTACAGGTCAATCATACTATGGTGAAACTCAATTGTATTATCTATCAGTAGCAGGAACATATGAAGCACGAGTAGATCTTGGTAAACCAGGTCCTATACACGATGTAGCATGGTCGCCCAATTCCAAAGAATTCGTCGTAGTATACGGAACCATGCCAGCCCGAGCTACCTTGTTTGATCATAAAGCAACCCCCGTATATCAATTTGGCAGTGGCCCACGTAATTTTGTCAAGTATTCACCGGGAGGCCGTATTATATGTATCGCAGGTTTTGGTAACTTGTCTGGCGAAATGGAATTTTGGGATCGAAAGACGTGTATGAAGGTATCCACTGTGCAGGCCTCCAACTCTTCAGCATGTGAATGGGCTCCTGATGGTCGACATGTCATGACTTCGACATTGTACAAGAGACTCAAAGTAGACAATGGAGTAAAGATTTGGCATTATACTGGTGTCTTGGTGCACAAGCATGAAGTCAAGGAGCTGCATCATTCGGCTTGGAGACCGTTGCCTATGGGTATATGGGACGAAGGAGGCGCCCTTGATGCTGCACCTGTTGGGATACCGGTTGAAGCATCTACACCAGTCAAGAAGGTCGGAGCTTATCGGCCACCAGGAGCTCGAGCTGCAGGAGAAACTACTTCGACCTTCAATGTAAGACGTTTGTTATCGGAAGTGAACGACTCTCATTTTTTGCATGTTTTCGTTTGAACCTATTCGCCTCAACTCAGTCTTTTTTATACAGGCACTGCTGAATCATGAACGAGAGTCGCCGTCATCATCTGTAGATTCCAATCTACACCGAAATCCAATTACTGCAGTAGGAGCTCCTCCACCTCCCATCGACGGTGAGTTTGAGTGACATGTTTTGTAGTTCATTCCCGCTCTGCTCTGTTTTGCTTGCATTTCAGTAATGGAACCAGTCTAACCACACTTCAAGCTAACAAAACCATCATGACTTTCATTTGCTCTATAGACAAGTTGCTATCAAAAGCAGCTCTGAAGAATAAGAAGAAGCGAGAAAATAAAAAGGCTCATAGTAGTGAAGACCCTACTTCACCTGCTTCGCCGAATCTCACAAACGGAAACGCAGCAAGCAGCACTCTATCTCCTTCAGCACCTCCCTTCACTCCTGCATCAGATAAGGACCCTGAACTTGAAAAGAAGATCAAGAATGTCAACAAGAAGCTGGCAGGTATTGCAGAGATCCGTGACAAGATCAAGTACGGAGAGAAGGTTGAGAAGAATCAAGTAAGGCTTTGTCAATTTGTTCTTTGCGACTAGGGAACGTAGTTAACGCTTTATGTCTAGATGAGCAAACTAGAAGACGAAGACGCTCTAAGGGCGCAATTACAAACCTTAATTTCACAGAGGCAGCAATAAGACGATAACCCACATATTATTGTAACTGTTTGTGAATATGATAACAAAGTTGGGATAGTCTTGCTTGACTTCACAGTTACGAGAATAGTTGGATTATAAAGTCACCGCAACTGTGTCACTCTTATCATGTACATGTTTAACAACAAGCCAGTTTGTGCTTATCAGGTGAATCAGGTGAACATATCAAGATTGTGAATTGTGATGTGCTCCTAGGACTGGTTTGAGGCTCTTCAATGACCCTGTATGTGCATTAACACGTGCAAAACTAGTTTGTTCCAGTTTTAGCTGGTATCTGACCAATCAACCGATTCCTAAGCAAAAAAGTCTTTTTCGAGAGCCGTCGTCCTTTCATCCCCATCACACAACAACGACCGTTGACGATAAGGAGACAGAGAGAGGAAGCAGAACAGAGCTTGACAACCTACCGTCAACCAACCAACCCGATCACTAGAAACGCCTGCCTCCGTTAAAAGGGGTAATTTATGATAGAGGACTCGAACACGTTTGGCGAAAGCCTTCTACTAGACACAACCCATATCGAGCTGGAGGTGTATATCTCGTATAGTATTCTGTCGGACGATAGGCTAGATCCTCAACCATAGACTATCTACCTCACCGTTCCAACATCAACATCATCACCCACACACCAACATCTCACAATCAGTCACCCGATAAACCACACAGTCTTATATCCAGTACTGAATGAGGGTATACCACAACCATGGCGTCCAAACAACAAACCAAATTCCAACAAGTCTCACACAACAAGCCAACATCATCCTCCGTCTCTATTGAGAAGACAAAGAAGAAACCACTCTACACGGCAAAGGATACAGCTGCTACCGCTGCGCTCATCAAGAAGGCTACGGCGTCAGTCTCACCTGCCTTGCTTGCACTGCCTGCAAAGGACGTGGTCGTCGTATCTGTCAAGCTCAATGATAACAACAATAGTAGTAGTGTCTCTTCGTCCCGTCAAGACTCGGCTGTCCCAGCTCTTACCGGTCTCCCTCCCATCGTCGGTCTCATTACGCCAGACGCAGTGGAAAAGGCTACGGATGTAGTATGTAATGCTTTCGCTACCGATCCGCTCTTCCAGTATGTGCTCCAACCGGTTGGTGGGCCAGAAGGGCGCCCGGACTTGCATAGGCTGTTTCAGTCTGTTTACGTCGCTGGGTCTGTTAAACATGGAATGGCTGTAAGTGTTTATGTGCTGAACGTTAGTGGAGTGTTTTTGCACCAACTCAATTCTGGTTTCCTTATAGTATCAAGTTGAGGACTGTGGATCTTTGGCCTTGTTCTTCCCTCCTGGAACTGATGTTGCTGACTCTTGGGCTGGTATGTCATCTTATCTGTCCAAACAACAAAGAAGTATGCCCTAACAATACCAAATGTCTTTCTTCAACCAATCTCTAGATCTGCTCAAGATGTTGGCCCCAGTCCCACTCCCTGCACTCACTCGCTATCTCGTCGACTATGTCGCTCCCACTGAACTAGCTAAACGAACTCATCTCGGAATCGGCACCAAAGCTGAACGTCGCTACTACAACCTCTCGGTAGCTGCTACTCGTCCTGACAAACAAGGAATGGGTTTACTCAAACATGTCTTGAAACCGGCACTGGCTCGTGCTGATGCTGAAGGGGCAGTCACATGGCTTGAATCTACCAAGGAACGAAATGTGCCTATTGTAAGTTCATAGTAGTTTGATATCTCGCAGCTTTTTTGCCATCTAACACATAAATATCACTTTTTAGTACGAACGTTTCGGATTCAAGACTGTTGAAACCATCTATCTCAAGGATAAGACACCAATATTCTTGATGATGCGCGAACCACAGGTCTAAAAGCCACATAAGTGTCAAAAGAGGAAAAAGAAGTATAAAAAAGGCATGATTCGGAAGGATATGAGATATAGTGAGAAGAGAAAGGGACTGACGGGAAGACATTAAAAAAGAAGATTATAAAGGAAAGAAAACAGTATAGTAGAGTAGTGGTTAAATTTCGGGTTGTGATTGAACATTGTACCTTCCCAACTTACAAATAAAATACCTAAACCATTTCTACCATAACAACAACGTCGCTTTCAATATATTGTTTTCTCTTACCCTATGCTGATTGGGACGAGTCTTTTCCAATCACTGGAGCCCGTTGAATTGAGGACATCCAACAAAGAAAATGGGCGTTTTGTACCTCTTCTAAACTTTCCTTTATTCAGTTTTTTACAAGTTTTCAAAAGCTTGCGTGGAAGCGATTTATTCAGCTACGCTATGCCGTCATATCAAGTCCACAGCTTATGAAGGCATGTATGATGCGGTGTCAATCTTCTCAGGCAGTTCTGTGATGTCGACCTCAAACCTCTGCTGAACTGATTCCAACACTGATGTGTCGGCTTCCGACGAGACAAAGGTGATTGCAAGACCCTTGGTACCAAATCGACCAGCTCGACCAACCTATTCGAGATTCAAAAGGGAAATTAGTGATTTCGTTTAAGTAACAGGCGACAATGCTGCGTATTGTTGCAGTGGGAATGGCTTCATACACGGTGAAGGTACGAGTCAGCTGAATCGGGCATGTCGTAGTTGATGACAATGTTGACACGCTCCACATCAATACCACGACCAAAGATGTCAGTAGCAACCATCATTCGCTTGTTGAATTCTTTAAAGGTCTTGTATCGTCGAATACTAAAAATGGCAGTTAAGAAGAGCGTCAGAAATGCAAAAAAAAAACAGCCAGAATTGACGGATTGGACATCGCAAAGGGATTCTAGCATCCTACCGTTCTTCTTGAGGCAAACCACCGTGAATAGAGATAGATGGGAACTGGCAGGCTTGCAAGAGCTTGTCCAATTCTTGAGCACGTTGAACGGACTTGACGAAAATGCAGACTTGATTGTATTCAAGAGCATCAAGCAATTCATTCAATTTACGGTTCTTTTGATTCTAAATAGACAGAATAAAGTGTAAGTTGAAGCGAAATAGATGGGCATGTCACTAATATTACACTCAAAAGATCACAATTCACCTCTGCCAATTTGACGTAATGCTGTTGCAACCCATGGAGGGTAAGCTTGGTCTCATCATCAACGAATATTTCAAGAGGCTAGATTTGGTTCAGTGTGAGCAAAATTTCCAAAATTGAAAATGCCAAGGTGGTCTTGGTCATCGTCCATCGTCCTTCGAGATTGCTGTGCTGGGTCCTTTCTAGCTTCCAATCGTCATCGTCATCACAGAAATCTACCACTTCGGGTCATATAGAAGAAAAATAGCAGCATCCAGAAGAATCAATCCAAAACGTTTCAACCAACATCCCTCTCCCCCATCTACAAGAGCTGGCTTTTTCGTTTTCTTCCGTTTCCCCATGGCCTGTATAAAACAATATACGACCAATATTCCCTCAATATCCACCGTGACTTTGATGTTTTTATATATAAAGATGGTTTGTTTTGGCGAAAGATTGGTTACTATGGTGACTTTTTCCTATGGTAACTTGTTTTTCCTTCCAACAAAACTTTCCTCTCTATATTCTACATCTAAGACGGATTGAGACTTATAGGCCCCACTTCCTCCATTGGATGACGTTTTTGTTGATGGTATAATACCGTCACACCTTAATTCAAAAAACGATTGTTGATTTCATTGGCAGTGATAGTGGTGACGACGATGACGGTATCAATGGAGCTAGACCAGACGAGCAGTTTCGGAGGAGGAGGCGAGACCCAAGACCACTTGGAGAATAATAATACATAATGGAATCAAGATCAAGACGGCTTACACTTTGCATAAACTTTCGGCAGACTGGGCGGATGGCTTGACTGAGAGTAGCACTGAACATCATAACCTGTTTGTGGTGAGGAGTGGCCTTGAAAATATCCTGGACATCCCGACGCATATCTGAAAGGCAATAACCAAAAAGTTGTTAGAAATGATTGCGATGACGACTTAAAAAGTTTGGAGTAAGGCGACAAGATTGACGTTGTTTGTTGCGTCAGAAACGATTTCTAGTCTCACGAAAATTTGACTTCTTCGAAGAGCTGGGTTTAATAGCAATAAAAATATTGTTCATCGTGCGCAGTTTCCACCCTCAGAATCAATCGCCACCTCTAGATTTCCAAGTGAAATTAATGTAACGTTTACTTACCAAGGGCTTCAAGCATCTTGTCACATTCATCGAGCACGAATTGCTTTACTTTTTTCAGATTGAGAGTTCCATCACGGATAAGGGCAAGCACACGACCAGGAGTTCCAACAATGACTTGAGGCTTCTCATTCTTGATGGTTTCTTCATTTTGCTTTTGAGGAACACCACCATAAAATACAGCTGTATGGACATCAGGCATGTACCTAGTAAGGGGGAGTCATGCATTAGCTTACTGGGCACATAGTTTATGTAACAATTCAAGGGTTTCTTTCATACGACTTACTTTGAGAATCGTTGATATTCGTTACGAATTTGGAAGGCCAATTCACGAGTGTGGCACAATACGATGACAGTTGGCTCGGTTACGGTGACATCCAACTGTTGAAGAGTAGCCAAGACAAAGACAGCAGTCTTTCCCATACCAGACTTCGCCTGACACAAGACGTCTTGACCCAATACAGCTTGAGGAATGCAGACTTGTTGCACTAGAGTGAGAAGGAATCGGATGTTAGTTTGCGTATGAGATTCCTTGAATACTATATGCAAATAAATCGTATTTACCTTCGGAAGGATGTTCAAACCCACAGTCAGAGATGGCTCGCAGCAACTCTGGTTTGAGCAAAAAGTCACGGAAACCAGTAGCATGGACACCAACATATGAGCCCTTCTTTACTTCTTTTCCATCTTCAGCAACAGCTCCTGTAGAAGCACCACCTCCATTGGTCTGCAAGGTTTGGTTGGTGGGTTCGTCTTCATCTTCATAGTCAATGAGTTCATCTGCGTTTTCGGCCATGATTTGCAAGAGACTGACTAGATATAGATTGAAAAAGAGGATGGAAGTTGGTGAATTTAGAGTCTACTAAATTATTTGAATATAGGTGGCCTTGCAAATAACAGCGGCGTAGTCATTGAAATGCTTTGTTGGATTTAAATGATGATGTCGAGGGTGGATGATGACTTATTAATAAAAGACGTGAGGGAGAAATGGCCGTATGAAATTACTGGTATCAAGGATATCCTGGATAGTCTATTCTCATATTGCTCGATATTCCCTACTCCGTCCTCTCCACTTGCGAGACAATCACATTTGCAGATAGAGGATTTGACAACAGTCTAGGCTGGCATTGCAGAAGATATGTAGACAACATGATATAATACACACCTGGATTTCAACTGGATTTGCTGCTTTCTATATATCTGAAGATGGATGGATACGATGCCTGGTTGAACTAAACAAAGGACGTCGTATAGAGAATGATGAGCAAGGAGCAAAATTTTGGTGAAATTAGACCTGGTGTATCAATATATACATTTCTCACACTGTTTACAATATGTACACGCCTATTTTTCTGGCATTGGTTGTTCTTCATCATCCTCATTTGAAAACATTTTTATGATGCTTGACACCCGCTGTCTTCGAACCGTTGCTTCTATACCGATCTGTGGAGACTCTGTACTGGTCGGTGGTGGTTGTGGCTGTGATCGTGTTGATCTCGTCCTTGTTGATGCAGCTACAGTTGGCAAGGATGGCTGACTGGGGCGGATTTGAAGTGATTCTACATCGATGGGCACTAATGATTGTGCTCGTATGGGGCTAGATGACGATCCAATTGACGATCCCATAGACCTTGGCGAAGGTGGTGGAATCATTAGTGCTAAACTGGATGCAGACGTGCTTCGCCCGCGTCGTTGGATTCTTCCCATCATGCGTCCTCTAGTTGGTCTGCCTTCTATCACGAAATCATCGTCATTGTCATCTTGATCTGGTTGATCATCGTCTTCGTCTTCATAATCATCGTCACGTTTCTTGGAACGACGTGTTTGTATGGTGGATGGTGGAGCCAGTTGTTCAATCGTTATTGCTGGTGGTAAAGGCTCTCCACGTAATGAAGAGAGTTCGATGCGAGACTGGTGAAGTTGCCGACCCAAAAAGTTGATGTATTCAGTACCTAATGATAAGAAGATTGATGAGAGTTGGAAGGCGAACGTAAAAGACTCTCCATACCCTTTCTGACAACCGAAACTTGGGAAAGGGAAGCTGATCTAGTGTGAGGCATGCTGTTTTGCAGGTCTGTAATGGCGGTGCTTAGTGCACGGTTAGACGTAGACTGCTGAGCTTCCACATCGTACTCGTCTTCTCCTGCATCTGCATCTGCACCTTTCGTGGCTTTCGTGATCCTCCTTGCTTTTTTAGCTGGATTCTCAATTTGGACAGGCACGAGAGTTGGAGGTGAAGGTGCTCGGCCTCGCCGTGTTCCTTGTCCTTGTGATGAGGATATTATATCCATAGGATGCAACGAAGATCCACCGGAAACGACATTACTACCGAATCCAGGTTGGCTGGGTATGTTGCTTGGTCCAGAATGGATGTTTATAGGTAAAGGTGCCATTTGTTGCTGAAGTTGTTGTTGTCGTTGTATTTGCTGAAGATGGAACTGTCCAAGGTTTTGGGGAATGGGGATTGGCGGCTGTGTCGGTATACCAGGTTGCCGATACATGAGCAGCTGAGGTTGCGTGTTATCGGATAGTGTTGGTGGTCTGAATCCTATACGTGGGCTCGCAGGCTGACTGGGAAACTGTTGTCCTTGAGCTGGCTGGGCTGGTACAAATGCAAACGGCGAGTATGGGAACATGAAGGATTCCATGGCAGGATCTCCAGACGGACCGATATACTGTTGAAACTGTTGCTGTTGCTGTTGTGGAATCAGATGAGGCCTCCATTGCTGCTGACTCGTTTGTGGTGGTCTCCATGATGAGGGCATTATGGTAAATGATTGCTGTGGTTGTTGTTGTGGCACGCCGGGTTGCTGAAGGATGTTATACTCGGTTGTCGTTTGCTGTGGATCTATAGATGAAGAACGTATGCCAAATATGTCTTCAACATTCTCGTCAGATGCCCCATGTGAAATTGGCGAATCGCTTTGCTGATTGGGTGTAGGTGCTTGTGTTGCTGGTGCTTGTTGCTGAAACCGCTGTCCTCCTTCAGGGCCTTGATGGCCATCGTTGAGATCCATTGTTGATGGTCAAGAAGCAACATTCTATGACATCTTCCCCTTTTGATTTTGGCTTGCTTTGCACTGCTTTGCTCCTCAGAACATCCCTTGGAACGAATGTCCCCCATAAACTTCCCGCAGTGCGAACTTCCATTGGGAATTCGCTTTGAATCAACTGCGCGTTGACCCTCAGTTCTAATATAAAGAATCCACCAAAACCAAGACGGAAGGAAGCCGACAAATTCTAAACAACGGAGGTCGCGCTTGATGAGCACGATCAAAAGCGTCCTTCCATATCGGATCTTCGTGGTGTGTCAAATAGGAAATAAAATCAAAATAATCAAAATAAAATCCAGTATAATCAGTTTAATCAGCCACTTTTTTGAGACTCGAAGACTCCAATGGCGTTGACGACAAATCCCTAGGTCTTCTCTAATATTTTCCATCCAATTATCTCATATAGTTCTAGGCAAGGACAAATTAGATCTAATCAAAGATGCAGGCTTTCAAGACGAGCAAGACCTTCAGGATTACCAAATATTCGCAAAACAGGTCGTCTCAATCTGATGGCAAGGATGGAGTGTCCGGTTGGTCCTATCTAGAGAAGCCTGATCTGAGAGTGTGCATAGAGCAAGATGAAGATGAAGGATGGAGCCTGAAAATCTCCGCCTTTTTACCTGGAGAGCTGATACTGGTATGTTATCATGTTTGAAGACCTTCTCGCCTTCTACATAATCATCAAATTCTTTGGTTTGTAAATGACTGACGTTTCTTATACAAGGAACACTTGGAGCTGACGCCAGCAAGACTTCGTTCATATCGAATTAGCGGTGCTCAGAAAGACTTCATAGCTGGATTTCGATACACTGCAACCTCGGTATCTGCTAGAGGGCACTAGATCGGTAATTTCTTTTACAAGATATTAATGACGTGCCCTTAGGGAGAAATGAGACGATTTCAGCTCAAATTCAACTCGGCTGAAGATTGTTCAGCATGCTGTTCGGTCTTGAGCTCCTTCTTCCCTTGTCGAGTCGTAATTCCTCAACAACCAATCGTTTTATCGCAACAACAGCAACAGCCACCTGTTGTATCTCAGCAGCACCACTCGCAGCAACAGCAATCCCCTTCTAATTATTATGGAGGACTTCAGCTGCTATCTCAATACACAGTAGCTAGTCCTACAAACAGCAAAATGACGCTGCAACAGAAGGCTATCATCCAACAAAACCAGAATGCAGTTGTCAATAGTCAAACCTTCAAACCCTCTCCACGCTCTCCTTTCTCGAAATTCGGCATTCCAGGCTTTAGGCCGGATGCAGCTGTAGCAACCAAGAACGATTTAATTCCTACACCATCAAACTTTATGGCTTCTCCACCGCCACCATTAGCATCGCAACAGACTGTGACGCCAATGAGCCCTTACGGTGGAATGTCAATTCCTGCAAAACGAAAGGCAGAAAATGAGGAGGTTGCAAATGGTGATGATGGTGCCTTGCGTAAGAAAATTATAGACTTGTTGGAGGATCCAGCATTTCTCCAGTTGGTCTCAAAGTTAGAACGGATCATATCATGATTATTATATAGTTGTATAGTATAGTGTTTGAAAGTTAGTTGTTGCGTCAATAGATATTTTACTAATTTAACACAACAATTCAGTCGAAACCACGTGGACAAGCTGAGGTCCAGCGATCTTTTGTGAATTGAAGAGCTATTCATGAGCAGTTCCCTTTTATTTGCATTCCTTCGAATCTGAAACGTTTGTCTAACAATTTTTGAAACAGGCAAGCTCCCTTCGGCCAACGTCCCATATGGATAAGATACGGAGAAGCAAAGTATGCGGACCTTTCCAAGATTTACGTCCCTATTCCTGCTAACTATGGCCCTGTGGATAACCTTGGCATGGAACAAATCCCAACATCAAATCCCGATAGTCGCAGATCCACAGAACGAGGCCGGTGTATTGGCTTATAGTGGTAACGAAGACTTCGAATCTATAAATTCTACAATCGAGTTTGAATCTAGCTTGAATTGGTCGGATCGGGCTTCACAGCTGGAGTACAGGTTCCTCCAAATTGCAAGAAATCAATTAGGCTTCCAAGACGATGGACCTGGACTCAACACTTCTACAAAATATGTCAGATTCAATGAAGTCTGCCAGATGATGCTGTCTATTGACCAGAACTCGGCGTATCAGGTTGAAATCATCGAACAGTCCAAGAGTATAAACAGACCGCCCGACATTACAGTCACTGTCAAAATACTAAGGACACAAACACCTCTACGTAAAGAATATGGTGGTGATTCTTTCCGTGTCATAATCCAGGATCGAACATCCATAACCTATGTGCCCAGACTTCGAGAAGACCTTGAAGATGGAACGTATCTGTTTCACTTTACCATCATAGATCCTACAGTAGCATCGAACTATGACATTGATATAGTCGTTATGCGCCTAGAGTATGCCGGGTATCTATCGCCACATCCAGTATGGGACTTTTCTGCCGACAATGGTGAATTTTTGGACTCAGTGCCAGAGGGCAGTTGTCCGCCAGGTCTCATCTTGGCAAGACTGCATAAAATACCACAGTTAGTCATCAATAGAGCTCCTCGACTAGCTGGTGTGTACTCGGCAAACCATAAACTAGACGACGTCCCTTATTGTACAGGAGGGACGAATCCAGGCCGTTGGATTGGGAATTCTTGGAGACCGTTCTCGTGTCGATATCTCGAGTACAGCCAGCGAGATATCATGGCTTGTGAGAAGGCTTTGAGGCCTCTGCATATCTCGCTAATTGGCGAC